ATCATGGCTGTGGTGACCGGGAGCCAAGAGCATGAGCTGCCCTGGAGGGTGTTGGGCTGGGGGGGCGCATCTCTGGGGTCTCCCGCAATATCAGGCTTTGAAAATTGGGCAATTGTGCTTTCCCTGAGCACAATTCTCAAGAATGGTAGGAGCGGGGCGGGGGAGAACCACCTGCCTGCCTCTTTGAGATTCTGTATTTCCACAGCTCCTTGAGCAAATAAATCCGAGATAGAGAGAACAGGGAAACATTCCTGTGCTGGTGACTTGGGGATTGCCCTAACATAATCCATCCCCCTCTCATTCTTCCCCGTCATAATTTAAGCAAGCTGCCCAGAGACTGCAATTCAGTCCTTGGAGCAGTGCAGACAGGCCCGGACGAGGCAGCCGCTGCGATGGGGAGAGCTTTCGCCTGGGTGCTGTTGCTGCTGTCGCTCAGCCTGGTTTGCTGCTCAGTCAGGGAGGAAAGTAAGGAGGAAGGGGCGAGGGGGGAGGAGGGATGGGGCTGGAAGGAAAATTCTCCGGGCGGGCGGGCGGGCGGGGGGGGGGGGGGGGCTGGCCAAAGGTGTGCAGGCACGGTTCCTTTTTCAGCTAGGCTCCCCACCACACCCATCAGCAACCGCCAGAAGGAAACTGGATGTCTTTCTGTAGGCTACGATGGTTCGGCCATAGAAGCCCCCCTGGGGAGATTGGGAAGAGGAGAAGCTCTTGTAGGGCTCCCCTTGCTAAGTGGAAGACAGCGTGGAGGCCTGGGCGTGATGCACACCCAGATGCGCTGCTGGAAATGTGCGCGGCTGTGGCACGCGCGTTTGCCGTGGGCATCGGGGCTCTCCCGCCCCTCCGCAGGGGCTAAGGGCGGACCGGAGACCAGGGTGGTCGAGTGAGCAGAGGCAAAGGGGTGGGAAGAATTGCTCCTGACCTTCCAGTGCCGGTGGAGAAGAGCCACTGTGGTCGCCATCGCTTGCCCTGGCCGTCAGTGCTCCCTTGCACCAATTCACTCGCACGGTGTATCGCCTCATCCTTCTCCGCAAGGGGCCCCAGAGCCATCTTCCCTAGCCCAGTGCCCCACGGCTGCCTTGGTCTTCCATTCCTGTCAGCTCCAGCCAGACTGGCCAGAGGCCGGGAATGTCAGAGCTGGATTCCGACGTGACCAAACTGTACCAGGTTGGGAAAGATTGCGCAGAAATGAGAGGTTTTGCAGGCAGGCCACTCCTCGCACTGAAAGTGTGGGAGCCACGTGAGGGAAATGTACACAGGCCTTCAGTTGTGCATAATAAGAGGCAGGTAAATCAACCAGCCACCTGCCCGGCTCTGCTTCAGCTCCAGCAGGAAGCCAGGAGCAAAACAAAAGCTGGGCATCCACCTTTGCCTTGGAAATGAAAGCCACGCCGCTTACACCAGCTTTCCCCACCTGGGGACCCTCCAGATTAATCCCATCAGCCCTGGCCGGTGGACAGGAACACTGAGAGTCGTCGCCCAAATTGCAGGGCCCCAGATGAGGCATAAGGTGCAGGAGACTGCACTGGCCTAACCAACCAAGATGTAGAGACATGTGCCAGAATCACCAGCCCATCTGCAAGCCCAGGTGGAGCACTTCCGCAATGCTTCTGCAAATTGCTCGGGGTGGACTTGGGGTGAGTCAGCCACAGGAGCAAGTTCTGAAATGAAACAAGAACAAGCAAGCAAACACGCAAAAAGCATGCAGGTGCTCACACAGCTACTGTGAGAAAAGATTCTAGGGAAACCCAACGGTTTCCTGTCAGCAAAGGATATTTTGGACCTCCCTGTCTATTCTAGCTGCACGCAAAACATAAAGGAAAACTAGCTTAGGACCAGAGGAAAGAATGTAAATTGGCAGAAGACACCCCAGTAATTTAAGATATGCAAGTCATACTGCCATAAAGCAGCCATGGACTGAATGACCCCAGAAGAAAGTACAAAAGAAGGACTGCAACTGAATATTATGAAAACAAAAAGTGAAGAAATCAAAATTATGATGGATTTGGTTATACCTTGGTATACCTTGGCTCAGACATCCATTCAAGGGGAGTTTGTAGCCAAGAAAGTTGAAGACTGAGAGTTGGAAGGGCAGCAATGAAGGAACTAGAAAAGATCATAGAATAGTAGAGTTGGAAGGGGCCATGAAGGTCATCCAGCCCACCCCCTGCTACTGCAGGACACCAAGTTACACCATCCCACTCAGAGGGCTGTCCAGGTTCTTTCTGAATGCCTCCAGTGTGGGAGAGCCCCCCACCTCTCCAGGCAGCTGATCCCAGTGTCGTGTTGCTCTGACAATGAGGAAGCTTTTCCTGATGTCCAGCCAAAATCTGGGTTGCCGAAACTTGAGTTGGTTATTCCGTGTCCTACACTCTGGCATCAGCAAGAAGAGTTCTTGACCTTCCTCTTTGATAGTCAAGCATATGGATGTTTCACTAGAAAAGAAGGGCAAGGTCATTCAAACTACTACATTCCTGATTGTTATGGTTGGGTATGAAAGCTGGTCAGTGAAGGAGGAAGATGGGAAGAAAATGGATGCTTTCAAAACATGGTCCTGGAGGAGAGTTTTGTGAATAATCTGGGCTGACAGACAGACAAGGGGGTCCTAGATCAAATCAAACCCGAAGCCAAAGCTAAAATGACAAAACTGAGGCTGTCTTACTTTGGGAACTTCATGAGAAGGTAAGACTCACCGGAGAAGACAATCACACAAAGGAAAGCTGAAGGCATAAGAAGAAAAGGAAGACCAAAGAAGAGATGAACTGACTGCATAAGGGAACCACAGTCTTGAATTTAGGACAGCTAAGTGGCAATGTCAAGGACAGAACATTTTGAAGGGTTTGTAGGGTCAAGCATAAGTTGGAGATGACTTGATGGCACGTAACAGGAATCACTCACACATCATAAGGGGACCAGCATAGTGTTAGTCACAGACTCGCAGTCCAGCCTATCTCACAGTGTTGCTTTTGTGGGTGTAAGACTGAGAGCAGGAGGAGAATTATATGCTGCTTTGCATTCTTTACAAGAAAAGGTGGAATATAAATCTAATAGATAAATAAATTTGAGAGGAGGTGACTGCTAAGAATATTGGGTTTAAGCCATTTAGCGCTTTATAGATTTCACTTAGAATTGGGCTTGGATGAAAACCCAGTTCAGACCAGCTCAGGGTAACATGTTCCTGGTGGCCCATCCCCAGCAGGCACCTTGGCAGCAAGAGCGCAAAAACTGGGTTTATTTTTAAAGCAGTGATTAATACATTACACAACCATGCGAAGAAACAGGTTCAGATTTGCCAGCAACCCATTTAAGTCTAAAGCCACTATTCCTCAAAACTCCCCTGGCCTTTTCAGGCTATCTAAACATGGGTCATCAAGTCGCCCCAGGAAAAAATTTGCATTGGCAGGATTCCTGCGACTTCATTCAGGGCCTTCTGCTCTTGATGGTTTTCTTGCCACAGTTCTCACTAATTCCTGCAGGAACAGAGCGGCCAAACTGAGACCACCATGTGAATCATGAACAAGCAAGAGCATGAGGCTGGATGAGGCTGCAGGACCATTTTAACCAATCCCAACCTGGGCCACCTTGGGGTGTTGGACAAGCATTCCCATAATCCCTCTGCTACGTTGGACATAGCAAAATGGGAGTTGCCGTCCAACATGTCTGGAAGCACAAGGCGAGGATGACTGGTCTATCTGGTCTGGAATGCTTGTTCTCGCAGTGGTAAACCAGATGCTGGTGGAAAACCCGTAAGCAGGACAGGAACACCACAAGATTCCCCACAAACATTGGTACTAAGAGGCATACTCCAGGCATAGCCTACCTCACAGGGTTGTTGTTGTGAGGATAAAATGGAGAGGAGGGGGCTAATGTCAACTGCTTTGGGTTTCTGGAATGAGGGGAAAAGGGTGGGATATATATGTTCTATCAAGAACCTACCCCAAATACTAAAGGTAGTATATGTCCATCATTATTGAAAGACAGTGGTAGCCTTCTAGTAAAATCCTATGTATGTTTTTTTCGGGGGGGTGGCGGGGGAAGGTCCTATAACTTCCAGCACAGTTGACTAGCAAATGCCAAGAGTTGTAGAACTGTTTTCTCTCTGAACCTGTGTAGGACTGCAGACTTGTTTTCTGTGAATTTATCTCACTTCCTTTTAAAGTCATCCAAGCTGGTGACCCATCTCTATTACATCTTGTTGCAGTAAATTTCATATTTTAAATATGCTCAGTGTGAAGAAGCAAATGAGTCCCATTTATCTCTGCCCCAAATCTTCCCACTTTACTTCTGCCAGCTGAAATTATACCACTGTTTCCTCAGGCAGCCAGATAGATCAGTGTGTGATAAATTTGTGGCATTGCTCCGTGGCAGGAAGAGTGGGTTCAGGGGCCTGAACTGGTGGAGAAGAGAATCCACCCTATGCATTCCAGTAACCACCTGGAAACCCTTCACTTACTTGCCTCCTGCCTTTGACTCGCTCTCTCTGACCTGCCCAGTGAACTGGAGAAGAAATGCAGTGTTCCTTCCCCTTCTCTGTCCTTTGAAAAAATAAAGTGTATGAAGTCTTCTCAAGCCACATCTGCTCAGAAAGAAACCACATTGATCTCAATGGGGGAAACAGGGCTGCCAGTCCCCATTGACTTCACACACCCCACCCCCCGAGTTGGAAAGGCAGTAGTGGGAAGCTTCACAGCCTACCCCTTTCATCTCCCCTCTCGCCTTCTCCTTCTCCACGATTTCTCGTGCGGGACAGGAGGCGTCGTCACTGAATTTTTCCCCTTGGAAAACCCTCTCTGCTCCTTGGTGCATTAGCTCCAGACAACCTGCATGTAGCTGATTGAGCTAAAAGGACGCCAACAAATACGAGAACGAATGGAAAGGGCCACTTCCCCCTCCAGCACGTCCTACTACTCTGGCAATTGGTTGGTGCATAACAGATCTGTGGAGACGTGCACCCCAACTGTGATAATAGCAGTGTGCATGAGCGCCACGCACACACTTCCTCATAAACAGGAGGGCAGATCGCCCCGTGTGTTTCCTCTCAGAAATGACAGTGTGGTTCTATCCCCCTTTTCCGTGTCAGAGCGAGGACGCCACTTTGATCACACAGGGAGGCTGGTGAACAGGCCTAAACGGAACCACGAGGAGTATGCTGAACGATGCCCTTGTCCAGGTGAGCCTCTCCTGCTTTGGGAAAATGGAGATTTGAGGAGGGGTGTCTGCCAGATGCCAAATTCTGCTTTCTCTGTAGTGGCCAGCTGGCACCATGGTTTGTTTGCAGCGTGGGGTGTGTCTTTTGAAAGAGTTTGCCCTTCCTGCAGAGATCTTGTATAATGTTCTGGGCAAGCCGTAACCTGAAAGTCTGGCAGGTAAGCAGGTCTTCCCAGCCTCTGCACTCTAATTCTGGATCTTCTTGGGGTGAAAAAGTGGTTTGCATCTTGACGGTCAACTTCACGTGTGCCAGCGATGGAGAACTGCAGAGCTTCAGTTTGCTTGCGGTGATGTCTGAGCAGTGTCGTTTTTACTGGCCAGATTGTGAGTTCCGCACACTGAGAGATCAACAATGATTTCCACAATGGCTGAAATCTGTAACTTGTCACTTGATAGAAGGTGCCTACTCCTTGCTGTAGGCCATCAGCCAGCCATGAGCTCCTCCACAACTTTATTTATTTATTTATTTATTTATTTATTTATTTTATTAAAACATTTTTATGCCGCCCCATTCGCCGAAGCCTTGGGGCGGCTCACATCATTAAGTTAAAATAATTATAATATAAATTAAAAATATAAATATTAAATTAAATACAACAATACAGTATAAAATAACCCGCCCTGGCCAGATAAAACCAATAATGTTAACAGTTAAAATGCCGCTTGAATAAAAAGGTCTCCGCCTGGCGCCGAAAAGCAAATAACGACGGCGCCAGGCGGACCTCTCTGGGGAGCGCGTTCCATAACTTAGGCGCCACCGCAGAGAAAGCCCTCCTCCGAGTACCCACCCTCCTAATTTCTCTCACGGAGGGTTCCCGGAGAAGGGCCTCCCTCGCCGATCTCAAGGGGCGGCTGGGCATATATGGAACATTGCCTTCCCTGTGGCCCCAAACAGTTGTGACTTCTGCCCTCCACTTCTTGCCCTTTGGCTCCAAAACACCAGACAGTCTCTTTGCAAAGCAGGTAACTTTATCGGCACTTTGCAGCTACAAGACCAAGCAACTCTGAACCCTTTGTGAATTGGAAGATTAGCCTCTGAAAAAAGCAGGTGATGGAATTCCTGGGTAGAGAACCTGTCTTCACTGGTACCTTAGAGAACTTGAAGGTGGATCAAAGGGGGGGGGGTTACTTTGTATGTGCCTTAGCTTCTTGCATAAGCCATCTGGGCAGTCAACCAGCCTTGCTGGTTTGGGGGGGGGGCACGAGAGGGCGTGTCTCTTGCCCCCATCTGTACTCCCCCTCACCCACTGATGTTGTTTCAGGTCAGCCTGAGCCCCCAACGCAGAAGAATCGCAGGCATGAGTGTCCCTGTGACAGTTTCCCTTCTTCACAGCCAGGTAAGAAAATGCTCTAGGTGTGGCCGGTGAAGGCTATTAAATAAGCACCCGCCCCCAAGACTTTACAGAGGTATACCTCTCTTGTTGTATCCTGTAACACCCATATATATTTGTCTGTATATATGTATTCTCAGTCTGTTGCACAATGTCATATGCTACCATGCAAATCTTGTAGAACCTCAAGGTCCGGGGCCAAATACAGTTCCTGAGTCCTGCACTGGCCACACTCCTCCCCCCCCCAAATCTTTTTTGGGGGATCGCAGCTTTCCCGTCGCTTTCTTCCAAGGCTTAGTGACTGGCAGTTTAGCTTTAAGCTAAAAAATTATGGTATTTTGGGGCCCGGTCCTTTCGTCTTCAGCCCTACCCACGGCTGAGATGCGTTCCCAAGATCTGCTTCTTAGACTCAGAAAGCATCAGCACCCCTGCTGTGGATGGAAATTAACTTCAGCACCATAGAGGAATATTTGCAGTTATTCTATAAGATTGATAGAATATTTTATGTTCATCTCTCCTGTAGAACATTCCCATCACCGTGGCAAGAACAAACATCGGCAGAATAAGAGAGCGAAGTGCCACAGGTTCTTGAAAATCTGCAAACTTAGGATGTTCCAGATCCCTCTGTAGCTGTTCGCCCAACAAACTGTGGTTAATCATCTCTTGCAAGAGCAAACCCTTTGTGTATGTTCCAGCCTTGAAATCTAGAAGTAACAAACCTGGCATGTGGATTCCGCCCTCGCCGCAGTGCTCAATTCGCCATTTTCCCAACGCTCTAAAATAGATTTCAGTCCAATTTAGCATGTTTTCTTTGGCTTACGAAAGCATGCTGCTTTTCTTTAATGCATCCTAATATATAAAATGTGTGTGGGCGTGGTCCCATAGCCAAAAGTATGTGAACTGAAATATTTGCTGGCATGGGGAATCAATAAAGTGTATATCTAGTATGGTTTCCATGTAAGTGTCAAACCAAATCAAAAGAAAGTCCAACGTAATTAGATACAGGATAGAATACCAAAATTAAACGCAGAATAATTTGCAGTCAGATCCGCAGAGTACTATCATATATTACTGCTGAGAAAACCTATTCCTGCCCCACAGGCTATTGTGTGTGTGTTGATATAATTGTTTTTGGAAACGAAGAACTCCATTCCTTCAACCCACAAGCCCGGCACCCACAACGCTGCTCCTGCTTCTGTCTCAGATGCCTGCAGGAAACATCTCAATTGTCCTTCGGGCATTCTTTACAGCCCTTGAAAAGACGGCAACATTTGCTGCTCCTATGTGGCCACAAGACCTCCATTACGTGCTGGAACATACCCTCCATCTGCCCCAGAAGTATCGCTGTTAGACCGTCCATGGCAGATCAAACCAACCGACTCACAGTCCCTTTTGCAGGAAACACCGGCAACAGAATGGTCCACACTCCACGGTTGCATCTGGGCCACTGGGCAGTGGGTTGTGGTTGAATGGTAGGTTCTCGTGTGGTCTGAACCCGGCCTCTCTCTATGGTGGCGTGTTTCTGCCTGCCTACTACAGTCGTGACCAGAAAGAGAACAATGCGCAAGAGCAGCGGGTGGCCAGGCAGGAAGAAGGCAGCTCTCAGGAATGGGAAGAACTGAAGGCTCCGCATCACCCGAGGAACATTTTCTCACATGCACCATCGGAGGCCTTGCATCCCGGAAAGCCCTTTGGACATAACAGCTCTATTGCATCTTGTCCGGGCAAGATGAGGTAATTACAAGCTGCTTACTTCACTTAGATTCATTGTGAAAGTTGGTGGCTTTAGGTGGACAAATGTCACAACCTGTGTTTTGGAAATCATAGCCTACCAATTTACTACAGGACATGGTAACTGCAAGCATTAGTGGATTTCTTGACTAACAGGAGTGAAAGAGGGTGAATTGCAAATGGATATTTAAGAGAGAGCCAACTAGAATTCCTAGGATATTTTCTTTTTATAAAGGGAAAACTGGTGTCACCTTTCTATTTTTGGATCAACGCATTTGGGGATCAGCTTCAGGTTGATTCATCTTTTATGACTCTTGCTTATACATATATCCACGCTAGATACTGAAGATGAAACTCAAATGCTTTGGCCCCCTAATGAGAAGGAAGGACTCCCTGGAGAAGACCCTGATGCTGAGAAAGAGACAGCAGAGGATGAGGTGGCTGGATGGAGTCACTGAAGCAGTGGGTGTGAGCTTGGGTGGGCTCCGGGGGACGGTGGAGGACAGGAGAGCCTGGAGGAATGTTGTCCATGGGGTTGTGATGGGTCGGACATGACTTGGCAACTAACAACAACAACATATCCCCGCTTGGCCTTGCTTTTCTTTTGCATGTCCAAAATCACCAAGTGGCAGTATTTGCTTTCTTGCGTTTTAATACTTGTAAATAATTGTTAGTGAAAACAATTAGTTAAATAGTAACTTGCCTCTAGCACTGCTGAGACAAGGTTTTCTCCCACTATCACCTTACCTTGTTTGTGGAACTTTGCCAGTCCAGACTTCCTAGCCCTCTGGTGGCTTCCCAATTCCTCTTCCCATATTTTTCCTGGCAGCAGAAAATCCACGAATGGGAAAATGATGGAATTGAGCACAAATGGCACGGAAGCGGTTGCACTAGGAGAATTCCATCTGATTCTCAAGCACAGGCTTTTCAATTAAATTTTGCAGTAGTTAAGTATATAGGAATTTAGGCTACCATCTTAGTTCGCTACTAAACTCAGTGAAACCTGCTTCTGAGAGGCATGCGGGGGGGGGGGGGGAGGTACTTGATAAAGCACCCAGAGGCCATGAAAGTACATGACAAAGTAAACTGAAGAGTCTCTAAAGGTGCGTGTTTAAACAGAAAAAGGGCCACAACTCAAGTATGGCCCCATCACAGGATCACACCTGTTGCTGCAAGACTCTGTTATTATTTTAAATTACATTTATACCCTGCCTTTTCTTTTGCAAGAACTCAAAGTAGCTTATAAGGGACTCCTCTTCACGTCCTCCCCACAACAACAACCCTGTGAGGTAGGTTAGGCTGCGGCCCCAAATCTCCCCGTGAGCTTCACGGCTGAACCAGGATCTTCCGAGTGCCACCCCAGCACTCTAACCGCTCCCCCAGGGTGGCTCTGTCGCTTAGGAATGCCCTGTTACTCAAGAGTAGGCAGGGCTGGCGGGGCAGTCCGGGAGCCGAAGCCCCTCTTTCCGTGCACAGGATCACGCAAGGCTCTGCAGGCCAGGACCGCTCTGTTGCTCGCGAGGAAGCGCACTGCAGCGGGACTTCCTTCTGCGTAATCCAGCCGTGGAACTGCACCTCCGCTGGATGCTTTTAGGCAGTACTTTTTTTGTAAAAAAAAAAAAAAGGTGCCGGAACTCACGCCTTGGGGTCACACTTTTACACAATGGTTGCCCCCGCAGTAAGCACTCAGCGCGCGATCCCAAGCCGAGCAGCGCCCCAAGCCGAGCAGCGCCCTCACAATCAGCGCCGACACACCAGCAGCCCGCAGACACTATGCTAATAATTTTTGCCGGATCTGCTACGCGCAACAGGGCGAGTCACAATCGCTTGGAAAAATCCGCCAAAAAACGCCGGTCCGGTGCGCTCCATGACAAAAAAAGCCCAGCTTTGAGGATGTCAAAAGCAAAGCCGGCCCCGGTGGGGCGCCGCCCCTTTCCCGCGCGCGGGCCCTTTAAGACCGGCGTGCCGGAGAAAAGTGGAAGTCGGGTGCGAGGATGCCGTTGCCCCGGCGACGGGGATGTTGCAACGGCCCACGGCGCAGGTTCTGTTCTCAGCTCATTGGCTGTGCGGAGGTCACGTGGCACTTCTGAACATTCCACCTTCTAAGGCGGAAACCGGCTTGGAGAGGGGCCAGTCGGGGGGCGGCGCGTGGCGCGGACGGAGCTCCGTTGGGTGAGTAGGAGGGGCTGCGTGACGGGAGGGGGCCCGGTTGGGGGCCGCGTCTCTTCGGCGTCCTCCAGCGAGAGCGCGCTTCCACCGCGGGCAGGAGGAGAGCACTCGCCGGGTACCCCCTCCCTGGGGCAGAGGCAGATCGATGGGGGGCGTCTTTATTTGGGTATGGGGGCTGCACTTACGTTAGGAGGGGATCGAATGGGGGGAGGCTAAACGGGGAGGGGAGCTAGCCTCGTGCGAGGAGCAAGACACCCCACGGGGAAAAGTGGCTGACATGCCCCCACCCAAGACCGGGCTGTTGCGTGGGAAGGTGATTCTGTGAGGACCCCTCCCTCCCGACACTGCACGGCGGGGTCTGGGGGAAGGGGGGATCGAGCCCTCCACCCCCACATGGGATGGGGTGAAGACCAGGCTTACAAGATTTAAGAACTTACTTTGTTGTATCTATATTCTGGCCTTTCTCCAAGGAGGTCAAGATGGCATGCGTGATTGTCTTTGTAATTCCTTTTGGTACAGCCTGATAACGAAGTAATGTTGGTTGGCTCAGAACTGCCTCGGGTAGGAATTAAGAACGGCGGAGTGGGAGTTTAAGCCAAGCCCTCACCCAGCGTGGTCTAACTGTATGCTGCTCTCAAAGAGGTCATGCCTCCAGAACAGCCTTCCCCGATCTGGTCCCCTCTAGGTGCGTTGCATTACAAATCCCATCACTTTCTAGCCAGCAATAGCACTCTGGCCACAAGGTTGGGGGAGGGTCCTCTAGAACCAGGAGGGGGGAGTCGATCTCCAGATACGTAGGAGTCCAAGTCCCAGATGTCCCTGCCAGCATGGGCAGTGGTCGGGAATGCTGGGAGCTGAAATCCAAAATATGTGGAGATCAGTTTTCTGTCTACTCCTGCTCTAGAAGGTGATGCTACCTCTGACAGTTCTTGGAACATACACCCAAGACAGGAAGGAGACTGCTTCTGAAAATTAATTATTGTCAGGAAGTTACTGAGGCCACTTAAATATAAGTAATTTAAATGCAATCCTGTGAATGTTGAGAAAGATAGAAGTCATGCAGCGTTCAATTCTAGAAATGGTTCGACATTTGTCTTTTGGAAAAAAAATGTAAAGGATTTGTGCCTTTAGTTGTTTTGATTACATTGTTGATTAATAAAGAAGTTTTTTTAAATTAAAATGCATCCAATACCGCGTCTGTATTTGAGCTTTATTTATGGATTTTAATGAAGCTCTTACAGATTGGGGCAACCACACTATCACTATATGGTGGTGGTTAGTTTCGTTAACGTACCTTCCCGGTGTAGTTTTGGTAGTATTCTGCACTGCTTTCCATAATTTAGTGGTGCTGAGTCTCCATGGAAGGGATTTTCTCGGTATGCTTGTGCCATTTGTATGTGGGAATTCCCATAGGTTCTCAGACTTAAGCTGTGTGAATCTGAAAATTCAAACTGATGAGTGCGTATTTAATATTTGGGGATTTTAGGGATTATTACATAAAGCATTTGGGTTCTGAGGCAGAATTAAGCCTCTAAAATTTAATAATCTAATATTCCTTGGTCTGATAGTGCCAGTGCTGATAGTGAATTTTGGATGACAGCATCTTCCTCAAATTCTCAGAGCTTGCATTTTGGAGGATTTCTTATTTATGTTTTAAAATATAAGCAGTAGAGAAGAGTGGCTTGGTAGCGTAAGCTAGGAATGGAGTCCTGCTGCTGTACTAGCAACTAACACATTAGCTGTTCATTGATTCTGTCTGTCTCTCTCTCTCTCTGTCCCCTTTTCCAGTTGCATTTTAATGAGGTGCCTTTTCACATTCTTGATATCCCTGCTAAGATTGCAATCTTAAGTAAGTCTATTTGTTTTTAAAAGTGACCTAACCAGATGCTTGGTGTTTCTTCTGTCCCACTTGATACATCTCTCCTAGCCCAAAGTTCTTATCATTTCTTACTGCCTGGAAGACCTTTATATAGTGAGAAATTCTGAGGCATGCTACCCTAGAACAAAAGGGGGCACCAGACAGATAAATGGGTGATTTGCCGTAGATTGCCACAGGTTTCTGTTTTTCAGGGTGCTTCCAGATGGAGGAATCCTATCACCGCACATTAGAATACATTCTGTTGCTGTTCCATCTTTTTTGCTTTGACAGATTTTCTGCAGTAAACAAAATGTGTTTAGAAGGAAGACGTAGTGGGTAAAGCAAAAGAGGGTTATGAGTAGAAGATACCATCTGAATATCCCATCAAAGTCTGTAAATGAGGTAGGTTGAAAGCGCCCACCTTTTGTAACCTCCAGTTGGTTGACAGTAGCAATAAATGGAAGTTTCCACCACAACACAGGCCACTGAAACAAAGGCTGCTTTTGGGGAAAGACCAGGAGTAGATTTGTGGGTGAGAAAACTAGGACTGAGAATGAACTTCTGGGCTGAGCTTGTGCCAAAAGGGGTTTGGTTCATTCCTTCTATCATATGCCTGGCCAATAAGCCTCTATTTTTCATTAGGATTTTGGCCAAAACAGAGTAGTTCTTGTATGCTTGAAATCAGCCCATCCCTTGCATTGAGCAAGCACTTGTGGCGTGGGGCACAAAGGGCAAATTAATGCTTGCGCTCTGCCAGTGCCTGCGATTTAGGATAAAGCTGCATTAAATTGTTTTCCCATAATTATTTTCAACTTGGAGGAGCATTGCGGAGATGGCTCAGATTAGTAGCTCATTGTTCCGTACACTATGCCTCACCATCCAGGCTCTGAGCAGGTTACACAATGGAGTCTAAATCCAGCCTGTCAGCACCCTGAAAGGTTCGCCTCTATATGTCAAGTCCATGAACCGGTTTCAGCACTTGTACCATGTCTGGGCTGCATTCTTGTCACTGCCATGACTAGTCTTCTCTCAGGGACTTACCCCGTTTGTAAGAAGTTTGCTGCACTGCCGGGGCGGCCAGAGGCACCCATTCCTAGCCTGCGAGGCTGGGATCTGCTGAACTGGGTGCTTCCCTCGGAGAGAAATGGCCCCTCTGCCTGTCCCCCCACACCCCCATGTCCGAGCTCTGTTTTAGTCTCCTCGGGGGTGCTGAGGCGGTCGGCAGCCACAAAGAGAGGTTTGGGTGATGCGTGCCTGGCACGGCCAATACATACCCCTGTGGCAACTCTAACCACTTGTATTGCCTGCCACTGGTAACTGAAGCGGGCATTCGCCCGGGCAAACCCACTGCTTGTCTCTGGCCTCCATGTGGCGTCTTTTGCTAGAAGCAGAAGCATCGCTAGACTCCCTCGCCCGGGGCCACCCATGGGAACGCCGGGAGAAGGTGTGAGTCTATCTTCAACAATCCTAGCCTAGCTGGATGTGGTGTGAGAGGATGGCTTGGTCTTTGTCACTGGTTCCAGATAGGCCATCGGTCAAACGTTTCTCGCCCTAGTACCCCTTCTCTTCCCTTTCGACAGCAGAGGTCAATGGGCAAAGCTTTTACATTTGTGGATGGGCGGGCGGTGGAAGGGAATTGTTGACCAGGCGCCTCACTCACTTGCTGATGATTCTCCCTGTTGTGTGGCTTGTCCCCTGCCCTCTTTCCCAATTCCCTGCTCTTCCCCATCCCAGGCATTCCTGGATCTCTTCATGTTCCCTTTGCTGTCCCTGCTCCCTGCCCTAATCCTGCCTCCTGGGCCCAGCTGAGCTTGTTGTGTTTCCTACTTTCTCCAGTTCCAATGTTGTTTTTTCCAGCTGCCAAAGAAATGACTCAGCCGCATCAGTACCAAACTCCACGAGTGGCTGGAGCTGGGGGGGCGGGCAGCCCTGGGTATATTGGTGAGATTGTCAGGAACAAGGGTAAACATGGGAGTTGGTGTCGTTCTGGCAGCCCATGCTTTTCTCAGAAAAATGGCTTTGAGTCCTAAACTGGCCAGAGGTTATGCCTTCTGGCCTGGAATTCCACGTGGCTGTAGGTTGTCTCGTGCAGCTGCTGTAGCGTAAGAGCAGGGCCCAAGTAACGGCTTCGATGCCTTCCTGTGAGGGAAATTAGAGGTCCTGGAGGGACGTATTCATCCTTCTGAATCGATATAGGAACTCTGTCTTTTCTCTCTCACACACACACAATCATAACGTTGGCTATGTACTAGTTACTAGTGACAAAGAAGGTTTATTGTTTTATTAATTTAAAGCAGACCATTTATTCCTCATACCTCCAAAATAGCACTAAATTTAGCAGTTGACCCCCTGTTGCTTTTTGCACTGCCTTGCCTATTCCTTTCCAGCAAAGGTGGCAATCTGTGGTCCTCTTGACTGGTAGGAATCCATATCCTGTTCTTTCTGACCTTTGGCCAAGTTGGCTGGAGCTGATGGAGTCCAAAAGCATCCAGAGCCCTCCAGGCTGCCTTGCCCTATTCACCAAGGTCTAGCACCGTGTCATCCAGCAGCAGTGGGCAGTGCACCGCGCTCATTGGCCAGTTGTGACATCACAAGTCCAGTCAGCCCCAGGAGGTTTCATTTTTAAAAAGAGAAAACCAAGCAACGGTAAAGGTTGGCACAAAAAGCAGTGCAGCGCTTAAAATAAAAATGTGCAAGTGCATCGTGGAAGATGCTGAATGGCCGGGCAGGCCTGAGAAGGGACATGCCAGCGCAGACGATGAGTCCCTCAGTCCAGTATTCTGCTCACACAGTGGCCAACTGGACCCATGAGTCAGACATAAACGCAACAGTCCCCTCCTCGCATCCCACTCCCCAGCATCTTGCCTTGTCCTGCATAGGCACCGCTAGCCTTCCCTTCGGGGAATTAATCCAACTCCCTTTTAAAGCCCCCCGCACGGCCGTCACGATGCCTTGAAGAAGTGACGTGGTGCAGAAGGCTGTGAAGGAGTCTTGTTCCGTGGAAGCAGCAGAAACAACAAGCACCGTGTGAAGACAGGCTTGTTTGTTCTCCGAGATCCGTATTTGAATTCCAAATAAAATTCCAAACAAAATTTGGATGCCAAAGGGCAGTGGGCGTGCATGCTGAAGACAACTGATTTTTGCCAGCCTCTGGGCGGTGGAAGGACGAGGCCTGACAAAGGACAGGAATGAGATTAGACTAAGAATGCCACATCCGGCTGGTGGGGAGGGGAGGGGAGCCCTGCTTTCTTCTGAACGACACCAGAACGACACCTTCAAATAGGGTGGCTTGGATTCAGACTTAGTCTTGCCTAGATACACTATAACTTCAGGAGAAGTCTTTCATTCCTCGGTTGTCGTGAGCCTGCCCTTTCTCTCCCCCCTCCACCTCCCTATTCTCTTGTTAATATATATTTAAAACATGGAAGTGCTGCTGGCGTGAGTCACCTTGGATCGGTGCCTGACCCACGGGGGCCTGCAGGTGGGAGTCCAGCGGCTATAAAGCTCTCGGCCTCGTTCACCACACCTGCCAGATCGGGGATAGCGGTACAGTCATCTGCACGGAGCAGGCCGTGCCATCCCCTGTGCTGTCCCCAGGGCTCTCTGTGCGCGGGCGAATGCCACAAAGCCAGCCACAAGTGCTTGTTTACTTCCAAGGAGCCTCTGGGGTCCAACTGTGCACTGGGTGAACTGGACGTCTCCTGGGGAGGCTGGATCTAAGTGGCCTCGCTCCAGCTGAACTCCTCTGGAAAACACGGTCACGAGTGCCCGCTAAACAGCCACGGCGCATAGCCCTGTGGGAAGACGCGTCTGCTGGGGAACCATGCACAGCCATTCTTGCAGGGCCATTAAAATTAAGGCTAGTGGCCTGCATCTCGATTTAGTCACACCTTGACTAGGTAACCTACTGCAATCAAGAGCACTGGAGTTAGTCGTGCGGATTCCAGCTACAGGATCTGTATTCCTGGATCTAGGAATCTGACTGGCAACGCTCATCCTGCAGATTGTGTCATGTGGGGAATCTGAAAACGAGGAGAGTTGTTGGCATGTCAGCTTCCTTTTAAAAGGGAACAAAGGGAATATGTTTCTAGCCCCTTTCAGGGGGTGAAACTACTCTCTCTAGACCGCTTCGGTTGTGGGAGTCTGTGGAGTGGTAAGGACTCAGATCTCCATTCACCATGACACTGGATTTGCCCCCATACTTCCCACGCCCTGCTCCGTGACCAGCAGACCCTCCAGCTTCCCTGACCCAACTTCCCTTTTGCCACTCTTCCCGTGTTGGCCCCGTGTGTTAGCAAAAGGAGTGCACAAGCCTCTGAGCTGCCTGCCTTCCTTCTCTCCTGCCCCACGCCACACTCGCACTTGCAGTGGCACCGAGACTTGCAGTGGCATTCAGGCATGATATGATTTAGGAGATAGGTGTGGGCGGAATCTTGCACCTGTGCCCCAGAATCCCAGAGTAACGCTCGGCTCGGAAGTGAGGCATCGCTGCTCGCTGGCGCCTCGTCTTGCCCCCGAACGGCCTCCCCTCCCTCCTGTGGGCTGTCCTTTCCTCCTCCAAGGTGGAGCCAGTGCATCAGCCTCCACAGTGGTCTTTTAAGCTGGCCAGGCAGGCACCCAGCAGTCCTAACGCAGCTCTGCACGGCATCGGGAGCTGCAGCCCCAGCAGATGCCATCTGTTAGCCGTCCTGGCCAGCCGAGACGCTCCTCCTGTGCCGGAGGGGGCAGGTCGGGGAGCGACAGTCCCCCGTTCACCTTGGACAAGCCTCTCTTTGCCCAGCTTTCTCCGTGAGACGAGGATGCTCACGTCGGCCGCCTGTTGAATGCGTCGCATAAATGTAGGTGGTGGAGGCTAATTGTCGACGTGGGGGGGGGGGCAGGGAGCCGTGTCTGCCGATCACTGTCGGTGGACTCCGGCAGCCCGGGCTGGGGTGGAGCTGGGCGGGTCGTTGCCCTCCCTGCAGTAGTGCCCAGAAGTGCAACTTGCTCTCTTCTGCCAACCCCACAAACAGACGGGTAAACATGATGCGTTCAGACAGCCTAAATAAGCGGAGTGCTTGGGGTCCCCTTTGGAGTATTGGGCAAACCAGCCCTTTGCCCACTCGGGAAACACGCCTGATCCGCATCGTGGGGAGCTGTGGGTTTCTGCAGGACGTCTCTTGGTCGTGCTGGAAATCTCGGAACGGGCAGCCTCCTGGGAACTGGCGCTCACCGGTGCGGATACCGTATTCAGCCATGCTCTCTCTGCTTGCAGGGCTTCCAATCTCCACGGAGAAGAGAGGGAAGCGGAGGCAGGAGCGTCGGGCAGCATGGAATGCGTCGCCGAGGCGGTTGCAGAGCAGTGTAAGTGACAGCGCGGAGTTTCGGCAAAGATTCTCACCCATCCGGGCTCCTTCGGCTCTGCCACTGCCTCCCCCTTCCCTTCTCCCTCGCCTGGGGCTCTCCATCCAGCCCCTCCCACTCTCTTCCCTTTGCAGGCCCCATGGCCAGCAGCAGCCTGGATTCCCGGCCGCTGTTCCAGACGCTGTACAACCTGGTGGACAGCAACGTAGCCTTCTTCCAGGACGGCAGCAGCGACACGGGCCGGCGCTTCCTGGCATCCTTCCTGGCCATCCGGGAACACGCCCAGCACCTGGAGCCGGTGCTCAGCCACTTCGCCACCATCTTCCACATCTTTGACCTGGACGAGCGCACGCCGGCCAACGGCTACCGCAGCCTGGCCCACATCGTGCACTGCTGCCTGGCCCACATCATCCACAAGAGCCACTACGTGGCCACCAACCGCCACAGCATCTTCTTCCGCGCCAGCCACAACTGCGCGGAGCTGGAGGCCTACTGCAGCGCCCTGACCCAGCTGCGGGCCTTGGTCTACCTGGCCCAGAGCCTCCTGACCCACAACCAGCCGGGCTACCTCTTCAGCCAAGAGGGCGAGCCGCTCTCGGAGCTGCTGCTGCAGGAGTACGTCACCATGCACAAGGGCTGCTTCTACGGCCGGTGCATGGGCTTCCAGGTGAGGGCGCGGGGGGGGCAGCTCAGCCCATGTGAGCAGGGGGCCCCCAGGAGCCACGCGTGGCCCGCTGGCGGGCCCCGTCTCCGGCTGTGCAGTGTGTTGTATTTTTCTACCTGCCCCTCGGCCAAAGAGCAGCATCCAGGCAATCCATGAAATTAGGCAGCCCCTGCCTGCCCCCAAGCCTGAAAAAGACGCGACACACGAGGGAAAAGAAAGGGGAGGGGAAATGTTGTTGGAATGGCCACACGCCCCCCCCCCCCCAATCTCCCAGGGCACAGTTTGGCCCTTCCTCTGCCTCCTGTGCTCTGCCTCGCACTGTATTCTTCATGGGGCAGAGACATCTCTTGCGCCGACATCCTCCTGCAGCGTTTTTCAAATTAATCTGCCATAGAAATAAGCGATTCAGTAACAAGAATCGTTCGGAGTGCCTCGGCGTCCCCAGCAAGGCCGGCCAAGAAGTTTGCGCTCTTCCCAAGAAGCCAGCCCCGCACACACTGTTCTCTCGGCTCTGAGGGCCTCTGGCTTGGTGCGCTCGAAGCCGAACCGTCCGAGTTAATCCCAGAGGAGCCTCTAAGGCAAGAGCAGCAATTTGACGGCCTTTGGCAGGGCCCTCCCAGCGCAGAACGCCGGTCCCGGCCTTCCCCTCCGCTCCGCCACCTTTCCACGCAGACTGCGGCCTTGACAGCCTGCCCTGAGCAATGCGTAATGCGAGCTTGCAGGTCCCTCTCTCGGTTCGCCTCCCTCTTCTCTCCTCCCCCCGACCCGCCAAGATCGCTGCTCTCCTGCCGTCCAGTCTGTTTAGAAAAGGAGCTTCCCAGCAGGCTGCCCGCCTGCTCTCCCTCGGGCCCCATCAGGCGTCCTCGCCGGCAGGTCCACCCCGGAGACTGTGCCTGCCCTGTGCTTTCCGACTGTGCGGGCGCCACGCGCTGCACTATTCTTGCAAGGTCTCTGCACGGGAGAGCCAGGCCTCGCCCTTGGCATTTGGAACTGGCTTGCGCCCAGCGATCCCCGGTCGCCGCCGTCCTTGGTGCAGCCCCCCCCAAGCCGGCGCCGTCCCTTCGCTCGCACCTGGCTCGGCAGCCGCAGTCGTGAGGGCCAGCGTGGCTTGGGCCAGGGGAGCGCAGGGCGGTGCCCCCCAGCCTGAGCGTGGCCTTTTTGCCCCGCAGTTTGCGCCCTCGATCCGGCCCTTCCTGCAGACCATTGCTATCAGCCTCGTCTCCTTCGGGGAGAACTACAAGCGCCACGTTTCCGGTATCGGTAAGTACTGGAGCCAGGGCGCCTCCCGCTGCATCAGCCGCCCTCTGCCCGTGCCGCCCCCTCTGTCGTGCCCCCTCCGCATCCCGTGAGGCACGCCTGGCCCACGTGGTACCTGCTGGTCCTCCTTTTCCCAGAATGCACAGCTGCCTCGGGCATTTCCTGTGGAGATAAATGGTTTTTTCTCCACATTGGTAGCAGTCGTCGCCATAACATTACAAGGACAGAAAGGCTGCCAGAGACGCGTCGTGGAAACGGTCGGGTGATCGAGGCGGCATGTGTGTTCGGTCGGCTTGCCACCGAAACACAGGCCGCCTGTCCTGCCAGGAATGAGGCTCCGCAGTCCTCTGGAAGCAGTTCACGCCTGCCCTGGCCTGCTGCAGCTCCGAAGTGGGCCTTGCACTTCTGGGCAGCAGCATCACCTTGGGGTGGCCCCTCTGGTAGCCCACCTGCCCCTGATCTGCCTCCCCATGGCTGCAGGTGTGATGGCGGGCTCCATCTGTACCAGCGGGAAGTTTGTGATTGACCCCGAGCTGCGGGGCTTGGCGTTTGAACGCACCACTCAAAACCTGGATGTGCACTTCTGGAAAAGCTTCTGGAACCTCACGGAGATGGAGCTGCTGGTCGTGAGTCCTGCCTGGGGCAAGCCGAGGGGAAGCTGGGACGGCCGGGGGAAGGGGCGGGAGCCGTGGTCTGCACCTGTGGGGGGGTCTGGGAGCGGAAGAAAGGGGCGTCCGGGGGCGGGTTCCCACAAGAGCTTGCAGTGACTAGGAACTGGGGCAGAAGTGGGTGGTAAAGAGGGCTGCTCCGATGGGGCAAAGATACGGGGCTCCCCGTGGAGTGGGGTCATGCTGTTCCTGGAGGGAATCCTGCATTGTCCTGTGCATGCTTCCCCCAGTGGAGCATCAAGTCCTTGAGATTTCCCAGGAAAGTCACGGCCTCTCCTGCCCTTTCCGCAGTCACTGGCCAGCATGGGCTCCTCGCAGGTCCGATTGTCCCGGCCCTTGCTGGTGCCACCGCATTCCTTTGAACTGCCTCTGGCTGCTGATCCCAAGCTGACGGTGACCATCACTCCCCCGGTGGCGCACTCCGGGCCGGGACCTGTCCAGATGAGGCTCATCTCCCACGAGCTACGGGAGGGACAGGTATGGGACCAAGAACACCCCTGTGGCCTTGTCCTGTGCCGAAGCTGGGCTGGGGGCAGTGCTCAAGGAAAGCCAGGCATTCAGCGTTCCAGTCCCAGGCTGAATGCTCCGGGAGTCATCCCCTGGCCTAGTGGGATAATTTGCATGTTCTCCCATATGTCAGATTCTCTGGGAGTAGAAAAGTACATCTCTTGCTATACTGCTTTTTAATTGCTCTGCTGATTGGCTGCCAGTGCTTTGTTGGTTTAATTGATTTATGTTTGCATATGGCTGCATAAAGTTCATTTTAAGCTGTACTGGATACAGGCAAGCCTATCCCTATGTTTATAAAGCATTCCAAAATCCATATAAGTAATATCTTTACTAGGCCAGCTCTGAGATCATGAACATGTGCAAGCTCGAAAACTGGTGAGATGTTATGAAGTGCAGGTTGGGGGGGGGGGGGGGGATAGAAAGCAAGAGGGGGGAAGCTTATCAGATGTCGTAGGATGTCTGCATGGATTTAAGTGATGTGGAAGAGGCAAGTTCACAGACATTCAGACTGAGCTCTGCCAGGCGATGTAATGGTTTCAGGTGCCTTTGGACCACTGGGGTAGAAGAAAGTCTCGGGGAATTGTAGATCCTACGCACGCTCGCACGCACGCACGCCTACACTCAACTGCCCACTCAGTTGGTGTCCTGCAGCAGCAGGGGGTGCCTCCACCCTGAGCAAATCAGACAAGTTCCTTCATTGGTGGAAAACGGAAGAAGAGATCAGCTGGGCAGGTTAACAGATTTTGTGCTTAGTTTGTGTTGACAAAGCTAGAGACAGACTTGCATGCTGGGCAGGGTAAGGAGGAGTCCACAGACAGCACATGGAACACTTCTATCTAGTCTCTGGAAGGGATGAATATTCTGGAATACATCATTTTTGGTGGCTCAGCGGAGCAAGTGTGCCAAGCCAGGCACCTGTGCTTCTGCCTCCCCACCTTCTTGTCCGTTTGCTGCTCCTGTTACCTTCCTCCAAGATTTGATCCTTATTTCTGGTTCCAGCTTGTCAGAATAAGAGCAAGCCCTAGCTTGCCGTAGATGAAACGGGAAATGCTTGTTTGCTACCAGGAACAAAGAGAACTGCATACTGGGGTGGGGGGGGTGAGCCCAAAGTTCCTTGTAGTGGAACTTTGGGGGCATTGGTTGGGGGTCCCCTCCGAACCAGGGCTGAGTGTAGATCGTGTTTTAAATTCGACCTTGAGCTTCTCCTCACCTGCAGTCTAGCGTGATGCACTTCGGGAGCAGGTGATTGCCTTGTTTGTCGGGGGCCTCTGGGGCTTCTTCGGCCCCCGGGACTGGCACTGCCGGGAGGTGCTGGCGGGCGCCACCTGGGCCTCTCTGCGTCTCAGTGCCTGGCCCTGCATCCTCCCCTGCTGCTCTCCCACCTGCAGGACAGCGAGGAGCTGAACAACCTGCTGCGCCCAGAAGTGACCCTCGCCTTGGAACTGCGCTGGAAGACCAAGCTGCTGCCTCGCTCGCCTTACCTGGTGGTGCATTTTCACGGCGGCGGCTTTGTGGCGCAGACCTCCAAATCGCACGAGCCGTACCTGAAAATCTGGGCTCAGGAACTGGGCGCCCCCATCCTCTCCATTGACTATTCCTTGTCCCCGGAGGCACCTTTCCCTCGAGCCTTGGAGGAGTGTTTCTACGCCTACTGCTGGGCCCTCAGGAACTGCCACCTGCTGGGTGAGAAAGGGAGGGGGAAGGAGCTTCTGGCCCCCATTTCTGAGAGGAGGCAGCTGCTAAGACCCCTAACTGAACTCCTCCTCTTCCCAAACTGTCCAGGCCTCCGTGGTCTATTTAGGTAGGCAGCGTCTCTCCATCTTTTGGATTCCTTCCCCAGCTGTGCTTCCTGTTGCAGGGCCCCTTCTGCGTGCAAAGCAAGTCCTCCCCTCTCAGCCAGGGGCCTTGTAGAAAGGGAGAGAAGTCAGGCCAGGGCGGGTGACCCCAGCTGTGACCCAGTTCCTGTATGGCTCCAGGGTGGAGGCATCTTCCGCCTCCACGTATCTGCCGTCCAGGATGGCATCTTGATTGCAAAGATCACCCTCAGGTCTAACACCTTTTCCAGGATCTTAAAAAAGCATGCACAAAACATGGAAAGGTGAAGTACCAGAGAGCAAAAATTCTATGGGATTTTAGCAGCATGTCTCTTTCTGCCACATATTAGAAAGGAAATACTTGAACTAAAGAAGTGGTGTGTTAAAATGTCAGATTTGGCCACTCCAAGCATGCTTCTGTCTAAGCTTTTAAAATTTATTCCCTGGGATTTTGAACCCCCCCTCAGAACTGGAGTGCATTGGGTGGTGTATCATACTCATCGTATGATCTCCCCAGTAGCAGCCAGCCAGGTGTCTCCAGGTGCCTACAGGTGGGGACCTCTGTTTTTGTCCCCAGCGGCAGGTACTCACAGGTACTTTGCCTCTGGGTTTCAAACAGCCTCCTGATTCCAGCCACCAGTTTCTTCCAGCCCCCGGACTCTGACATCTCTCCACCTCTGCCCAGGTTCCACAGCAGAGAGGGTCTGTCTCGCGGGAGACAGTGCCGGCGGGAACCTGTGCATCACTGTCTCCATGCGAGCGGCAGCCGTTGGGATCCGGATGCCGGATGGGATCATGGCCGCCTATCCAGTCACACTCCTGCAGGCGGTGGCCTCGCCGTCCCGCCTCCTCACTTTGTTTGACCCGCTCCTGCCTCTCAGCGTCTTGTGCAAGTGCCTCAATGCTTATGCAGGTGAGGGCAGCTCGGGCAGGTGTGGAGGTGGGAGAAGGAAAGAGGCTTCAGGGGCCAGGCGGGGCAGGGGTGGGCAGTGGCGTGAAGGTGGGCCGGCCTTGCACGCCGCACCTTGGCAAGGGGCCGGGAAATTCGTGGAGGGCTTGGCTCAGAGGGTCAGGAAGGGGCTGCCCCTACAAGATGGATGCAAAGGTTGAGTGACACTGTCACGGGGTAACTTGGGAGCCGGGCAAGGGGATCTGGAGTGGCCCTCTGAAGCCAGGGAGAGAAGGGGAGTTGGATCCTTTGACAGCTCTGAAGTCAAGGTAGGTTAGAGGGGACCCCCCTCCCCAGGGAGGAGTCAGAGTGCAAGCATGCGAACAACCTCTGTGTGGATGTCGAAAGGAATGTGGAGAAAGCCTCTGCTGGGAAGGGTATTTACAGGGCTGGATTTTTCCCCTTGATCTTTGTGCCCCACAATCAAGGGATAGAGGAAGAGCCGGAAGACTCCGCCCTGGTGAAGCTGAGCCCCATGAACGTGCGCAGAGACACGGCCCTGATCTTCCGAGACCTGCGCCTGAGCGCCTCCGCCCTGTTTGGCTCCCGGCTGGAGAACACCAGCAAGATCAACGGGGCTGGGGGAGCATCTGGTAAGCAGCCCTGCTGTCCATCCGTCCGTCCGTCCGTCTCGCCCGCCCTGCCTTCCTCTGACCCCCCCTTGTCTCCACAGGGCACAGGCCCCCCTCCCAGGGCCTGCAGGGTTACTTCAGGCGGCCTGTGGCCCAGCTCTTTTTGGCGCTGTCCCTGGCGCAACTCTACTGGTCCCGGGGCCCCTTCTGTGCCAACGCGGCAGCTGGTAGGAGCCCCCTCTGTCCCTGACAGCACGCCCTGCTGCTCGGGGCGAGAGGACGGGAGCGTGGCGCTCGAACGGCTCTTCCCGGCTACACGGTCCCAGGCACGGGGGCTGCAGCTGGCCCACGAGGGCATGTACAGCGGTCTCGGCCTGGCAGGGCTTGTGGGAGGAGTTGGCTGCTGGCTGGCTGGCTGGTTTTGCTAGCTCTGCATGGCCATTGTGGAAAGACTGCTCAGTGCTTTAGGGAAGGGGCATCTAACATTTTGCAACCCCCCCCCATTCGTACGCGTCAGGTTCTGCAATCGGGCGGATACTTTTGCAGATCCAGCCTGTTAGCATGGGGCCCAGGACGTTGCTTTTGCTGTTCAACAACTCAGGGAACAGGTGGGCTGGCGCGAGAGAGGCTGCTGGGCGAGAGGGAGACGTGGCACTCGGCACGTGGCGCCTGCCCCGTCCGCAGCTGACATTCTGCCATGGTGGAAGGGCAGAGTGTGTTTGAGCAGCTGTATCGCCTCCTCTGCTGTGAAAGCCAGGCTTGTCTACGTCCTGCCAGGGAGTAAGTCCCTCCCGGTTGAGACATTGTCTTGCTGTACCACAGAGAGCATCTGCAGAGTGCTCGCTTCTGCTGCTTCTCCTGATTTGCTCGTACTTCCCCTCCTCCTTGTTCTCCAACCCTCCACACCTGGTCCAACACATCTGGAAAGCAGCAGTGGAGGAAAGCAGCAATATAGGTACAGTGTTGGCCTCACTCTCGTGTTTTGAAAGACTTCGCAGGAATGAGCCAGAAGTTCTTGCCTTCCCTCCTCCACAGCTGTCAGCTGGCATGTTGAGGGCTAGAAACTTGCTTTGCTTTTCTTTCTCCCCTGCATCCCTCTAACCTTCATGGAAGGGCTGAGTTTTTCCAAATTTGGCTAAGACGGGGATCTTCTGTGCTTTGTGCCACGTCCCTCCCTTTCTCAAGCAGGAGTGGCTTCTGCAGCTGGCCTGACTGTGTGCTGTCGCAAGAGGCCCCAGACAAAGCAGAGTGGCGCTGCCTGGCACGCAGTGGTGGCCTGCCGCAGCGCGTCCTGGAGGCAGCCCGTCGCTCCCTGGAGCAACAGAGTGCGGGGGAGGGGGGGACGTCCTGGTAGAAGCATGCTGGGAAGTGAACTGCCGAAGAAGCGGGGCCGTCCTCATGGGGGCGGGAGTCCTAGCGAAACCGTCTGTCTGAAGGATGTAGCTTCAGACCTTGGTCTCTTTAACTCAGCCTTCCCCGGCCTGCTGGTCTTTGGAGGCATTGGGACTGCAGCTCCCAGAATTCCCATCCAGCAGAGCCATGGACGGGGAATTCTGCGTGCTGCAGTCCAAACGTTTCTGGAAGGCGCAAGCTTGGGGAAGGCTGCGCTAGATCAAAGGTGTACAGGTTTCTGTTCTGTTCTGTTCCCCAGGCAGGTTCTGCCTTTATTTTGCATACCACCCACCATTTGGAGGGATCTCTCTGGGGCTTTTTTCATTGTCATTTTTCTAATTTTTCGTTCGGCAACTGGCAAAACCTGGTGCAGTAGCAAGGCGGACAGAAGTGGGAGCCGGGAGCAGTTTGAGTGGTCCTGGAAGGAGGACACCATGGTAACCCTGGTCATCTCCAAGGAAGGTGGAGATGCATGGCTCAATTTAAGCTGAAGCATCTCATGACAACACTCAGAGCTTTGCCCTAGATGAGGCAGCTCACATCCACGTATCACGTTCCAAGCTCCGTATCAGGTTTTGCTCCAGGAAACAGGAGATGCTCAGTTCCTGTTTTGACAATGGAAAGCAGGGGGGACGCTTAGCCCAGATCACCCTGTGAGGGCCATGAGTTGCGACTGGTTGGACAGGGAAGGGAGGAAAGCAGCCTTGAGGCTGCAAATTATTTCAGTGGAACGCACCTGGACGGTACCCAGGGGGCTAAGGCTGAGCACACAGAGGGAGGATTTGGTTCTGAAAGAGGCGGAGGATGCCAGGATTGGGGGAGAGAGGCCCCAGCGAGGAAGAAACAGGGAGCCGAAATAGCACTGGCACTCGTTTCCCCCTCCCTTCCCCTGCAGGCACAGTGAGGAAGAGCGTCTCGGAGGGGGGCCTCAAGTCCAAGCCCCTTTCGTGTTCCAAAGACTCCTGCAAGAGCCAGACGTGCCAGAACCTCTCTTGTACCTCTGAGACTCCGCTGGGCCCCGGCCCCGGCCCCAGCCCCAGCCCCGGCTTAGAGCCCCAGCCCGGCTTCTCTTCGAGCAACAGGGAACACGAGGCCACATCCTCGACCCCCAACAACCACATGACGTTCCCCGACGGCTTTCGGCCGCTGCACTCCGACCAGCCAGCCATCCACCTGCTCCCCAAGCTGTCTCCCATCCTCAAGAACCCGTTTGTGTCGCCTCTCCTGGCCCCGGACGAGATGCTGAAGGGACTACCGCCGATCCACATAGTGGTGAGCAAGCCTGAGGGCGTGTGGTTGGCCAGCCCGGAGGCGGGGGGACTTTCAGCAGCACATGGGTGAGGAAGGGGCTTTCTTGATGGGTTGGAGAGAGAAGGCCGGAGCAGCCCTGCTGGGCATCGCCAGCTCGACACCCTTCTCTGCGTAGCTCAAAGCTGCGGAAAGACCAGTCGAGGGAGGAGGATGCGTAACTGGGGCGGGAGCAGCCTCTCTCAGGGACGCCTCCCAGGCGCCTTTGCGGGGAGGGTCGCACCGAGGGAGGGGCGCCATGAGGGTGCCCTGGCAGGGGCACGTGGGAAGTCGCGGTCCCCAAGGGGACACGGTGTTGGAGGGCTGCAGCGGGCCCACTCTCCCCTCCGCTTCTTGCCAGGCTTGCGCCCTCGACCCCATGTTGGACGAATCGGTGATGTTCGCCCGGCGGCTGCGAACTCTGGGGCAACCGGTGACCCTACGGGTGGTGCAGGACCTGCCACACGGCTTCCTCAGCTTGTCGCATTTGAGCCGGGAGACGCGCGAAGCTCTGGCTGTCTGCACAGAGAGCATCCGAGACGTTCTGACCTCTGAAGCTCCGGCGGCTTGCCAAGCGCCCACTGCGGCCGCCTCTCCACGGAAGCATCGCAAGGTGGAGCGGACCTTCCCCGCCAGGCCTGCCCCCAGCCAGGGGGCCAGCCATGCCCCTGCCCCGGAGACGGGACAGGAGGGGCTGAACGGGGCTGCCCCCAGCACCACGGACAACGCTGCCCCCGACCCCCAGGAGCCCCGGAGCACTTCCCCAGGAGAACCGCCAAGTGGCGCTGGAGGTGGGGCTGTGCCCACCCGCAGCCCCTCCTCAGAGGCCGCTGTCACACCCGGCCAAGATTGCAGCCCCTCCGGGGGCACGGTGGGCCGTGGCGTGGGGGCCTGAGCCCCGCCGGAACGGCCGCGTCTGAGGCTGCGTGGCGTGGCGTCCTGTTGCAGAGGGAACGCCCCTCGGTGCTTTTTCCTTGTGTTCCGAAGATGCATAGGCACAATGACCCTGAGCCTGCCCACCCCCGTCGGTGGGGCCCCCTGTTGCTACCAAAGCCTGAGGCGGGGGTGAAGGGGGTGGCCCCTTTCGCCCCACTTACTGGGATCCCGCTTTTATGCACTTGGGGTTCGCTTCAGAACTGCACTGAACTCTCCAGCCCATTACCTGCCCGAGGCCTTGTAGCTGGCGCAGCTTCCCCTCCCGCCTCACCCTCCGGGGTCCTCTGCACTATGACTTGAGCAACTTGGGAGGGGTTTCATGCTTGGGGCTGGGGTGGTTCATTCAGCTGGGGGACCGTTCCTTGCCACGCTGCCCCACAGACCCCCCTCCGACGCACTGTGTGCCGCTCCCGTTTGCGTGACACGCGTTACCTGCACTGCCATGTCCCGTCATCAGGCGGACCACCTGACCACTCCTCCGTGCCGGCTTCGGCTCGCACCGACGGGGCTCTTCCTGCACAGATCTGCTTCCTCTCCCCCGTCAACACTCCTGCCTTTACTGTTGCTGCTGTGAACCAAAAGGGGAGGGGGATTGAGAGGAGAACAAGGGCTTCCCCCACTCCGGAGAAGGGCTGTGGTTTTCTCTCTCCACCTTTTTCTCGGGGACAAAGGGAACAGAGTATTTTTATAAATAAAAACCTATTTGATCTTAAGTTTCCTCTGTACTTGCCAACTTGGAATCCTCTGTTTGTGTTTGTCGGGGTGGGTGGGTTGGAGCAGTATAACAAGCCTCACATCCCTTGAGGTGAGATTTGGCAGCGAAGATACTATGCAAATTCAGAGTTACAGAAATAAGCAAGCAGTGTGGGTGCCTACACAAACCCTGCTGTTTGCCCACTGCCCGTAACCATGCAGCCTAAAGGGGACACGGAATGAAGCCGGTTTAGAAAGCTATCCTAGTTGGTCACCCAAAGGGGATTTCAGCCTACTGCAGGTGACTGAGCTATAGAGGTTACAGGGTCTTTTTTTTAAGTGCTGTGGGCTGAGTCAAGAACTCGGTGGCCTCCATGGCTCCTTCCAACCATTCCATGATCCTGTGTCAATTCCGGCTCGGGGCTGTATGCTCTGGCCAGCACCGCTTCTTATGTGCAGAGCTCTAGGCCACTTCAGCAAGATCCTTGATCTGGAGTGGGCAGTGATTGAGGCCGGAATCTCGGAAATGCAGAGGGTGTGCTTTGGCAGCTGAAACTTTGCAAGGCTGTAGCCTCAAAAATTGCACAAGTGAGTTTTGCTTTGCTGCATTCTGAGCATGACCCATGTTTCCTCAAGGAATGTGGCAGTTCTTTGAGCTTCCTTTTTGTAGCAAGCATAGGCAGTGGAGGAACAGTTGGAGCCCCGGTATGGGAAGCAAAAAAAAATTCAAAGGCCTTTAGGTGAGAGCTGAAGAATTCCCAATAGCAATTTCAGGGGGAAATGGCTGAGCATGGAAGGGGAGGGGAGGGCTTTCGCACCACTTCCACTGAAACTTTTTACCCCCTGGCCTTATTAAAAAAGTTTTGCCGGGACTTGGAAATAAATAGTTTACCAACACACTGCACCCAAAGGCTTTTTACAACGCATCATGCAGGAGAAGCAGAAGAACTGAGGCAGCTGCTCCACCAGGAAGCCCTGGAACATCTTTGGGCCAGTCTTGTCTTAGCAAGCCTGAATGTCAAATGGTTTTGAAATATCTCCGATGGCAGGTAGAGCTTATTCTTGCCCTGTGTGTGAGGCCAGGCAGACCGCAGAAGAGGAGAAAGGAAAAGGCAGCCTGGGAATTTGGTTTTTTGTCCCCAAAGCCCTGAAATTGAGAAAAGTATATCCTATATTATGGCCTACGCTACTTTTTGCTGTACTTTTTGCTCTTTGCAGCTTTTTACCCTTTGAGAGCAGCATGAAATCAGACCACAGGTTTACAGGCTAAAGGAATTTACACCACATGAAAAGGGTATTTGAAAGGAGGGAGGGAAAACAGAAAACCACTAGATTCTTAAAGTTTAACAAGTCATTGGGCTCAATTGTATGTGGGAATGAGTGACTGGAGGTATATTAAATTCAACAGATGCTAGTTTCACTGGGCAATAGAAGAAAAACCTTGAATTTGGCTTTTAAAACCATATCCACAACCGTGGGCAAACCCCCTAATGGCTGAAATAGGGACTTAGATACGCAACCTTTACTCTTACACCAAAGATCAGTATCTAAACTGCTCCCCACCCCTATTTATGTATAGCTGAAAAGTCAGGCTTTGTCTCTGTCTCTAGCAATTGCATCACCCCCTTTTCTCCAGAGGCTTCAAAGTAATACAGATTATTTCCCTCTCCCCATGTTTGTCTTGGAGATGACCCTGTGAACTAGTTGGCCCAAGGATACCCTGCACTCTTGGGCACCCACTAAGTGGCGATTACACCCCAAATTTCCCTCATCCTAGTCTGATGGCCTGACCAAGACATTGCACTAGAGTTCCTACTCTGCTTCCCACTTGTCTTTTCCAAAAGGACGTGGTCACAAGCTGAACCAAACCAGTAAACAAAGCTGTAATAATATTCTGTATGTGTTCAATTTCAAATAAGGGTTCTGCAATGTGAAATCAGACTCGGCTCTGACTTTTTGCCTGCCTGGCAGGTGCCTTGGGCTGTTATGGTACAAAAATAGATTGCAGAGCCCAGGGTGGCCTTTATCCTAGTTGTATAAAATCCAGGATTAATATAATATGCAGTGTATTGGCATATGGGTGTTAGGCCTTAGTTCTAAATTCCCTGCTCCCTGTTAGAGGTCATTTTAGTATAAGACGGGCAGGAAATGTTCTTTCTACTCTCCCTTCCTCTGGTTCTAGTGCTGCACTCAGAAAGGCTCCACAAATGAGGGGTTTTTGTCCAAGTAATTAGCAGAATGATCTTAATGGGATTATTTGGTTGCCTGGGTTTCCTGAATCACGAAATCAGCCCCTATTTGGTTCCAGGATATGTGGGCTTCTTAAAAATACAGGCTTGCTTCAAAGATGGCACTGAGAGGTTAATGCTTATTTTATCTAGCAACAGACCTTGCGAGATGATACAGATACACACAAACTTCCCCTGTGTGCTGATGAGACCTGAACTGGTGGTGACTGACCAGGAAAGACATCTTGGAGCCCTGAAAGATAATTTGATGAAAAGATCCACCCCACCTATGGAATGCGCTCCCCAGAGAGGTCCGCCTGGCGCCGTCGTTACTTGTTTTTCGGCGCCAGGCTAAGACCTTTTTATTTAAAACTTATTTTAAGTGTTAATTTATTATGTAGGATTTTTTAAAAATTTAAGCCAAGATGCACCAGGTTTTAATATTTTTAGTGTATAAAATTTGTATGATTTTGTTTGTTTTTGTTGTGAGCTGCCCCGAGGCTTTGTTGCGATGGGGCCGGCATAGAAATGATTTAAATACATACATACATACATACATACATACATACATACATAAGGCCATCTATAGAACTTGCAAATATAGATGCAAGGGATCAACAGGAAAGAACCAAAAATAAAACTCCTATTACGATGTCTTTATGCATTCTGTCAGTGGAAGCTCATTGGAATACTGTTTGCAGACACAGAAAAGCCAGCTGAGGGTACAAACTTATACATGTTTAGACGGGAAAAACATGTCTACAGCTTTCCACGTTACCCAGACAACCGTATGTAAGATGTGTCCTAAGACAATTGAGTGGAGCAACTTTCCTGTGGAGAAAGACTACTAGCTTTGGGGCTTGGTCGCTTAGGAAAAAACAGCGAATATGGGGCAACACAGAAAAATGTATGTGCTGTGGCGCCATCACACAGTTTTCTGCCTGTGCTGAATGCAAAGCTTCAGGCAGGAGCTTCCGGGCAGATCAACATAAGAATTTGCCACAGGATGTAGCGACAGCTGCCCGCTTGGATGACTTTAAAAGAAGATTAGACAAATTCATGGAGGGCAAAGTACTATGTACGTACTATGCCTCTGAACAGAACTGGCACTGTGCGTTTCGCCTCCTGCTTGTGGGGCTCCCTTAAGCCTGTGGGGAAAGTGTTTGTTTTGAGCTGATTCAGCCTGGCTCTTGCATTCCTAAGGCAAGAGATGCAGAATAGAATTTGGAAGGGGCTGGTCAGGTCATCAGCACATGCCAGATTCAGAATTAAGCACTGAACACAGAGTATTACACAGTCTGGGGATGGAAAGCTGATCTGATCTTGGGTCGTCAATCATTTGCCTTCGAAAGAAGTTCAGTTCTTGGACTGTGCACAAAAGGAGAATGTTTTAGTTTTGCTTTTAATTTGTTTTCCATTTGCATAGCTTCGGTGTTGGATTGTTTTACATGTGACATCAGTGCGAACTCTTGTTCAGTTCCGTGTGATGCCGCCTGAAGCAGATCAATAACGGTTTGCAAGTGAGGTTTGGGAGTTGTCTGGCAATGAAGTCACTGTGACCTGGCAGTATTAAAAAAATTTAAAATAATTTAATTGTAATTTAATTATTTATTTTTGTTTAATTTTGTTTGAAATTCTTTATTTTTATTTTATTATTTGATTTTAAATATTGGACAGTATTTAAAAACCCTAACCATCCACTGCACTAAGGGAAACTTTAAGAAAACCAAGATGTTGTGCTGAGTTACACAACAACTTTACTGGTAACAGTGACGAAATTGAAATTGCGAAAGTTCTTTTGGCTCAGTGGTGCTTTCAAACAGAGACAGCGGCAAGAAATTCGAAGAAGGCTAAGACTTGGAAGGTCATTGGTGAAGGAACTAGGAAAGTTCATTTAAGGACTTTTCACCGAGAGGCCAAGATTGTCCAAACTATTGTATTCCTGGTCAATATTTACTTATTTATCTGGCCAGGGCGACTTCTTTTCTTTTACAACTTTTCTTTTATAACTTCTTTTATATCGTTTATATTTTTTATTTATTTTACATTATTAATTTTAATTTTATATTGTTATTTTTATATTGTATTGTATTGTGTTGTAAGCCGCCCCGAGGCTTCGGCAAGGGGCGGCATAGAAATGTTCTAATAATAATAATAATGTACGGGGGTGAAAGCTGGACAGCGGAGAAAGATACTAGGAAGAAAATTGATGTATGTAAGATGTGGTGCTGGAGAAGAGCTTTGCCGATTCCCTGGACAGAGAGAAAGACAAGTTGGTCCTAGATCACATCAAGTCTGAACTTTCCCCAGAAGCAAAAACAGCAAGAATGTGAAGCTGTTGTACTTTGTGGACGCATCACGAGAGGGCAAGACTCTCTGGAGAAGACGCTTGGGAAAGCCAAGGCCGGAAGGCCAAGTAAAAGATGGAGCGATTCCATACAGGCTAGGAAGACTTGGTCGTGGGTGCCCAAGGGCTGAGCGGGGCTGTGAAGGACGGCCATTTTGAGGGCTGCTCTCCAAAGTGAGAGACAACTTGAGGGAAAGGAGGCAAAGGCTGGACCCCCCCCCCCACACACACACACACCAAGTCTGACCCTGCTGGGAGACCACCAGCTTGGGGCCTCTCCTCTTTTCCCACTGTACGCACATCAGCTGCTTGCTATACAAACATCATAGCTATGCATTCATGCCTGATTGGGTTTTTTTCCTCCTGCATCCCAACCCTGCTTTCCTTTTGTGTCGTGTCTGAAGGCAGGGACATGAGTGTTGATCTTTGTAAGCTGCCCTGGGAGCCCGTCTGGCTGAAGTGCATGGTTAAAAATGTTTTTAAATGAATAAATAAAGCTGCTAGACAAAAGAATGTTGTGACTGCTTTTCTGTGTGTGTCAATAGTCTTTTGTTTCAGACTGTGGCACAATAGGTGCAGTTGATGGCAGTTCCTCACGCTTTACATTCATGCCAGAAAAAGTTGCACCAGTGGGATGCCTACCTGTTTGGCAGATGATCATTTTACAGGGCAGGGAAAGGTGAGGCAACTAATGGATTAGAGCGGACTTCTATGTGTGGGGCAAGTGTCTAAACATGCAGAGGATTGCCCCATGGGGATTTTAAGTCCAAGCTTTAGGAACAAGTCTCATATTTGGAAGGGGGGATATAACAGGGTGCGAAAATAGTAAAATAAATAAAATATTGAATGAGGACTGCAGATCCATACTGGGTTTGTCCCCAGTGAAGCCAAGTTTCAGGAAAATCCGTTGCAATAAATGGGGCTTGATTTTGCCATGAATTAAATGCCACTGATTTTTAATGGGTCTACTCTGAGTAAATGTGGGAACAACGTATTGTGCTGTGAAGGAAGTAACTACACAATGAAGCTTGCTTGCTTGCTTGCTTGTGCGTGTTGTAGAGTGGAGTGGATTGTTTTCAGCCAGTCAAGAAAAATTCCAGGAAGCAGCTAGAGGTTTGTATGGGGTGGAATGGAAGCCATGGCTTGTGAATGGGGGTCTGTGGGGGACTCTTTCACAGCGGAGGGATACCGGCTCTTACTGTGACCCTTTTCTACTCACTCGGGTCCCCTCGTACGGAGCCCCAGCGGCGGGTCGCTCCGCGGAGCAATCCCTGCCCTTGCCCGCCTGGGAGAAAAAGTCCCGGACCCTCTGAGAGGCGGATTCCAAGATGGCGGAGCAGCCGAGGTGCTGCGAGGATCCTTAACGGAGCCGGGTGTGACGCGGCCCCTCGGAGACCCTAAGAGGCGGGGGCGGCCCCTGAAACGAGGGAAGAAGGCTTGCGAGGCGGCAATTTGGGTGAGTGGTTTAAGAAACGGCGCTCACGTAACTTACGCAGGGGTGTGCAGGAGAAGAAGAGAGGTACACGTTAGGGGAGGAGCGTAGGCAGCGTCTATGAATAGCGCTCGCAGAGGCGGCGAGCTGCGTCAATAGCGCAGCGAGGAGCGCGAAGCGGCCTCCAGAGGTCGCTGCGCGCGCCGTTTCGGGAGTTTGAAGCGAGCAACGGCCGGGTCCGCGACGCAAACTGCGTAGAGTAGCAGAGCAAGCCGGCAAGGACGTGGGCGTGTGCTACGCAAGTCGCTCACAAAGCTTTCGGGAATAGTAGTAAGGGAGCACGTGGGGGGCGGAAATCGATATCCTTGTTGGGTCATTGAGGTTTCATTGTTTGTTTTGTTGAACGAAACCGTTTTAAAGAAACCATATGCAGGTGCCAAATTGAAAACAACCCAGCCGTTCTCATCCTTTAACGCAAACGTCTCATATCAAGAGGAATAATATTTATTTCTTCAGTTTTCCATTCCACAATCCCCCCCCAAAAGAAAATTTCGTTTGAAAAATGAACTGGATTAAAAAGATAGCATAGACAGGACTTATTTGTATTAGTTATGGTTTTGTACCTGTGCAACTGGACTTCAATTACAGTCAGTCTGATTGTGGTTAGTAAAGTTCACAAATCAATAAAATATTGAGGTACCTTTAGCGTTTTCACTGCTGGGATAGGAAATGCGGTTTTACAAGAGGGTTTTGCAGAATCGGATCACAACTTTTAGATACTCAGCTGTATAGATAGTGTCATACCTAGTTAAATGTTTTTGTTTCTGTAATATGCTTCCTTTCTTTCTAGTAAAAGTGCCCTTAAAAGAACTTGTGAGACCAGTAAAACCCCTCGAAACACATTATTTAAAATAAAATAAACAGACACTAAAAACGCAATCCTAGCACCCTCAGTATCTCCCCCCCCCCAAAAAAAAGCCTTTTCTCCATTGATTACCTGCATGATCTCTGAAATGGAGGGACATCTGGAGAAAGGTGCTCTGGTGAGGATTTTGGCTGATGAGCAAGTTCTGCAGAAGCAGCAGCTTGGTTTTGGTTCCATTATATGCAAAGCAGCTCAGTGCAAATTCTCTTGGGGCACATACTTCAAAATTTCATAGTTGCCTTTCAGGTATCTTTTGAACATTAGAGTATTTGACAGAATTGTTATGGCATTGTTTTCAACATGGAGATGGAGTTTTTGAATTAAGAATAGTACTTCAGAATTTTCCTATTTGGCAATCTTTTTCTATACCCCCCCACAGCCATTTAACTAAGATTGTTGTTTCATTGTACTCTCTTGGTTTGGTTTCATCAAACACCCTGTACTGAAATAGTACTTTCTGAAATCCCAGTTCACGTACATGGACATCCAGGTGACTCTCATCTGGAGTGTTCTGTGTAATTCAGAGATCTCCTCCCCGCCTGCCTTTTGTCCCCTCTCCAGGTGTGTCAAAAATGGCTCCGGCCTGTGAACGGCTGCAGTTTCGCTTCCCTGGCTATGGCGATGGAGTGCTACACCGCATGGACCAGTTACGGGAACAGCGGCGGTTCTGTGATGTGACGGTGCAGGTGAACGAGCTGCGGGTTCCGGGGCACCGTGTGGTCTTTGCCGCCTGCTCCCCTTTCCTGCGCGACCAGTTCCTGCTCAACGACTCCCAGGAGGTGTCTGTCTCACTGTTCCAGAGTCCTGAGATCGGCCGCCAGCTCCTGCTCTCTTGCTACACAGGATGCCTTGAAGTGCCCATCAAGGAACTGGTCAACTACCTGACGGCGGCTTCCTTCTTGCAGATGGGCCATGTGGTGGAGCGCTGTGCCCAGGCGGTCTCCCACTACCTAGTCCCCAAGGCCGATGCCCTGCTCCGGGAGGAGCACGTGGAAGGGAGCTACCCGCAGCAGGATGGGGAGCAGGAGGAGAAGCAGTCTTCCTCCCCCGCAGGGGAAGCGGACTCCGAGGAGAGCAAAGCAGAGGGGCCCGAGTTCGCCCCACGCGGCTCCCACGGCCCCGCCTCTCCCGCCATCTCGCTCTCCCTTATCAACTCTGCGGTGGAGATCACCCGCAGCTACTTGCAAGGTTGCTACGATGACGAAACAAGCAACGAGGGGCTCCCTTTCCCGTCCGCAGCTCCCCTGCCCGCTTCCCAGTGGCGGAACTACCCCCTGCATCGCCACCGGCACGGCACGGCCGCGGCTTACAGGGACTGGAGGACGGGTGGCGCAGCGGCCGCGTGGAAGGTGCCGGGGCTGGAGAGGCCCTACCGGTGCCCGCGCTGCAGCTGCGTGTTCCAGCAGCTGGGAAACTTTGCGAGCCACGTGCAGGAGCACAAGCTGTTCCTGTGCCTTCGCTGCGGCAAAGTCTTCTCGCAGAAGAGCAACCTGACGCGGCACATCCGGGTCCACACGGGCTTCAAGCCCTTCCAGTGCCCCGTCTGCCGCAAGTGCTTTACCCAGAACGCCACGTTGCAGGACCACCTCAACCTGCACAGCGGCATCAAGCCCCACAAGTGCAACTACTGCGAGATGCATTTCACCCACAAGCCGGGCCTGCGGCGCCACCTCAAGGAGATGCATGGCAAGAGCACTGTCCAGAACAGCCACGAGGAGATCGAGCAGGTCACCATCGACTTTGACTGATGGGAGAGCGGTGGGGCGGGGGCTGCGATCCGGGCTGCAATCCCCGTGTGAGGCTGGGGGTGTGCGGAAATGCCCTCTCGGCAAGAGAGCAGCTACATGGACCGGAAGGGGCCGTGCTGCAAGAAGACGTCGGCGTGGGAGTGCCGCCGGTCAAGTTACTTCTTCTCCAGGAGCGAAGGAAGTGATGTGATTAGAGTGATTTCTCTGGGAGAGCCGAGAATATGTACTGAATCATTTCCTGTACAGGAGACAAGACGGCGTAGGGGGGGAGACGGCAAGAGGATGTCTTGGCCTACGCTAGGTGGGGCGTATTTTCAACCGAGGGCTCTGTCACTAGGCCAGGTGAAGCATCTGCCTTGAGTTACGGCTTTGGAGCTAGCTCCGCTCAGAGAGACGGAGACGGGACACTGCATGAGCCCTGCATAATTCAGGGGGATCTGAGCAAGAAGATGATGTTGCTTTGCACCGCCCCCTTACAGCTGAACAGGCTCTGTGCAGGAGTACCTCGCGGTGGGTGAATGGGAGTACTTTTTAGGTTTCCTACCTCAGGCACAGCAACGTTGTTGTTCTGGTTCTGGCAGGCCATCTGACACAACTGGCGAAGAACTGACCCAGATAGATGTGGCAAGAGATGTAATTCTTGAGGTAATCAGCAAATTAAAATGAATGCCACTGGGTCCAGATGGCATTTACCAATGAGCTTTTTAAATGCAGACCTTTTGATCTCAAAATAAAAAATATGCAACTTGTCACTGAAACTGGCCTGTTTGCAAGAAGATTTGACAGCTGCTAGTGTGCTGATTTATTTTTTCCTAAGGAAACCAGAGGCCTGCTGCTGCTGGCCAGTTAGCACACAGTCTGTCCCAGGTATCGGGAGGGGAAACATGACCAAAGACAGAATTTAGAAGGACTTCTTCACGGTGAAGTCTTGGATGATCAAACTCTGAAATTCTTTGTCCACAGGTGTTTAGATAGCAGACACTGAGATGGATCCAGAAATAGACCCTAAGTCTGTTTGCCTAATCATCACTAAGTCTGAATCTAACATAAACTAGGGCTACCAAAGTGTTTTGCACAAAGCAAAAGGGTTACTCCTGTGTAATCCTGGGAGTCATGTTATAAGAGAATGGTTCTTGTGGATCAGTGACTGATTAAAAACCGAGTAAAATTTTAAGTGATGAAAATAGAAGAAAACTGTTCTGAGTTCTCAAACTATTTCTCCGGGTTAGGTGAACGAACAACACACCAAATTAGGTTCAGTGTAATTAGTGCGAAATGCTGCGCATTAGGAGGGAAAAACAGAAGTCTTAACTTCACCAATACACTGATGAAATCTGAACTTTTGGTGACCAGCTAGCCAAGAGATCTTGGGGTTGTGGTAGATACGCAATGCGGACATTGACCCACAAAAAAGGTGAACTCCATGCCAGGGTTGATCAGGAAAAGGATTGAAAATAAGGCTGCTAGTAAATATCTCGGTTTGAATACATAGCCTGGCCACATTTGGAATATCACATACCAGAAAAGGGCAACCAGAGTAAGAGTCTCAGACTGGGACATTTGGAGATCCGAATATCCTCAAAAATATGAGCTGAGGAGAGTGATAGAGATTTATAAGACTACCCATGCTGTGGGGAAATGATTAGTGTTTCTCCCTTTCTCCTAACATTTAACCTTGGGTTCAGCCATGATCTAATTGAGGGACAGGAGATTCAGGACGAAGGAAGCACTGTCTGTATTCTGGAATTCATGGCCACAAGGAATGGTGATGGCCACAAAATTAAAAGGCTCCACTCACTTCTGTGTCAACTGAGATCTTCTCTCCCTTCTTCCACACTAAACCAAAGCTAAAGTCTTTATGATGTTCCAGTTAATGTGACCAGTTAAGCTAGCTTTGTAATACAGAGGCCAATAACAAAGATACCAAGTTTGAATACTAGCCATTAGGGAAATGCAGCTTAACCTACACAGTTGATTCCAGAAGGACCCTCTCCTCCTCTTCCACACTGAAAAGAGTTGATTCTACCTTCCTTGGGGGATCATGGACCAATTGCTTGGATTGTCTGATGTTTCTCAAGTTGGTCCACCCTCAACCTGACAACACACGATGCCAACTCTGCCCCCAGCCATCCCGGCTTGCTCGCTGGCATTTCCCACTCAACTGGAAGCCGGTTGGTTCTCAGGGACTGCTGGCTTGGGGAGGATTGGCCTTGGCATTTCGGCTGCGAAACCCAACCCCCATCACTTCTGAATCGGAATCCAAGACAACGCTGCAGTATGGGAGGAGCAGGCCCAGTCCTTACTGGTTTCTTCACAGCTATTAGCTGGATGAAGATTTCATGTTTAGGGGCAGCATGACACCAGATACCAGTTACTGGAGAGCAAGTCTTCACATGCTGTGTGTGGACTTGTAGAGTTACGTGGCTGCCCACTGTGGGAAGTTAGTCACTGGACTAGCTGGGCCTGTAGTCTGGTCTGCTCCTGCAGGGTTTCCCTACACGTTCTTACATCCACCTTCGGCACCAAGGCCTTTCCCTAGCCGCAGACTTTAAAAACCTACCTGTACGATGAAAGCTGCAGGCTGCAAATTGAAAATCGGCTCTTTTCTGGGCAGCAAGGTTGGGCTTTGGCAGCTGTGTGCTGCCTTTTTTCCTTCTTTGCATCTAATCCTTGCCCCAGTGCTCTGTAATGCTCTTGCGGTATCTGATGTGAATAGGGCAGGGCTGCTTTAAGTCTTTCCCTCACTGTGAGATAAAAACTTGCAGTAGCTGAAGTTGCTAGACTGGCCTTCCCTGTGGAAAGAAAGCAAACCTGAAATGGGGGGCACATGGAGAGCATTCAGGGGGCTAGGGAGGAGAGTTAGATAGGTATGCGTCCTGCTTTGAGGTGCCACAGAAGAAGAAGTTAAGAAAGAAGGCAGTGATGACTCTTACGTTCAGTGCTGCTAATCAGGACTGTGATGATCATCATTCCCAGCCCACTTAGGGGAAGAAGTACAAGTCAGAAACAAGCCCAAGGCACATAGGAAACCCTGCATTTCCTTGTGCAATTCTGCTCCAAGTTTTGAGAAATTCTGCCCTAGAGTAAAAGTTCCCTTCCCCTGTAGAGGAAAGGTACGCCAGAACTCCTGGATCCTCCTGCCTTCCAGGTAGCTTCTGTGTCCCATTTTCTTACATAAGGTTGTGCTTGGGCATGTTCTGCTCTTTTACACTTGAGCATCATCAGCTTGACTTATCCTGCTAACAAATGAACTGGGAAATGGCTGATGCGATGCAGCAAGAATACTATTCCTGTACTGCCCACAACCAAAGCTCTCTAATTAGGCGGCGTCAGCTGCAGGCAAACGATGTAGGTGGCAGTCCATCTCCTACATCCCATCATCTATAGATGGGAGAGGCGGAAGGCTCTGTGCTGGAAGTGGAGCCCACGTGGCGCCTTCGCATGGGACTTGTCAGAACTCTGCGTTGAGGTTTCATGATCTCATCTACACGAGAGTCTAATCCGCTTGCTGCTTCTGTCCGTGTCAGAACTCTGACTCAGTAATCTTATTGCTACCATCGCGTGCCGCACCAGGTAGACTTGTAATAGGCCTTCCGTTTCCTCTCTCTCTCTCAACATAAAGATACTTCCATTTTGAAACTGGTGCCAGCTGAGTTACCTGCGCTGCAGCTGTCACTGACATGAAAGGTCAGGGTGAGAAGTCATGATAAGGGAAACTGCAACCTAACGGCATCTTTAGTTCCGGCAGCTCTGCCTTCTCCTAGCCTACCTGGCCTTATGGCTACTGTCTCTGCGCCACCCAGATTTTTGTTTGTGTTCCCAGCACAAACTTTCTCCCTTCCACGTTTCTCAGTAATCCACCTCCCCAACAGCTCTGATTTGTTGCTTGGCTACCAATGTCTCCAGCCGACTCTTTCGCCCTGGATTCCTTGCCATTTCCTGGCTCCTCGGAGACGGATGTTAATTCCGTCCATCTCTGACCCTTCGGATTTTACCACTAATCCCAGATTGGTTGACTCACCATCCAGACAGAAGGTGTTCAAGAGAAGGTTAACAGACAAGATGGGAGCAGGAAAGTTAAATATAGCCAACAGCACCTTGATGGAGATAGACATGCCCAGCAATGAGGAAGCTCGGGGAAATAGAAACTACAGCAGTGCCAGTATTCACACCTCAGCAGGTAATCGACACGGATAAATGAACATGTACCTGTCACAGTCATAAATCTGGAAGCCACAAACACATTCTGAAGTGTTTGAAAGGGTGTGCTAACAAGGCAAGGATTTTGCAAATGCCACATGAAGGATTGGTAGAAATGTGGCAGGATGCCATCCCTTAGGTGAGCAAAGCTCCAGGTTTGATAGTTTGTCTTATTAGTGAATTTTTGGTGCAAAAAATGCTGACAGGATTCGAAAGTAGTCAAAGGCCTGCCCCAAAACTGCAGAGACGAATTCAGAGTACTGAGACAAAAGACACTGTGTACATAGCCTCCATGTACCGAGATCGTATACCTCTGAATAGAAGGCTTTGGAGGACAGAGTGAGTCTTCTGTCTACAGCACTGGGCTGACTGCCATTCAAGGGTGAATGCTGTACCAGGCAGACTTTGGTGTACATTTGAAAATGGAAAATAAAAACATTTACAGTTAAAAGTTTAAAATCAACACTGATTACCTCATCAATACCCTCAAAACATGAATTCAAGAATGGACGGTCATGAAGCAAGGACTGCATGCCCAGTCACGAAAGGCCTGGGGGAAAGGTGGCATTTAAAACATGCCACATGTCAAGGGGGAGGGGATGCCACGGCCTGGGCACAGTGGGAACCAGCATCCCGCAGACGACAGCACCAGAAGCAGGGTCTCCAGGTTACAGAGCGGGCAACTCTACATCTGGGAAGGGGATCTGTTCAGTATCCTAACCCCCAAAGCTTTTGGAAGTTTGTGTAACTCTGTTGTGTTTTGGTCAGGCAAAACACTACATTTTTAACTTCCCTAAACTCATCTCAGATAACAGCAATACAGTACATACAGGTTTACTTTCAGCCACTCAGTATATAGTCTCGGCTAGTCTCACTGTTGCTTCGCAGAGAAACATGCTGTCTGGCCAAAAACTGGAACGGGGGACATTTCTGCGGAAAAAGTTCTGAGAAATTCCGGGTTCATCCTACTGGCTTGCAGGGTTGTCTGCTCTACATTGTCATATCCTCAGCATTTGGGGAAAATAAAAAACGTGCTTGATGGATAAGTAACATTTCTCTTCATGGGTGGACCCCTGCTTTATCTTTCCCTGTCGGCAGCTGTGCTTCATCTCCTATCTTACTAATCTTCCATCATGTAGGAAAACTGCCCCGGCAAGCTGGTAGGCAGTAAGCTGGAGATCCACCGATAAACTGCTGACTTGCATGCTGTTAACATCTTCAGCATTTGAAATGAACTAGGGGAGTGAGAACTCATTCTGTGCCTCATTAGACAGAAAAAGCCCTAAAGCTCCCAGCATCTTCCAGACAGCCATGCCAGGATGGCACCCGAAGTCCCACAAGCAAAGATGGAAGGAACTCTATAGGTTTTTAGCCTTGAGAAGACTGAGGGGAGGGGCAGGGGGGCACAGCACTCTTCAGGTCCCTAAAAAACTCGCACTGTGGAGGGGTATGACCTCTTCTCTATCATCCATCATCCACGGCTGCGAAATAACATGCTTAAATTCAAGAAAGGCAGCTTTTGGCTGCCTAGCAGGAAAAACTTCCTAAAAGAGCAGCCAAACTGGGAGGTGGGTGTATGTGGGGGGGGGGGGGGTACTGTTGCTAGTGGTATTCAAGCAAAGGGTGGGCTGCCATCTGTCGGGGATGCGTTAAACAGGATTCTTACCCCGAGCAGGAAATTGGGCTGGGTCTCTGCCCTTTCCAACTCCATGATTCTAAAAACACAAAGGATTAGGCAAACTATGTAGGAAGACAGAACATATCAGCATAGCTGATGCTCAGCCTGGCAGAGCAGTAGCACATGTAGGCTGGTCCAGCTCAGCTTGTTTGGCCACAAGGCCATTCAGAGGTGCAGCTTTCTTGCTCCGATAATCTCTCTGGCTTCTGGTCACTCAGCACCTGCAACTGCAGGCAGAAGAGAATAAAGTAATCTTACCTGAGGCATCTCTTCCTCCTCCCAGTAAGCTTATACTCAACGTGAGTAAAGTTTTTGCAAGGATCATTTATCCACAAGGATCATTTATCTCTGTTAATTGCCTTGCTTACATCTAGTACATTTATTTGAATAGCTGCAGAAACGAAGCCAGTGAGACAACACCTTTGGCACAGCTTCAGTTTAAAGTGCCAGAAGAAAGTTTCTAGCTTACACAAAGCTCTTCATTAGAAGAGTCCATTTCCAAAGAGAAATATTCTTCTGCCAAGCTGATATTTATCTGGGCCTTTCTCAGAACATTAAGGTGATGTAGCGCATATATATACATATACATACATATATCTTCATTCATCCATCTAGACATAAGGGATGTGTAACTTTTGGCCCTTGATATTTTGGACTACAACTCCTATCAGCCTTTACCATTGGCTATGCTGGATAGAACTGGTGGTAGTTGTAGTCCAAAAGCATGCGGAGGGTCACATTTCTGCCACCCCAGTGTTATATTTAAGGTACCTTTATCCTGCTCCTCAGCCCAAAACAGGACAAAAATGGATGCACTCCAAGCATTAACACTTAAGGAGAGCTTTGGGAATATCATGGGCCAGCAGTAAGACGAACTAGTGGGTCCTTAGATCAGATCAGGCAAACCTTTCCCTAGAAGCAAAAACGACCAAGCCAAAGCTGTCATATTTTGGCCGCGTCATGAAATCTTGGTAAAATATACCCACGACTTCAGACTAAAGATGTAGCAAGCTGTAAGCCCTAAAAGCCTCTTGATTTCAGGGGTGAGGCATGCTCTCGTGGCTGATGCAGTCGAAGCAGCTGGCTAGTTTACACACCAAAAGTGGGGAGAATAACTCCCTGTCCTCCCAGGGCATTTCAAGAGGGAGCACGGCAAACTGAGGGCAAAAGATCCAGAGGTTGTCACTCCCTTAAATGCAGATGTGCTTCTGTCCAGCAAGCTGCTTTGTCTTGGCATATGGCTTAGGCCCCAGTTAACTTGGGAAGCATCTGCACCTGCCTGGCCTTTCAGACCGACACAGGGGCCCTCCTGCGTGAGCCATCCCTTAAGGATGGGCCAGGAGGAAGGCCTTCTCTGCAGCTGCTCCCCATATCTGGAATGCTCTCCCCAAGGAGATTCACCTGGCACCTTCTTTACTTTCTCTTTGGTGCCAGGTGAAGACCTTCCTTTAAAAAAAATACATTTTAATAACTAATTGCCATAGATCTTTTATTTTGCATGTTCTGCTGTATTTGATTGTTGCTTTGAGTGTGTAACGTGTTATGGTCTTTATTACGTTTTATTGTGTTTTTAACTCATGTTGTGAGCCGCCCAGAGGTGCCGTGGCACAATTGGGTGGCCATGCCAATGCTTTAAATAAATAAATAATAAATAAATAAATAAATAAATAAATACTAGCTTTGACTTGTTTGATTTCAACAGAAGCTCCTGTACCTGCAAATCCCAATTAGTCAAACTCAGCAACCCAGGTGTGGACTCACTGATGAAGATTTCACTTTAGCATCTGGTGGCCAATCTACAACGCATGATAAAGAGAGATGGCAGCCTTCCAACTTTGAGTGTACGCAAATATTTGTGTGCAAGTGTGTAGAAATCAAACGGGTGGTAGGAAGAGTTGGCAGAGCTCTCTCTGAGATGCTGCATTAACCGTGTGGAACAAACTGTCTGTGGGTGAGCATTCGGAAGTGTTTCCTCCTGTCTAAAGAGACACAGTTTAGCATTCTGCTTCCTCATTTGGAAGCATCTGTATAGCAGTTCCAATGGGCTGGATCTGGGCTAGACAATCTGTAGGAGATAAAATCACCCACTGGATAAGGTTGACTTAATCAGATCATCTGTACATCACAGCAGGGGAATATTCCCTTGCAGATCAATGTTGCATGTTGCATTTCAATCCTATCCTTTTTATTTCTTGCAAGGAGACCAAGTCACCTTGTCCAGCCCTTCCTCTCTCTCTCATCCTCACAACAGCCCTCACAGGTCAAGCTGGGAATCAGCGACTGGCCCAATCCAGTGCTCTAACCTTGTTCAATGGCGGATTGTCATGAAACACGATTTAACATGCCGCAAGTGAAGCACAGCCAGTGGCTGGAAAGAGGAACTGCAAGGGCTGGGCCTATTGTGTAATAACATTTATATTTTAATTAGAAATTATTTATAATAATATTTATAATAATTCATACCTCACTTCTTTTCCTCTTGCAAGAAACTCAGGGCAGCCTACAAGGCTCTTCTGCTCTCCATTTTGCCCCCACAACAGCACCCTTGTGAGGCTGAGAGTGAGCGGCTGGCCGAGCACCAGCCAGGGGGCTCCATGGTCAAGTAGACCCTTGAAGCCAGATCTTCTGTGTCACTTAACCACCACAGCACACTTGCTTTCAGCATGGGGAAACTGTCCTTCTGAAAGGGGTGCAAGGATGGAAAATTATTTAGACAAATAACGGTTGTGACAAATAGCCACGGAGAGATAAAATGGTATTGCTTATCTAATACTTTTCACCAAGTTGGATAATTTTCTGGTCATCAAATCTTGTTGCAGTGGTATTTTGCATACAGCAGTGCTTCCTTTTGTCCCACCAGTTCAGTATCATCATACAGCCTCGAAGTTCTAGCATTTTCAAAGGGAGAGGAACTCTGTATCTCTGCGCATAGAATTCCATGCAGTTTGCAGCTGACAGCTTTGAGGAAAGCTTGACGGCGTTACTCTACAGCCATTGATAATTTTTTCATCTTACTATTGCTACACAGGTTTCAGTTTTAAACAAAAAATATTTATCACAGTGTACATGCCTATTTTTCTCTGCCCCAGTAAGATCTTTGGATGAAAAGGTTTTGCATATTTTTACAACAGCAAAACTCGCAAAAGCTATTGGACAGACTACAGAAGCTCAGAAAGAAGAGTCAGAGCTACTATGTTTAGGTCCATCCCAATTTGCATTGATTTTTTTCTTATTTTTCTGTGCTAAAATTTCTGTGCCTTCTTACACCTTTCTCCATAAAGGTAACTGACATTATTGCCCTTTCTGGATACTACATATTCTTCTTCTTTAGATGTAACAGCTTCTAGCATCTTCTTACTGATGGCTAGAGGGGGTGCCCCTTCAATAGGAAACAGCTCCTCCCAGCATGCTTTTTCCCAGTCCCTCTAGATTGCTGTTCCTTTCTATAAGTCTCTTGTAAATAAATATAAGCAAAAATACAAGTTCAAAAGAGGCTTTTTTATAATTCTGCATTAAGTGCTCAAATTGTTTCCAAAGACCTAGACATCCCCTACTTTGATGTGGTGGCGTTTCTCTCCTTCCAACCCCCAGAAGGAAAGAATATGAAACAATTCCATGTTCACAAAACAGATGCAGCTCAGGTGTCTTATCACCTCCCTGCAGAGGAGGAGCGTATTTCCATTTCTGAGCATATTTCCATTCGATTTATTCCATTTTTCACACTCTTAAGAATCTGCTACACTACCTTGAGTTGCCACTTCCTGTCCCATTGGTCAAGCTCCTTCAGCAGCGCAGAAGGCTGGGGGGCTTAGCCGTGGGGTTTCTTACTGGGACCCTCAGACGACCTTTTCGGAATTCACAGCCAATAAAGCTTTTTGCGCAGGTACGTTACGGTCACTCCGAAGCGCCCTCAGTCTACTTTCTTATTTTTAAATTTGCTGCTTGCTACACATTCAAGTTCAAGCCCTGTTGTAGCTACCGTGGATCACAGCCTCCTGCATGTTGCTAGTTATGGCAGGTACCCTCTGGCACTGTTTTCTGACCATCCCATTTCTCCCATTCTCCAGCATCGAGTGCCGTTTTCAAGCCTGGAGCACAGGAACCGAGCTTCTGGGAATTAGCAGCTTTTCTCGCCCCAATTAAAAGAGCTGCAGATTACCTTGGCACATTAGGGGTCGGGGAACTTCCGGCCTCGGCATACCTCTTTAAAGAATGCAACCACCAACGGGTCCATGAGAACTCGGCAAAGGATAATCTTGAGTCAGCAAATTCGGATTCACACACCTCCTCTCTGGCACTCCCAGCTCCCTCCCTCCCTCCCTCCCTCCCAAGCCCTTCTCCAGCCTGCTGCTCTCTCTGCCACCCAGAGCTCCCTCGAGATGGCCCTCCGCGGCCTCGTCCCGCTTGCGAGCAGACCCTGCCTCGCTGCTTGCCGTCTTTACGGGAGCGCTGTGCTCCAGCACCAGACACTGGCAAGCGCCTTCAGGCTCTCCCAGCAAACTCAAAGGGAGGCACCTCTGCTCTGTGCGGATTTTACAGGGAAAGCAGCCAGCGGTGGCTCCTTGCTAGTTCAGAGCTGAACATTTGGGCAGCTTCCCCCTGCCTCCTCTTCCCAGCTCAGCTCTCTCCATGGCATTCCAGCCGTGCCCCGTGTTCACCCAGCCAGCAGCCACCAGAGGATGCTACCCATCCCCATTCAGAGACTGGAGGACCGGTCTACTGGACTGCTCCGCGGACAGGACCATCTGTGAGTGTGGGGGTGCGGTTGGGCCATGGCAGCGGTGCCACATTCCTGCCTGATAGCGAAGCCAGCTCTCGCTCTCCCCGGGACTGGCTGCAGAGGACACGTTCCGCACCCCGGATGAGAAAGGGCTCCCACGGGAGTTTCTAGTACCAGGGCAGAGCAATAGGGCTCAGAGATGCGCCTGGCCAGTGCCACCCCCTGCTAAGAGTCTCTCTCTCCCTCCCCTCCCTCCAACCAGGTGCCTGCGGTGCCTTCATTCCGTGCATCCTCGCTTGCAAGGTGGCCATCGATTATGGGGAGTGCTGCTGCCTTCCCTACCTGCCTGGAGCTCTTGTCGGCATGCGGACGGGCCTGCGGGAACAGCTGCGCATAAAGGTACTCCGTTTCCTGGAAGATTTCTGTGAACGATTTACTTTGTGTTTGTCCGATAGAGTACAGGCCAGCTAGAGCGATGTCTCCAGAAATACTGTGTTTCTGCAGCATTACATTTGGAATCAGGACTCTACCCCTTACCCTGCCCCTGCCCCCCAGCAGCTCATGTTGCTCCCCACCTTTTGCTAGAAATTGCATTTCGGCTACTCTCGTCTGGATTCTTTGGAAAAGGCCTGGACTGGGATGGCAGCTCTCCAGAGGCGGCACACAGTCCCTCACCGCTTGGCATGCCAGCCTTGTAACAGACACACACTCCGTGCGTGAACGAGCAAAACGACTGCAGGTCTGGACAAGCTTTGCCCCAAGAGGCTCCGCGGGGAAAGGGGCATGCCCGTGAACTCATGCACAATAGCTAGCGAGGCATACTCCATCATTTCCCCCACCTCAAGCCCTGGTCCTGGGAACTGATTGGAAAGAGGATACTGAGAATTCTCTTTTCGGAAAGCAGCAGAACCCGGTGACTGGCAGCCGGGATTTAAGCTGGCAGAGCACATCGGGTTTCCATGCTTGATCGGGGTGGCTGGGAGCCAGGAAAGAGCCACAGCTGCCCAGCATGAATCATTCTGCAACGCGTTTTGCATTTTCCCTGATCAACAGTCGTCTTCTTTTCCCAGGGCTGTGTGTGCTCTGACTGGTTGGCTGCCTGCTGCTGCTGTCCCTGTGCTCTCTGCCAGCTGGCCCGGGAGCTGAAGAGTTCGTGCTAGCCTCCTTCCACGCCGGAACCTTCCCCACGGGTCGGCTACTCCCTCGTGTCCGGGCAAGAAGCCCTCAGGCCCCCGGAGTGAACGGAATCACTTGCGACATCTTCCCAGGGAAAATTGGGAGCAAGTGCTAGACTGGTCATGCATGGACCCTGCTGGTCCAGGAGCCAAGCCCTTTCCGAAAGAGGAACTCTGGACCGGAGAAGCTCGCCTGAGGTGCTACTTAACCAATGAACTAAGCACAGCCAGAACTGCCTCACGCTTGTGTTACATCCAGATACATACCGAGGAGGCAGCTGGCAGCTTCAATAAAAATGAGGAAAGCGATTGCAGGGGGCAGTTCAGCAGCGAGGGACTGGACCCTTCGCCGGGCACCAGGGCACGGGCGTGCAGAGCTGTGCTCCTAAAAGAGAGCTTGTACAGTGCTGAAGAGCTGTGGCACTGGGAGCGATTTCCAAGATGCTAAGCAGAAGGACAAACAGCCTGTTTATCTCAGCAGAAGCAGCTCCTAAACTTCTCCAAACACTTGTGAGCTGGAGTGGAGCAGGGACACGTGTGTGGGAATGCTCGCAAAAACACGGCTCCGTATAGCAAGCAACCTGGCAAAGGGAATTGCATGGAACATTCGTATGCTGCTTTGATATGCACAGGGAGTCTCTCTCAATCCAGAACGCTGGAAGATTATACTCCGGGAAAAGCTTTAGCGCTTGACTTTGCTTGGCAGTTTGAGCCAGGAAGACAGCACTGGCCAGGAAGCATCTTTATTGCCTTTGAGAACTCCGGGCTACCAGTGTGAGTGAGTGCAGGGGGGCCAGAGGGCTGGGAGCGCAGTGCGACCAAACCGAACAAAAAAGAAACGGAAGGGGAGATGCTTAAAAAAGTGAAATGGAAACAGTACTTAAGGAATAACACTGCGAGGCATCAAGGTCCGATCCCGCTGCCCACCCCTGCGGTGAACTTCCAAGCGTGCCCCTGAGCTTCCATGGGCTAGCAGAGCCAGCCATTTCTGCCTGCCCCCTCCCCGCCACCCGTGCAGCTCCAGCCTTGGCAAGGAGGGTGGGCTGGGGGGCCGCGGGAACAGGCGAGGGCGAGAAAGCACGCTGGCCCCCTGTGCATGCGCCGAGAAGCAAGGGAAGAGCCGCTTCCCCCAGGGGCCAACGCTGCCTTCCTGAGAGGCCCGCTGGGACCCCCTCACAAAGTGCCCCCCAGCCCCCTCCTCCGCGAGGCCCCTCCGGGCGGCGCCCCCTCCCCGCGGAGCGTGGCAGCCGCCCCAGCCGCTCACAGGGACATGCTCGTGAGGTTCTCGTGGCTGAGCAGGCCCTTGCGGGAGCTGCTCGCGCCGTGGCTGCCGCTGCAGTAGTCCTGCAGGTTGTGGCGCAGGGTGACGAGGGCGGAGCCGAGGCAGGCCCGGTTGGGGGCCTGCAGCCCCCCCGGCAGCTGGAAGAGGACCGTGGCCACCCCGGCCATGCCGTCGTCCGTGGGCTCCAGCGTGATGGGCCCCACGCGGAAGCTGGAGTAGGAGTAGCCCATGAGGTGCGAGAGGAAGGGCTCCGAGCGGCGGAAGTGGGCGACCGGGTAGGGCACCTCGTGGTAGGGCTTCAGGCGGCTGGGCAGCGGCTGGGCCGCGGCCAGCGCGGGGTGCTTGTGGGGGCGCGCAGGGAGGAAGACCAGCTCGGCCGCGGCGCCCAGCGCGTCCGGCTCGAAGTAGATGGTCACCTTGGCGAAGGGCCGGCTGGCCATCTTGGTCATTTCCTGCAGGTGGCGGCGCTGTTCGTGCCTGAGGTCCAGGAACTGCTTGACCTTCCAAAGCAGGACGCAAACTGAGAGGAAGAGGAAGAAGCAGGAGAAGAAGACCGAGAAGAAGACGAAGAGGTCGATGTGGGCCTGGTCCTGGCGGAAGAAGAGCAGCCCCTGGGACTCCGAGGCGTTGGGGCTGGTGCCCCCGATGCCCAGCAGCACCACGTAGAAGCGGCTGGATTTGAGCGCGTGGATCTCGTGCGGGTAGGTGATGACCACGCGGTCCCGGACGCCACGCACGATCAGCACGGCCTGCTGCTCCCGCACGGTGATGTACGTGATGAGGCCGTGGGCGTGCGCCTCCCGCACGGGCGGGGAGGGCTGGCTGCTGTTGGCTGCGCCGCTGCGCCCCCCCATGTCGTCGCCCGGGGGCACGATGCGCACCGAGTGGATGCCCGTGAGCTGGTCGACGTCCACCACAAAGGTCTCGTAGGAGGTGGAGATGTACACATCCACCCCGCCAAAGGTCACGTCGATGGTGATCCGGATGTCCACGTTGGTGAACTTGGGTTGGACGCCGAAGAAGACGGAGCGCCCGAGTGGCAGGTTCTTGATGTTGGGCTCGTGGAAGCAGTTGAGCTGTGAGGTCGGGTCAAAGCAGCTCTCCTGGTCCACAATGATCAGCCGGTAGCACTGGTGCCCACCCACCGGGTTCCCGTGGAAGAACTCACGGCACTTGGCACACTGTGGGGGGGGGGGGGCAGAACAAGGCAGTCAGTTTAACGGGATCTGGCAGCTGCGTGGGCATCTTAAGCCCTCTTCCTTCTGCCCAGATTGTGAACCCTTCCTGAGGGATGCAAGTTAAACAACTGCTCTTGCTACAAAATAGTTTGCTTTATTGCATTTCCTTAGCCAACGGAAGGGCCCGGTGCCCTGCGGGGAGCAGAAATGCACCGCACCTGCGCTCCGTTCTGCTCTGGCAGAGGATTGCGGCACACAGGGCTGCTCACCAGGACGAGCTCCCCGGGGCGGATGCAGAGGGCAGCCGGCTGCCGTCCACACCCACGCGCTCCTTGGCGTCCGACAGCCCGAGGCGCCCAAGCTCTGAACGCAGAGAACGAGGCTCTGGCTATCACGGCTAGTCACCATCCGCAAAACCTCGGTGCATGAAGTTGCTCCGCCCAGCTTCTAAAAGCTGCGTCACTGGCTGGCACAACATGCAAAAGGCTCCGCGGTTGCTTCCGTGGGTGGTGAGGTGCATGTGTCTGAAAACCCCCTGCGGGCCGTTTCCTGGATGGGCTGCGGATGCCGAACTGCGGAAACAGCTCGATCCCCATGACACGGACGGTCACGCGCCGCTTCCTTGGGGGCCTGGCACAAGGGGACGGCCCGATCTGCCCTCTCTTCTCTCCACCCCACGCCCTACCTTCTGCGACCGAATTCTCCCCTCACTCCGTCCCCACTCCCAGCACAGCCCCGTCGCTGCGGAGCGCCGGCCCACTGCACCCGGAGCGCTGCCCCACCTGCTGCTTGTAGCAGTCCTTTTTGTCGGACTGGGCGCTGTTCTGGCAGCCCCCCGTCTCCGTGTTGTTCTGGCAGGGGCAGCCGGTCCCGTCCAGCTCATTGCATGTGTCCGCGTGGCCGTTGCACTGGCACCTGAGGAAAGAGGGTGGGGGATTCGGGGCGAGGTCTGTAGCGCTCCCGCCACACCCCAGTCCTGCCTGCTGCATTAAAATTCGTGCTGAGGGCGGAAGGCAGGCGGTGGAGTTAGAAACTGTTGCACGAAGCATTTCTTAATGATCTGTGAGCCCCCTGCTTGTGCAGGATCGGCCCTGGCCAAGGGGGATGAGTCAGGAGAAATATAGAAACAGAGCAAGTCAGAAGGGGCCTCCCGGGCCATCTAGTCTGACCCCCGGCTCTCGCCAGCTCCGCTCACAGCAGGAAAAGGAGCAATTCCCACGCGAGTGACGCAATGCCCAGGGAAAGCCCATGTCAAAGGCCCCCTCTGATGCAAAGGGGAGGGGTGGAACCACAGGGGGCACAAAGCGTTTCTTGCACAGCCCCCCCCCAAAAGTGCACCCCACTTGATAGGTGCAGCTGGCTATATTTATTTCATTCATGCAGAATATGTACATGCTTCCCACTGTCTCAACAGCATCTCTAGGCAGCTGTCAGCAAAGCCTCTGCCCCCTACTCTCCGCTCGGTCCCCCAGGAAGGGGCCTATGGAAGAGCCCTTTCCGCTCCCCGTCAGCCGGCATTTATGCTCCGGAATCTTTTCGCACTGCCTCGCCAGGGCCTGAGGCCCGGCGCAAGGAGTTGTTCAGCGGCATGAGGCACTGCTGTGCCCGATGCCTCCGGCCGCGGGCGGCCACCCGTGCCCCCCGGGCGAGGGCGGAGCCAGGCCTGTCCTCCGAGCCCCTTACTTGGTGCACTTCCCCTCCAGCAGGAAGTAGCCGTGCAGGCAGCTCTCGCACTTCTCCCCGAAGCTGTTGTTCTGGCAGTTCACGCACACGGCTGCTTCCTCCACCGGCCCCTCCGCCACCCACTGGGGGATCTGTGGGGAAGCGAGGGGTGAGGCAGGCAGACCGGAAAGGCACCCCCTCCCTGGCTCGTGGCCCTGGGGCCAACCTCCCCCCAGCACCCCGAATGCAGGCTGTACTCCCCCGGGAATCTCACCGAAAGGCAGCTGGTTCCACGTGTGGAAAGGAGCTGTGCACAGCCTGTGACCCACACGGCCCCCCCGGCTTTCACCAGAATGCTGAGCACTCCCTTTAAAAAGCAACGTTCTAGCCCTCAATGGCCCCAGCACTTAGAAACGTAGTAATGTCACAGGGAAATGCAGAATGGATCAGACAGAGCACCTGCTTCATTGCCTGTTTTCAGCCATGGGGACTCCTCTGGCTTATCATCTGGGGCAAATGCGGCCGGTGGGTACGCCGCAACTCGTGAAACGTCTCACATGCCGATCTATTACATGCACAACAAGGAGGTACCTGCTGGAGGCTGTAGCCCCCTTTCCATCTACGCTGGCACAGCATCGTGCCCCAAGTCCGCTGAACCTGGGACCCCCTTTCCCATTATTGCGCGATGTAAACAGGGGGCAGCTGATGGCTGTCCCCAGAGCTGCTTCAGGACGCGGAAGACACAGCTGCACGCGCCCCCTGCAGGCTGGCTCGACGCGAGAGATGCTGCCCGACGAGGAGGCGCCTTCGGCCGGCCCGGCCCGGCCCGGCCCGGCCCGGCCCCGCTCCCCCCGCCCCTTGCCGGCGCTCACCAAAGCGGGGTCCAGGGGGAAGCGGGCGGGGTCCTGGCTGGCTCTCTCGTACTCCTCGCGCGTGATGCACACGTTGCTGTTTCCCCGGCAGAACGCGTGGCAGGGGCGGCAGGAGTCCCCGTTTGCGGCCGAGCCCACGAAGAGCGGCTGGCACTTCTCGCAGTGCTGCCCCTGCAGGAGGGAGCGAGGGAGGGAGGGAGGGAGCGAGCCGGGGCGGAGGCCATCAGCGGCTGGCCCGGATCCGCGCGTGCGCCCCGCCCGAGGGACCCCCCCCCCCCCCCCGCCTGCCCGCCCGCCAGCCCACCCGCAGCCCGGCCTCACCATGGTGTTGTTGAAGCACTGCAGGCACTGGTCGCGGGCCTCCACGCCGCGGCAGTCGCTGTGCTTGTTGCACTGGCACTCCACCGAGCAGTTCCGCCCCACGAAGCCGAAGTGGCACCGGCAGGCGTTGGGCTCCACGCAGGTCCCGTCCACGCAGCCCTGCTCGCAGACCGGCCTGCACAGCCCCGTGGCGCTGCGGGAGAGGCGGCCCACGGCAAGGTGAGCGCCGCTGCTCCGGGGCACCGCCACGGCGCCCCCCTCCCCGAGCAAGCCTGCTCCCCCCCGGCGCAGTCGCGGACGCCCGGGCTCGTGCAGAACCGAACCAGTGGTCGGTCGGGAGGCCTCTCGCGCCGGGCAAGGGCTCCGTCGGCCTGCCCGACGGCGCTCCTCCTTCCCACTCCGGAAGAGTCGCCCCGGTCCCACCATCGCGCCCCCGCCGCCCAGCACTCACTTGTCAAGCAGATAGCCGCTCTTGCAGGTGCACCTGTAGCCCTGGGGCAGGTCGCTGCAGTTCTGCGTCTCGTTGCAGTCGTGATGCCCGTTGCGGCACTCGTTCTCGGCGGGGCACGCCATGAAGGCCCAGTCCGCCTTCAGGCCGCAGGACTCCAGCAGCCCTGCGGGGGGCGAGGCGCATGGGGGGCGGTGAGCTGCCCGGGTGGGCAGAGATCCGGGGCGCAAGGCTGTGCGCGGAGGAGGCACGTCTCTGGCGGTCCCTCCAGCCTGCCTTCCTCTCAGGCGCAGGGCAGCGGAGACGGCAAAATGCTCTGGGCTTAGAAGCATTCTGCGGGGGGCAAACGACTGCATGCAGAAACAAGAGGCCAGCGATTCTCTGCCTGCCCTGGCCTGCCACGGTGACCAAAGCACCCTGGGCATTGTAGTCCTCCCCTCCAGACTCACAGGGGACCGCCCTTTAAGAGAACGGACCTCCCACTTGTGAACGCCCAGAGCAGATGAAGCGGAAAACCCAGGCACAGGCTCTGCTCAGTACACACCGTCGCGAGGACCGCTCTGGCCACCCTCCAGGCAGCGCCCTCTGCCGTTCTCGTCCCGGAAGCCGCACCAGCCGCAGCGCGGCTGCTGGATGCAGAGGGCGCATTGCTGAAAATGCGAGCAGGACGGGGCGCAGCTCTCGGTCCCGCTCAGCACGCGGCCGCACATCCCAGCTGCGCAACGCATGGGCAGGTACGTGGGGCTCATACACTGCGAGGAGATGAGAGGGAGGCGGGAGGAGCGTGTGAGGCCTCGCTGCCGGCCGGCCGACCGGCGTGCACGGCCGAACTCCGCGAGCGGAGCAGAGCGGATCTGTGCCCTCGTGTGCTGCCGGGTGGGACTTCCAGCCGTGAGGAAGATGCACGGCTGCGCACGAGTGCCCCCGCCAGCGGAGACCCGCACAGGGAGAGGCCACCCGGCGCGGAGGGGGACCGCTGCCCGCCGGCTTCTGCCCCACCGGTACCTGCTGCAAGCTGACGCTCCAGACGCACTGCTGCCAGCCCCCGTCGGCCCCCTTGGAGCTCAGGCACTCCGCACAGGTGCTGTGGTTGTGGCAGGGCGTGGGGCAGGCCAGCGGAGGGGAGGACTCCACGGGCATCGGGGAGACGTTGAGGAGCGAGTGGCTGAAGCAGGTCCAGTCATAGGTGGGCTGCACGCTGAGGATGCGGCGGGTCTCCCCTAGGCGCGGGCAGAGCGGCATGGAGAAGGGGGCCACCACGGCCGAGGCCCTCCCTTCCCCAGGAGGAGCCCTGCCGCGCACCCGGGCATGCCGGCTGCCCTCGGCATCCGAGGCCGGAGGCCACTCAGGGCAGAAGAGGGCCGGGATGAAGGGGCTGCGCTCCTGGAGTGCGAGCCCCCCTGGGAGGGGCAGTCGCGCCTTCACACGTGACGGTCGCAGAGTGGGGCGCACGATGCTCCGTCTCAGGAATGAGACTTCTCGGATCGGCTCAGTCCATTCCAACCCGTGGCTCTCCAAATGCACTGGACTCTAACTCCCAGATTCCCAGTTCCCATGATTCAAACTGCCACGGGGATTAGGGGAATTGTAGTCCAGGACTTCAGGAAGGCACCATATTCTCCAGACACTTTCCAGCTGGGGAGCCACCCCCAAACCCTGCACTGTGCCTCATTCGCTCCCCAAACAACCCTCCGCCTGTCACTCCACTGGTGCCTTCATCAGCCAGTGGCTCCTCCACTCCCCCCCACCCGCATGCCCTGGAAGGCCCCCCTCGTCTGCCTCTCCCTGCCCCAGAACGCTCCTGCGAGCTCAGCGTCCCCCCTCCCGGCAAGCCCAGCCGCCCCCCCCCGCCCCCCAGAGGCTCCTCGCGGCGCATCGCCCTCACCCGTGCGCTTGAACTGCCGCGTCCACATGCACTTCCCGGAGGCCGTGCACTTGGCACAGTCCGAGGCCTCGCACGAGATCTCCGAGCAGTTGCTGGCCACGAAGATCTCCCGCTGGTTGATGCGGCAGTCGTTCTCCGAGGTGCAGCTGCCGGCACTGCCGATGCAGGCCCCCTCGGGGCAGTTGGTGCACCACTTGCACTGGGGCGAGGCCTGGGGGCAGAAAGCGGGGGCCAGGGGCGGCCGCGCCAGGTGAGGGGCTGGCCTGGAGCCGTTCCCCCCGCCCAGCCTCCAGCACCGCCATCCCTCGGGCGCTGTGGGCTGTGCCTTGTGCTGGGGCCGAGCGGCAGGGTGGGCTCTCGTCTCCGGCACAGAGCTGCAGCCCCAGGGCAACATTCTGCCCCTCGGCTCCGTCTGGCGCACTGGAACCCCAGGCCACTAAAGCCGCTCCTCTCCATCCGGGCTGGGAAACCGCATGGAGATCTCAACGACACCTTCCCACAGCGCGATTCTAATGACACCTCCCTGCAGTGCTTCCCGAAAAGTGACTACGAAACCAAACGTTTGGAAGGACATGGGTGGCGGTCCAGCACTAGGCCAGACCAGGCCAGTGTCGCCCACACTGACGGGCAGCACCTCCTCAGAGGCATGCATTGCACTGGGGGCCTTCTGCATGCACAGCGAGTGCCCCACCCCCGAGCTGCAGCCCCTCCCGGAAGGCAGCCCCCTTCCCCTCGTTTTCCTCCCAGTCGGCAATGAGGCGGGCGCTGCTGTGCAGAGTTCCATCTCCGAGGGATGCTCCCGGGGTGCGAGCGAGCCGCGCGCCACTCACCGGAATGCCCAGGCTGTGGGCCATGGCCCGCGGATGCTGAGCAAGGCACTCGCTGCAGGTCCTCAGCCGCCGGCATTCGTCCGCTGACCGTGGGGTGGGGAAGCAGGAGGTCCCCCCAGGAGAACAGCCGTGTCTGCAGAAGGAAGGAGAAGCCAGGCTGAGCGAGGGGCCTCTCTTCTGCTCCTGGGCCACCCAAGCGAGGCTCGTCCCTCGCAACCTCCCAGGTTTCAAAGAAGGGAGCAAAGCCTTCAAAATGAAGGTTTATTGGGATGAAACGCGCTGTCAAGAAAGACTGTAAAATGAATGGGAAGATGAGTTTTCAAAGTAATGTAATCTAGGATAAGAAGGAAGGCCTTCATATTAAATATAATGGAATTGGCTGAGTTGTGGATGCTGGGAAGTTATCCTGGACAAAAGAGGATCCCTGTGGATTAAGGTCTTTCCCTAAAAACCAGAAAAAAACAAAAACACACACCCTGATCTGTGGTGAAATTCTAAAAATCGGTCATACCCTAACTTTAAGAAATGATCCAGGGCCATCTATTAGTTGGCAGTTCTAAAACTTAAATCAGTTGGATTAACAAATTCAACAGATTGAAAATGGTTATGGAGGTTCAGTTAGATGAAGAAAATTATTTTGCAAAGCTGCAGGCTCTACAGAAAGAATCCGCAAAGGATAACTTAATTGAAAGTCCTGGGTCTTTGTGAAAATGTAATTATTTGGTAGAACTGAACACCCAAAAGAATCATTGCCTTTCAGCATGTCTAAATCTATGGAAAGGGAATGTGCTGGAGTAAAATCCATTTGCTAAGGACTGCCTGGAATGGTTAGAAAGCCCGAGGACATCAGATGGTGTTTTGGCAGAAATTATAAAAGGGCAGAATGAAAAACTATTCAAAATAAACCCAACAGCCACTGCTGTTCTCCTGTGCAGTGTCTCATTCCAGGAATGACTGCAGGTGGGGTTGAGTCTGAAGGCCTTATTCCTTCTCCGGACAACCAGCCCTGTTCCCCCAGTCCTGAGAAGCCCACCCACCCCTCATCTTTCCCCCGCTAAAGGCGAGCAACAGGCGTCTCTCCTGGCCCCGTCCCTCTTTCCAGGGGAGTCACACCATCCCGTTCCCAGAGGCCAATCGCAGCCTGGCCCGCCTGCCTCCGCTCGCCCGCACCTCTCAGCTGCGTCGGCAGAGAGGCAACTCCCGTGGCACCAGGCGCAGCTGGCGCTGGATCCGTTGCACGCTTCCACGCTGGAAAAGATGAGGCAAGGGTCGGAGGGCACCGAGAGGGCCACCAGGCGCCCCAGCGCCACCCCGTTGAAGCCGCCCGAGAGGTAGATGCGGCCTCCGGCAGCAGCCACAGCGTGGGCGATGGACTCCATGATGGGCTCGCCCACCACGGCATCTACTGCGGGGGAGGAAAGAAAAGACGGCACTGAGCAAACGCGAAGGGAACCCGAGGAAGCTGCTTTTAATGGGGAGCAGTGGCCACGGTCGGGGTGGGCAGTCTCTTTTGGGCCTAAGGACAAATCCTGTTTGGGGGGATTTCCTGCGGGCACATTGCACAGGTGGGTGGGACTGGGGGCAAGAGGGGTGCAGCCAAACACCCCATCCTCTTGAGCCATAATGGCCCGTCCTCTTGGGCCATCTGACAGAGCCCGGGGCATCTCGGTGCCCACTAGCTGGGGAAAAGGGGACGTGGATGTGTGGGGAAGGCTGAGGGGCTGCAGCAAGAGGGCTGCTCCTCAGGCTTGAAGGTCCTCACCCCCCACCCCACAGATACAGGATTGCCCCCACCCAGTGAGAACAAGGGACCACAGGCATTTTTTCAGAGGAGAGCGACCTACGTATAGCTAGTTCTGTCTGCATTGGTGTTTCCACTGACCACAGTTAACGTCAAGCCACAGATCAAACCCACGGTTAGCAGGGAGTTTGGCTTACACTCTGCATTTGCAAAACGACCGAATGGTGATGGGGAGGGATGGGGAGGGAGGCGAAGTGGAGGGAGCCCCTGAGTCCAAGGACCGCTCCCCACTGCTTAATTCTGACCAGCGGAGAACTTAAGCCTAACACAGGCCAGTCGATCGGGTTGGACAAGGGAGCGACTCTGGGATGCACTTCCTTTCCCCATGATGGGATCTATAAATACGGCCCTCTAGGGCTTCAAGGCTAGCGCTCCGTGGTGATCCACCAAAGCTTCCGAGTCAAGGAAATCTAAATTCTGCGACCTGGAGAAAGGCTACACTTGGCATGATTTGTACTGCTTCTATTTGTCTGGGAGGAAGGACGGCTGGAGCGAGACATCCCGGTCCCTACAAGCTTCTTTGTTTAAACTGCAAGTGGAAGTGCCCGAGATGCCAGATTCTGCACCCCAGTTGTACATGCCCGGATCCCAGCCTTTACCTGTGCTGTTGGGTAAGATCCAGGTGTTGCAGTTCAACTGGTAGAAGAACACGTGGTTGGTGAAATTCTCACGTTCTGTGCGCCCTCCGATCACCACCATGGTGTCCTTCAGCACAGCCGCAACGTGGAAGAAATGAGCCAGAGGCTGGAAGGGGGAAGGAAGCAAAACCGTGTGAGGAACACCACCTAGCCACGCATCGCCCCGCTCCCCAGCTCTGCTTCTCCACCCAACACTTCCATCTCCCTGCTCTAACGCCCCTGGGACGAGAACCATGTGCTAGAATGTGATCCACTGATGCTGGAGGAAAGGTAAGCACTGAAGCTGGAAGACTTCGTCTCTCCTTCCCTTCCTTTGGGGTGCATTTTTCTCCCAGACTTGTGGTTAATATGCCTTGCAGGGCAAGAAAGAGCAGTTTTCAAACTCTTGCACACATAACATAATGTTTGTATTTTTTAATTTAATATTATAATTTTTTTTAACTTAACATTGTAAGCTGCCCCGAGGCTTCGGCAAATGCGGCGGCATAAAAATGTTTAAATATATAAATAGATAGTTAGATAGATAGATAGATAGATAGATAGATAGATAGATAGATAGATAGACAGACAGCAATACAATTGCTGGGGAAGGCAAGAAAGAAACATCCCATGAGAATGTTAAACTGGAGAATATCTCCTAAGGAAGTTCAGTAGGCGGGGCAGGAATTGGGCGAGAGAGAGACCCCGGGGGTGGCAAAATGGGAGGGGCCCCCCTTGATGGTAGCCCCCGACAGTGGGATGCTCACTGCAGCAAGTCCCAGCTGCTGCAAAACTGTCATCGTCGTGTTCAGCCGTGGGCCACGTCCTCCTCCTCCCAGGCATTCGATGGTACAGGATGGGATTTTAAATGTCCATTTTTAATCAGGTCTTAACTTTCAGATGCTTTAAATTCTTTCTGCATTTTGTAAGTATGCTAACATTTTTAGAGTAAGTATTTCTTCTGTTGGGTGTATTTAGGCTGCAATTTTTATGAGCTGCCTAGGCAGTACAGGAAGGAAATAAATGAATTCAGATGCAAGAGCAAACCGTGCATAACTGCAAAAGCTCTGCCTGCTGAACTTGCCACCTCCTTTTCCTTTGGCCAAATGATACTATTCTGTGTTCCCTTATCTCAAAGAATGCAGGCCGGGCTGGTTCTGTGGAACCGAAATGGGCAGTTTCTTCACCCTGGGAAACTCTCAGGTAAACCCGGCAAGGTAACGAATTTGGCTCCGACAGCCGCTCACCTTTGGTCCCTGAGAGGGGGCCAATAAGCTCCAGGTCAGGTTGGGGTAGTAAAGGCTGTAGAGCTCGGGGGAGGCGGAAACCATCTCCACGTGGAAGCGGTGGCCGCCAAAGACATAAATGGCATCTGTGCCCTCGTGGTACACGGCCGAGTGCCCGTACAGACCTGAAAGGAAAAGGAAATTTCCTGGACTGAGCCTATGTTTGCCAGGGAGAGGGGTTTAGAACAGGGCTTCCCCGCTCACCTGGCTGTCAGACCTCGCTACTAGAAATATGGAGGCAGGCACACCTGGATGTTTATGCAGGTACTTCTGGGTGCTGCCAGGAATGGAAGGAATTGCCTTTTGTGGAAGCTTTGGAGAAGAGATGGCTCACTTATACGCGAGAAAGTGCCCCCAATGGGTGGCCAGAGGGCCTTTCCGGTTCTACAGCCAGCGGATGACCCTCTCAGAGAGTCCTGTGAGTTCCCTACCTGTCGGGGGGGTTCCGGCCTGGTTTCCGGCATGCCAGCTCTCCGACGCCACATTGTATTCCAGCAATTTCTTATTGAAGCCATTCTCAGGGGAGTAACCGCCAATGAGCAGCAGGGAAGAGCCACGGCGAGCGGTGAGCGTGTGGCCAGCCACTGCAGGGATCAGAGGGTCCTGGGGGCAGGAGGGCAAAAGGGCAAAGGGGTTGAAAGGGAGGGACAGGGAAGGGGTAGGGCAACGCACCCCCGTCTCTCTGCACCATTCTGCATTTGGCCAGCCCCAATTCAGACCCCTCCAGAGGCGCCGGACGGCAACCTCTCCCGCTATCATTTCCCGAGCGATGAGCACCAGCACCCCTGGATTTCTGATCACATTTTAGGCGAGCCGTCAGACAGTCCTCACTGCTCAGCAGGGTGACACAAGTGAGCCCCCTGCTCCAGGTTGCCTCCTGGTGAAGCATTCAGAGGGACCAGCAATGCTTTTTCTCATGCGGCTCACAATATGGAAAACATGCTCTCCAGCAAGAATTCAGCCTCACACCCGCATGGGAGGCCGCCAGTCCGTGGCTGGCTGACGAAGGAAGCGGGCACAGGACCGGCCGCCCCCCCCCCCCCCCCCCGGCCCTGTTGGGCCCTGGCACCAGCAGAGGCCTGCTAACGGCTCGCACTCCCCAGGGGAGCCTTACCTGCGCCAGTCTCCACTGCAGCGTGGTGAGGTTGAGCAGCCAGAAATCGCTGGCCACGCCATCGGCGGTCAGCCCACCCAGCAGGTACATGGCCTTGCAGGAGGAAATGTAGGCGGCGGCGTGGAAGTAGCGGGGGTTGGGCCCCGGGCCTCTGTCCTCGGTCCCTGCCAGCATCTGCGTCCAGCGGCGCTCGGCGATGGAGTACCTGCAGAGAGACAGGAGCCTCTGCAGTCACGATAGGTGTCTGGGAAAGCTCTTGGGCAGGGCAGGGCAGGGGAGAAACGCTCACCTGTACACATTGCCCAGCATTCCTTCTCGCAGCGACATGCCCCCAAACATCCAAAGTGTGGCGTCTGGTCCTTCTACCATGGTGTGACCCAGGCGGTGCAGGAACCGGCTGGCCGTGTCCTTAGAACAGACACAGGTGATCATTAGATCTGACACAGCAGCGTTCTCCTGGAGCGGGAGCCGACTCCAGGACACGCCCCTTGTGGGGCCCGGGGCCTTCACCGTCCACGTCCGCTTCACCGGATCGGTCCTGCCACCACAGAAACCCCAAGCACAGAAGATGACCTGGCTGGATGCCCTCAGCAGGTCCCGAGAGCCCAAACCCTGGGGAGTGTCAAGACGGGCACCTTTCCTCTATCTGCTGAGGGCACAAATGCATCAGTGCATCCAGCCACGAAGCTCAGAGTCCTTAGTACAACCGGCAGGTAAAATGACCCCAAAATCCAACCGAGAATTGGAGAACCGCTGCAACATTCTGCGATAAGCAAGAGTCAAGCCACGGTGGCCCTGCCCCTGAGCAGTGCTCCCGGCCGCCGATTGCCTGCAATGGCTCCAGAAGTCGGACAGGGCCGACTTAACAGCATGATGGGCCCCGGGCAAGGCAGTGTCCTGGGGCCCCTACGACAACGACAACTACTGTTAATTTTGGAAGTTTCCTGATTTTCCGAGGGTTAACATGCACAGATTAGTGTGGGGCCCACGGGCAAGTGCCCCTCAGGCCCACGCGTGAAGACGGCTCTGAAGTCGGACACTCACTCGCTTGTGCAAGGCGTCTGGGTAACAGTGGCCAGCAAAGGCACCGGCCCCCAAAGCCCACCAGAGAGTACCAGAAGCCACACGCTCTCGGGGGCGCTCACAGGGGAAGAGGTTCACTTACCGCTGTGAGCTGCGTGTCAGTCAGCGTCTCCCAGACGATCTTGTTCGTATCCAGTGGGATGGAACAATTTGCGCCAGCAAACCCCTCGCTGCAGACGCACAAGCCCAAGCTCTGAAGGAAGACGTGAGGAAGGAAAGAGAGCAAGGGCGGGAAGGCAGGGTGAGACCGTTGCAGGAAGCACGGGTGCAACAGGCACGGGTCTGGGGAGCTGGGGCGGCTGCTGCACCTCCTCACCCCTGGCTGGCCAGTCTAAGGCCAACGTCAGCCCACCGAGGTTGGCTGAACGCACTGCCAGATGCAGCTGGCTCTTGCCCCCCCGAACTCCTACCCAAGTCTGACTCCTTGTCTGAGCAACCAGTGAGGTTACTGCAATGCTCGTGTTCCTACTGCCTATGTTTACCCTTCCCAGGATATATGGATCTACTCTTTCCACAGGGGGAGTCCAAGACGATTTAACTTAGGCTCCGTTTGCTGCCCATTTCAATCCTTCACCTGGAGCTTTTATGTACTTTCACTGATTGCAGAACAGCGCACAACAAGAATGGGAAAAGGAAAAGCTGCACACTAAAAACATCAATTCTATAGCAAGAAAGGGCAGAAGCAGCAGTCTGCAGAACTGGCAGACGGGTCTGCTCAAGGCTTGCGCTGCACAGTCTATTATTTCGTCGCTGGTCAATGGGAGAATGTTATGCAGGATAATGACCCCACCCTCCCGCCATGTTCCACTCAAAACCATTTACGGAATAATTATATGGTTAAGCTCAGCCAGCCCTCTGCCCCACCTGCTTGAAACTTGGATTTAGAACTATCTGAATCGTGGTATTTAGGAAGCAGAACTGTGTGAATAAGGCTTTATTTATTTATTTGTTCATGCTTTACTCGTCCATATGATTAGTGACCAAGCCTGGAGCGCAACGCCTTTCTAACTTGCTATTCTCCGACATGGCGGCCGAGTTAGCTTCCAAACTCTGGAGAAGGACCCATCCGCTTCGTGGTTTCCTTGCGCCATCAAGACCACCCCATTCCCCGGCCCTTTCTCAAGCAGCCCTGCCCTTCACACAGGCAGGCACCCTGCCGGGCTCACCCTGTTGCAGACCCCCTGCCCAGCGTGAGCGCTGCAGTTGGCCGGGCAGACTTGGAAGCGGCAGCCGGGGCCGGTGTATCCCGCCCTGCAAACGCAGCGTCCCTCCAGGCACTCCTGGTTGGGGTGGCAGCCGGGCTGGCAGTGGTGCACCGTGTAGGTGGCATTGAACCCGGAAGACTCGCTGGAGTTGGCTTCGTAGTAGATGACCAGGAGGCCTGCGAGGGGGGCGCGAGGGTGGAGAATCAGGGAAGGACGTTTGTGAGCAGGGAAAGGTTCGCTGGGGTGGGGTGGGGTGGGGGGACAACTGCTAGTAGGGGGGGAGTTGCTGGCCAGAAGCCAAGAAGGTTTCAAACTGCGTTCTTCCAGGGATTGTCAGCCGTTCCTCGGTGTGGAAAGGAGCACCGGCACCCAAGCTTTCCCAAAAGGCAGCGTGCTTGTCTACTCCACGGAGCACGGCCTCAGCCTTGCTCCAAGCAGAGCTACAGTAATGTCCAGGAACCATCGATGTCTCTCCCCAGTATGGGGGGAAGATGGCCTCCCTTATGCGGAAGGCCCCGTGGCCCCCAGCTGGCCACAGGGGGAGACAGGGCGCTGAGGCAGGTGGATCTCTCATCCCTGGGGAAGCAACGCCACAAGCGGGGCTCCCCCCACGCCTCGGAATACCACCCTCCCGCCTACCTGATACAGCCTCCACGGTGACCGGGTGGGGGCGCCCCTGGCCGCAGAAAGCCCCAATCAGAGTGCGATCCAGCTGGATCAGGCCTGTGTCCAGGAAGTCGGGCAGCCCGTCAAAGATGTAGACGTAGTTATTCTAAGGAGAATCGGGAGCTGGAGCACTTGATGCGATGCTGAGCTTCTGCCTTTGACTGAGAGCCAACTGCCCACACAACGAACCTCCTGGGCCCCCGCCCGCCCGCCCGCCCGCGGCCCCACGTGCTCACCACGCAGAGGGTGTCAGGCTGGATGGTCAGCGTGATGGTCGGGCAGGTCTGCTCGGGCCGACAGGGCTGTGCGTCGTCACCAGTGGACAGCACCCAGACGCAGTAGGAGAGCCCCCCCGGCGGGGTCCCTCCTGCCCGTTGAGAGCTCAGCGAGGAAGAGGAAGAGATGTTGGTGAGCAAGGAGCGCCCGACACACTCCTGATAGCAAACGCCCTCATTTCTGCAGAAGAAAGAGCAACGAGGCCCAGTCAGGGGCAGCGCAGCCACGGCGGCCCCGAGCGCATTCTCCGGCCTGCTCCAGGCAGCACCTCACATCACGTCCCGCGCTTGCAAAACGGCACACCTGCTCCAAGACGCCGGAATGCTGGGCAGACGGCACCGGCACTGGAGTTCTGCCGTTAAGCAAGGGGTGATGGAGAGAGAGAAGAAGGTGCACGGCCGAGAGACACGCCACACTGCAAGGCTGATGCAGCAGCCGTTCGCATGCCAGGGGCAGAAGAAATAGGAAAGGCTGCTGGCTGCGGCCTCCCTGCACCTGGCCACCTGCCTGCACCTGGGGAGGGAGCTGCCACTCCCAGCATCCCCGAGCCAGCAGGGCGGCCTTGCTGCGTCACGCAGCAGCTAGTCCAGATGGCGGCTCTTGCCAGCACTCGGCCTTCAGCACCCAGAGGTCCCGCTCGGCGTCTGCAGGAAGCAGCCCGTGACCCCCGACCCCCCACCCTGGGAACCGGCTTCAGCAGTGCAGTTCGGCATCCCTGCGGCTCAGAGGGCCTCTCACCTGGGGTCCCCGGAGTAGCCCGGGGCGCAGCGCTCGCAGTGCGGCCCCTCTGTGGGCGGGGCGCAGTAGCAGGCCCCCGTGGAACCGTGGCAGAAGCCCAGCTCCGCCAGGCCGTGCCCGTTGCAGCTGCATTCCCAGCAGCCGCTCTGGTTGACCGCGCTGCCGTAGCTGCCCGGCCGGCAGAGGTGGCAGTGCTCGCCATGGGTCCAGTCTGTGCAAGAGGCGGAGGAGAGAAACCGGTCGGGGGGTGAGGAGGACGGGGTGGACCGAGAGCGTGTGCACTTGCAGTGGGGGCGGGCAGCCTTTTGGGGGCACCTGGGAATTCGAGAAACTGCCCCGGGCACCCCTCGAAACAGCCGTTGTGGGGGGCAGGGAAGACCGCTGTGGTCGTGGCACCCACCCAAGGCCTTTCCACACAGGATGGGGGGACTGAGCCTCTGTGCACGTCATCGCTCGGTGCAAGCCACAGCTTCCAGTGCCGGCGGGAGGCGCCGGGTTTTGCAAGCGGCAAATGCTTTTCCCTCCTCCCCCTGCTGGGAATCCCACTCTCTTTCCCATGCACTCCTGCACACCCGATGCCACCCCCCACAGCCCCCCCACCTGCACAAATGTGCCCATTCATTCATTCGCTCGTTCGCTAAGTCATATGCACACGTGCCAAGAGCCATCTCGGTGAGCACCAAGCAAGGTGGCTGGGACCCGCTGGGGCCTGGGGGAACCATTCTGTGTCCCCTGCCATTGCCGGGCAGCACCCCAAATACCAGTGACGCCGCACCCAACGCATCCCGATGGTAACCGTTTCTGAAAAGGCGGAGACAGGCAAGGCGGCACTCACTCTGGCACTCGTCGCAGAAACCGGCCCCCTTGACCGCGCAGGTGCTGTGGAAGTGGCAGCCACAGTCCACGTTGCACTGCACCCCGTTGGGGGGAGGGGTGGCCCCCATGACCTCGGAGGTCCAGCCTAAATCGCACAAGCAGGAGAAGTGGGGAGCCCCACTGCATTCGCCGTGGGCGCATTCATCGTAGCAGCTGTGGGGCGGGAGCGGGGAGAGAAAGGGAGGAAGGAACGCAGGCTGGTTAGCAAGGGGGCAGAATCAGGCTGGCCCACGTCCATCGTGGCCCTGGCCACGAAGACTTTTGTCCTGGGCCTTGGAGCCTGGATTCACGCAACACCCGAGCAGCCAGCCCAAGAGACGTTTGATAGCTGATTATCCGGTCAAAAGGCAGAGGACGGAATCAAAGGAGCGATCCATCAAGCGAGGCCTAGAACATTTGAGATGTTGCAGAACTTGGAGATATGGAAGAGGTGTGGCAGCTTACAACTGAGTAAGCAAACGCCCCCACTCTTGCAAGAAGGAAATGCCCTCTTTAAGGTTTACTTTTTCCTTTCCTGGTACAACAACACACCAGGAATAAAAAGTTTTTAAAAATAAAGCAAGCCTGCCCTTAATTCAGTGATCAAAATGTGCCCCCACAGACCAAACTGCTAAGATCTGAGCTTTCCAATCCACCAGTTAAATTGACAAAAGCTCAAAGCACTGCATGACAATAAAGTTTCGTGAAATGTGACCCCTGTAGCAGAGTTTTGCACAGGAACGCTCAGAACAGTCACTTGCAGTGAGCGAAGAAACCAGTTCGCCACCAACACTAAGTAAAGACTTACTTGCCTCTCCGGGAATTCCTACACAGCAGCAATGGCTAGCAAAGTGTGCACAGTAGCTGACAATTTCCCTTCATGCTTGGAAGCCTGCAAGGAGCACTGAACCCAGAAGCGCACACCACTGAACCGGACGGTGCCTTCCATCGGTGTGTCGCCCAAAGGGCAGCCTCACTCAGCAAGAGCAGCCAAACGCAAACGGGGGTTTCACGCAGGGGCTACGGAAAATGCCTTATCACCTTTCCAGTCTCGGCCTGCAGTTTCCCTGCTCAATCAGCCCCCAGACTGGCTAAAAACATTGGAGGGGCCGGCCGGCAGGCTGGTTCCCCCCCTCCCCAACTCACGTCTGGTTGCAGTAGGTCACCCCGTCGCCAGCATAGCCCCGGTTGCAGTGGCACTCAAAGGAGTCGGCTGTGTTCTTGCAGCTGGCGAAGGGGTGGCAGTTGGCCAGGCCCAGCCGACACTCGTCCACATCCGGGCACTGCCCGTACGACCACTGGGCAGGATGGGTGGGCAGCAGCCCGTGGGACTCCCACAGGGCCACCGAGCAGTTCAGGTAGGTGTTCAGGCCCGAGAAGTCCCCCGAGAGGCACCTGCAGACAGAGCGGGATGGATGCAACAGCCTCAGGTGTGCGAGCGAAGCCTTCCCAGTCAAACGCTCCCAAGCCTGCAGCAACTGTACGAGAGGGAGAAATTCAACACGGGGCCACTTTCCCCAGGAGCAACATTGCAGCGACGTGGGAAGTGTGTCTGCTGGATTTTTTGCTCTCCCACAGAAAATGCACCAAAATCAAGCCAGGAGCATCTGTTGCAAAAAGCTGGCAAACTTTTCAGCAGGGAAATTATAGGAGCCTGAAATCTTCAGAGCTGTAAACTGCCCAGAGAACCCCTGGGCTAATGTGGCAGTATAGAAATTATTCTTATTATTAGTTATTATTATATTTCTATACCACCCAAAGCCGAAGCTCTCTGGGTGGTTCACAACACTGAAGTCCCCCATCCGGATTCCAACCAGGCCTGACCCTGCTTCGATGCATTAAGCAAATACCTAATGAGTGCCAAATTAAAAGGACTAACTTGATTGTAATGCTATTAATTTAAGGTTAAACCAGAAATTTCCAGTTCCCAGTTCAATGCAATCTGTTCTGTGGGCAGAGTCACACTTCTGCATATGGTCCTGCGGCAGCCAGATTCCTTGGCTGGATTCCTCAAGCTCGTGGGTGGATCACAGAGTCAGAAAGACCCGGTCTCTCAAAGAGCAGTCTTACCTGCCCAGGGTTGGGTTGTCCGAGTTGCCGCACCAGCCACATTCGAAGTTCTGCAGGCACTCACGGCAGGTGTTGAATCGGGTGCAGTCCAGGCACTGGGGCACGGAATGGACGCTGGGGCAACGAGGGGAGGAGGAGGAGGAGGAGAGCACTCAGCCAGCTGTGCTTGCAAGGCTGCAGGCACAGCAAATCACAGCCGCACGACTCTCCGGCCTGGCTTTCCCTGCACGATCCTCCCTGGCACTTAAGATCTTCTGGAAAGGCCCTTCGTTCAAGAGGGCAGCCTTCAGAGGCAAGGCCAGCAGTGGCTTGGGGCGGGGCCAGGCGGTAAGGATTGTCTTATCCATTCTAATTCAAGCCACCTGGAGCAGCATTTGTTGGTAGAAAGGTGGGATCTGAATCGAATCACTCACGAGAGGAGAGCAGATGTTACCACAGAACACCGTGAGGAGGAGAAAGGATGTGAACGTTTCTCCTGGATCAGGAGATGCTGCTGCTGCTGCTATGCCCACAGGGGGCTTGCCGAAGCAGGGGTGCTGCAGCCCAGCCGGAAAGGGCCAAACCCCCCACTACCCCCCTATTTCAGCTCGAAGCCAGCAATTTAGCCTCAGGAGACACATTTCAGTCTGTCAAAAGGGGCAAGAAAGCGCAAGAGCCGGGAACCCACCCAAGGCCGGACACTTGTGGCAGGCCAGGGAAGACAGGCATGAGGCCCTGGAGGACCCCAGAGAGCCGGAGGGGGAAGCGAGCCTGATATGGCCCCCGGGCTTGTGGTCCCGCACCCTTGTGCTGACAGTTCCCCGCATCCTACTCAAGCTAACGTGGAGCCTCCCCTCTTTCAAAATCAAAGGAGGCACAATCCCCACCAGCCAGGCTGCCTCCTCCTGCTCTCCACTCCCTGCATCCAGAGCCTGATTTAGTCTGCAGCCCTCCCGTGCGGCACGTGTCTGCGCCAGGCTTCTCGCTCGTCGCTGGGCTGGAGGGCTGCTCTCCCAACCTGCCGCCCGACTGGAGGGGGCTGCCCCTCGGGGCGCTGGGGAGCTGCCTTTCTCCTTTCCGCCGGAGAGCCGCAAAGGGCTGCCTCGCTCCCCGGCCGTCCCGCTGCCCTTCTGCCGTGTGCCCGGCTCACCTGTCGTACCACCCGCGGCAGTCCCCGTAGGGGTACTTCGCCAGGTAGGCGGCAAAGAAGAAACAGCTGCGAGTGGACTGGCACCAGGCGCACTGGCTGGAGTTGGAGAGGCACTCGGAGCAGGTGGCGCGCCTGCGGGGAGAGCGGAGCGGGCGCAAAACCACCGTGAGGCACGTCCTCTCTGCCGCCAGCCACCTGCCCGCCTCCCCGCTTCCTCGATTGCCCAGTCCCCCACCGAAGCAGAGCTCCCCATGCGGAGGCCGAGCGGGCGGTTCGCCACCCAGGGCCACAAGGACACGCGGGGAAGTCAGAAACGGTCCTCCCCGGGCTGAGCGAGGATGCTCACCTGGCCATTCCAGGTGCTCCCAGGACCAGAGGCAGCTCTCTGGCCCTAACGGCCAGGGGGACTCAACACACACCTTCCAGCAAGTCTCTGCCACTCTTGTGCCTCTGCCTGCTGCCCAGTGAGGACCCGTTCACCTTGCGCACGGCTGGCTGGGATATGGCGGGAGTTCTAGTCCAGCACAGCTAAAGGGCACCAGGCTGGGGGAGGCTGAACCCGCCTGCAGCTGAGCCCAGGTCTGCAGCACCTCCAGCCCACCCGCTGGCTTTCGTCAGCCCAGCCTGCACTATGGGAAGGCGTCAGCTTGATGCTTCCTGACCCCACGGCCCAGTCCCCAGAGGCCACCCCACCCACACCACGTACTCACTGATTGCAGAGCTTGGGACAGTCCTTGGGAGAGCGGATAGCAGTGGGGAGGCGACCTCGGCGGCTGCAGAGAAAATCTCCTTTCTTGCTGCTGTTCACTTGCCACTCACAGAAGGGGTCCTGGGGCGAAGAACGAGGTGGACATGGTGAAGGGATTCCGACAGCCGGGGTTCCCCTGGCAAAGCAAGCAGCTGGCAGCAGGCAGCCCGTGTGCGGGATCACAAGGGTGTCCCCCCGGCCGCAGGGACAGACCGTATCCGGTGCTTCTAAAGCAAAGACCTGGCCCAGCTTAAGGCAAGTCATCGCGCACATCACACATAATGCTCGTACCCAACAAAGCAGCCCCTCTCTCTGGGTGGAGACAGAGGGACAAGCCCTTGCGGAGGCCATGCAGGTTCTTTTTCAGCAGGGCTTGCTCCTCTGATTGCTGAGTCTATATTTAATGACTCTCACGCAAGTCACCCTGAATAGATGTTAGCCAACTGCTGATTCCCTGGATTCTCCCTGGACCCCTTTCAAAAACTGGTGTTACATTGGCCATTCTCCAGTCCTCTGCTACAATGGCTGATTTTAGGAACATGCTAAATATTATTTCAGATTTGTGTTCTTTAAAAATTCTTGGATGGATACCACCTGGGTCGGGGGATTTACTGAATTTCTTACTGAACTGGTCATGTTAAGTGTGAAAAAGAAGTCGGGGAGAGAGAAATTAGCAGCCTGCAAGTACTGGGAAAGCTGCAGGATCTCTTCTCGATTCTCCCAGAGTGCAGGACGGGGTAATATGGGGTCATAATCCAGGAAGGCGGATTCCAGCTGAACATCAGGAAAAACTTCCTGAGTGTTAGAGCAACAGGACAACGGGGCCAATGGCCTAGGGAAGTTGTGGGTTCTCCCACGCTGGAGGGATCCAAGAGGCAGCTGGACAGCCGTCTGAGAGGGATGGCGGCCCTGCACCGAGCAGCGGGTTGCGCCTGATGGCCTTCTGGCCCCCTCCGACTCTACCATCCCGGGCCTGGATGCAGACAAAGCTCGCCCTTCTCCCCACGAGCGCTTAGCATCTAAGACACAGCGGTTCCACCCAGCGCTGCCCTGCTCCCACACTGTTCTCCACCTCCAATGCAGATGCTGGGCCAAGGAAAGCGCCCCACCCGCCGTTCCCCCACCTTGCTGCAGGCGTGGCAGTCCCGGTAGTCCTCGCACAGGATGCAGTTGCCCGGGACCAGGACGAGGCGCACGCTGCCAGCGCCGCAGGGCCCCGCGTCGTCCCCGCGCGCCAGCCGCCGGTGGCAGGTAGCGCTGAGCGGGCACCAGCCGCAGCCCTGGTCGGCCAGGCAGGCGAGGCACGAGCGGTAAGCGGCACACAGCTCCGAGCGGAAGGGCTCCAGGAAGAAGTAGGAGATCTCCTGTGCAGCACAGAAGGGGGGGGAGCCTTGAGAATGAGGGCGCCTTGGAGCCGAGCTCCACAGAGGTGCTACGAGGACCGTCTTCGAATGTTTGCAGGGCTGACAGGCAGGGGACAGAGGAAGGCAAGCTGGTGCCTTCCAGGGGTTCTGGACTGCAATCCCCTTGATCCACAGAGTTGGCGATGCTGGCTGGGGCTGATGGGAGTCATAGTCCAAACCTCCTGGAAAGCGCCACAGTCCCTACCCTTGCTCCAGAGGGCAGGACCCAACGGAAGAGGTTCTGAGGTTAAGCTAAGCAATTTCAAGGAAAGGACTTGAACATCTGAGCTGACTGGGAGTGGAGCAGGCTGCTTCAGAGAGAGGTGGTAAGCAGAGGCTGAGCCGCCACATGCCAGGGATGCTATAACAGAGGCAAGGGGATAGAGTAGGTGGCCCTCAAGGCACCTTCCAGCTCTGTCTTTCTAAATCATTCAGTAAGACTTGCATCCAAGAGACGAATTACCAAGGGGAGCACCCAACACATGTTGAAACAGAAAAAGCGCGCACAACTCCTAACATTCCCCAGCCAGTCATGCTGCTTGGGAGCTGCTGAGGCTCGTTGGCCGTTTTCCAGACTAAACATACATACGCCCTAAGATTGCGCCATTCTTACCAGAACAGAAATTAGAATTCTTTAATTCTTACATTAGAATTAACATGCACAACAGCCAGAAGGACTGGCCAAGTTACAGCTCTTACCCTGGGGAAGCCAAGATACTTACGCTGCCCCCAGGCACACCTGTACGGTCCCAGGTGAGGGTCAGTTCGCTCGTTTGGCCGTTGCCAGAGTTGTTGAGGTGGCCTTCCACCAGCACTGTGTACTTGTTGCCTCGCTCGGTGCTGGGGAAGAGGCGTTCCGCTCCAGGACGCTGAAGCAGCCGCTTCTCCTTATCTTGCTGGACTGCCCAGCGGCCCACCTCCTCCTGAAAGAAACGGCAGAAGGATCAGGAAGAAAAGGCTCTAGTGATGCTATTAAAAAAGGCTTCAATATTTTTAAGTGAACTTCCTTATGATGGAATAGAAGCTTGATGGCAGTTAGTTTCTAAGTACAGGTTGATTGTAACTTGGACATTCGTAACTCGGGGAAAGCCTGTACTCCAGGAAACTTTAGATTCTCGTAACGGTGATCATCTAATATAGATACCATTTGATGTGTATCACAGGAATTCTCATTTGTATTTTGGGCAACTTATGCACTCATGTTGCAAGATTTGCCTTGAACCTGCAAAGCCCCTACTTTTGGACTTGTTAACAAATCCGGACTTGTGATGACCAGTGACTTCACCGAAGAAAGCGGACGGCCACTCTGCAAAGCGAGACAAGGCCTCCCACCAGGAAACAAAACCGGCAGCATCTGCTCAGCAGTCTGCCCCTCTGAAATGGCCCACAAGTGATCCGGCCCCCAACCTTCGCGCCGGTGCGGCCTCCATCACTGGAAGGGGGAAAAGGGAGAGCCCAGCTCCTCCTCACCAGTTCAGAGGCGCCCGGTGCTCGGGCCAGCTTGGCGATCACAAAGAGGCGCTGGATGCGTGCCCAGATGGAGATGTCTTCCGCAGGCCCAGAGCTGCTCACCAGCGGGTGGATGAACCCCTTGTAGACCAGAGAGACGTCCATCTCGGTGCTGGGGTTGAGGGTGATGGTGGTGCTCCGGACAATGGAGACCTGTGACAGGGACACGACGGTCAGGTCTGAGCCCTACAGAGTGGAGGGTGGGGCTAGACGAAGGCAGGGGCTCCCCAAACTTTCTGGACCCATGGGCACATATGGGAACTTGGGAAACTGCCGTGGACACCACCGCCAATACCCAAGCGGTGGATCATCACTTCCACATCTACCCACGGGGGGAGGCTATGACACAGATAAATACTGCTCTGCAACAGGTTTTACAATTTGCTGACGAACACGCCTTAATTTACCTTGTTCACAGAAATTAACAAATGGCCAATGCAAATGAGTTCTCTGCATCCTTTCGAGAGTGAAAAGCCCGTCTCCCCCAGCCTAGCCACCTGCCCCCGTTGTCTGCCAGCGTGATGTGTGGCCTATCGCACACCTTCTCTGCAATACTGCAATTTTCTCTGAATTCTTCTGAATGTTAACCTTGCTACTTTTTTCAAAGCTTTCAATTTAAGATTGCCTGTGGCACAGTTACGATAACAAAAGACACAAACGTTTGCATTTACTGATGTACTTATTTATTTTAAAAAGCCACCGTTCTGTTCCCCCAGCAAGAGGCGCATTAAGGAATGAGCATGGCGAGTTCAGCCCCCTCACCTTATCAGGCTGGGAGTTGTTCCGTGGCTGCTGGTAGGTGATGAGGTGAAGGCCAGGCAGGAAATTTTCATGCTGGCATTGTGCCAAGGAGGTCACAAAGAAAGGCTGTGGACCCCACCAGCCGTATGTTCCCGAAAGCTTTCCTACCTGGCACCTGCCTCGTTCTGGGGAAGGAAAAGGAAATGGGAGAGTTAAGAAAGAATTGTTCTTCAAATAAGCTGTACGAATTACAGAGCATGTGATGGAACATGTCCGTGGCGGTTGCCCTGTGCCATGTCCCTGCTGATCGTCCTGGATCCCTTTGCCCCTTTCGATCCCTTCAACCATGGGCAAGCCTTCAGGGGCAACTGTCTCAGGTGGTAGTGAGGGGTGCTGCCCTGAAGTAGCCCTGCTCCTCCTCGGGGTGCCAGCTCCTGAAGGTGGTACTTGCGGATACTCCTTGGCCCCACAGATTCTCAGGTACAGGGTTCCTCAGGGGTCAGTCTCAGCTCTCATGCTGCCCAGCATCTACATGAAACTGCAGAGTGAGGTCATGCGGAGCTCTGGAGCGCGTTGCCATCGGTACACCAATGACACGCGGCTCTATTCCTCTGCTTCCTCTTCAGCAGGTGCACTAAAGTGGTACCTGCTGCGACGGAGGACTGGATGAGAGCTAAGACACTGAGGCTCAGTCCAGAGGAGACTGAGATGCTGCCAGTGGGGGGGTTCCTCTGACCAGGTGCTCAGCCCGTTCTGGACAGTGTGGCATTCCCTCGGAAGAGCAAGTGTGGCGTTTGGAGGTGCTGCTTGGTCCATCTCAACTTTGAGAAGAGAAATGGCACAAAAGCCAGGATTCTGCCAACAAAGATGGGCCACACAGCCTTCTGGGGGAACACCGGAGAGCAAGACTGGGTCCGCGGAGGCTCAAGGTTGGCCCGAAGCCTGTGATCTGCATCCCTGGCATAAAGACGCAAGGTGGTCTCAGCGACGCTGAAGCCACATGCCAGAAACATAGCACTGTGGCCACCGGGGGCAGAGTCAGCCTGGCTCACTTACCAGAAAGAGGCGTGCATGTCTCGTTCTGCACGCACCAGCCAAAGGGTCCTGGAGCACGGGGCAGGGAAGCGTTGGCGCCGGCAAATGCCAGGCAGGACTGGCAGTCCACCAAGAGGCGGGCCAAGCCCAGGCAACCGGTACTGGGGCACTAAGTGGGAGGAAAGGGACACCCATCAGGGGGTGTGCAGAATCCCCTGGTGAGCCATCGCTGCTCTTCCGGGAGACGTCTTGACCCAGGTGCCCCCCAAGATGCAAGGAACCCCCCAAGCACGGGGCTCCAAGCCAGAGGCACCCCAGCACCCATCTCTTCAGCCTACGCCTCTCCGGAAGGGGAAGCGCTGCCCTGCCCCGATACTCACGATGCTGTGGGGCTGAGCACTCTGACACCCTCTCTGGCACCAGGCACACTCGGGGTCCTTGGCACACGTGCTTTTCTCCGTGTAAATGGAGCAGTAATCCAGGTGGTACTGGGGCCGGGAGGAGAGAAGGAAAGGGAGGCCAGAGGCACCGCACGTCAGCCCTGCGGCCAGAAAGGCTTTCGACAGGTCGCTCTCAAAGCACCTCGAGCAGGTGGGGCGGAGGTGCAGCTCCCTGCCCGATGGCAGAATCTGAGGCTGCCCAGAGGAGGGCCTCCCTCGCCAGACACCTCAAGCATCAAGATTCTTGGTCGAAGAGAGTTAAAGATCCCATTCGACTAGCGTGGCGCAGCCCACACCCCGCAACTGGCAACGGGCAGGAGCGGCAAATGCATTGTGCATTTCCGTCTCCCCCAAGCGTGGTGTGCTGCAGAGTTTTGGGAGCAGGATCCCCTTCATCCCCAGCCAGCATGAAGAGGCTGGGGGGGCTAGTCCAATGCAGCGGGGAGCACCAGGTTGGAGAAGGCTGGGGTGCATGAACACCTGCAGCGGGACCATCCCTTTCTGCAGAGAACAAGCTATTCCCATTTTCTGGCGCGAACGAGGCTCACGTCGTCCAATTCTGTAAGGACCCACCCCGCCCGGAGCGGCCTGGAAAGGCACGCGGAAGCCCCGGCCAGACCAGCCCTTACGGGGAGAGGACTCGGGCGGGCCAGTGCTCAGGCAGGGAAGGGCACCTACCATTTGGGACGGCACCTGGAAGACGAAGGTGGGCACCTTGTAGGCCAGCAGGTCGCCGCGCGGCACCCCGCTGTAGCCTCCCGCGACGAGCAGCACGTTGCCGTTCATCACGGCGGCCACGTGGGAGTAGCGCCCGCGCGCCGGGGACTGGGCCTTCGCCTCGTGCTCTGCGGGGGGGACACACAGCGGAGACGGTGTTGCTGGGCCGCCGTGCGCATCGACTACGGCCGCGCCCGCCGGACCCTGCGCGATCCCTCACCGTGCGTGATCGGAGGGGCCAGCTCGTGGCTCGAGACCCACTGATGGCAGCCCAGGTGGTAGAAGAAGATCTCGTCCTCGTAGCATTTCTCCTCGTGGTAGTGGATGTGCACGTTGCCCCCTGGCGGACAGGAGGGGAGTGTGGAGCATCAGTTAGTGCAGCAGCCTCTCCTGATCATTACTTATCTCCTGAATGCTTATACTGCCTTTTTCCTCCAAGGCAGCTTACAATTTTAAAAGCCTGAGGAAGGGATCTGGGCACATTTAGACAAGAGAAAACTCCTACTGCCCCCAGCATTCCACAAAGTCATTCCACAGGCTTTTAAAAATCTAACTAGGTGTAGCATTGAGGCCTAAAATAAACAAATAGTGTCTACCCCAAAGCCCCCCCCCAAAGGCACAGAGGTCTTAAGTACTCCCAAGAGAAAGTGGGGGGGTCTCTTGGGGTTCAGGAGCGGACAGCGTGCATGCCCTGGCCTGGGCTTCTCCTCTTAAAAGATAAGGAAGAAGCACTCATTCCCCTTCCCAAACTCCAGTTTTTTTCCCCTATAGTAAAAGAGTGACAAGCAGAAATGGGGGTGAAAATAGAACAGTTAGCAATACAAGTGCCAAGTTTGGGAAGTGAATTGCCATCTTTTCTCATCAGCTCTGCTCCTGCGCCTTTATTAACAACATAATATAAAGAAAATGAGCGCAAAACTTCCCTACCATGCAAGGAAATGGAATAAAGATGTTGGGGACCAGACTGCAGAAGAGCAGGGGGGAAATGTAGGCGCCCTTCCACGAACCCTCTGGGCCAAAAATGTGACGCCTTAGCACAGAACAAAAGATAGGATGACGCCAGCCCAGGAATCCCAGCGCCCCCCTTTGGCTGGCCACGCCGCCCTCACCGTAAACGACCATGTAGTTGCCGATGACGGTGGCGGAGTGGAAAGCCCTTTCGCGAGGTCCGCGGTGCGAGTCTTTGGCGCGCAACGTGCTCCAGTAGCGCAGGCCCACGTGGAAGAGGTCGGTGGTGTTCACTCGGACACTGAACCTGAGGTGGGGGAAGAGTGCGGGCGAGTCAGGTCTCCCGGGACCCCTTTCCAACTGTCCACTGTCTCCTCCTCCTTCGCTCGTCCCCGCTTACCGGGCAGTGGAGGGCCGGTGTCCACCATAAACCAGGAGGGTGCGGGAGGCAGGGTGGAAAACCATGGAGTGGCCGGCTGCGGCAGGGGCCTTGCCCCCCGACGGCACCACCGACTCCCAGCGCCACTGCCGCAGGTGGAAGCGGTACATCTGCGCGGAGAAGACGTCCACGGAGGTGCGGCCTGCAAATCGGGATGGGTGAGGCTGAGACATCGTCCACTGAAATGGCGATCCCTGCAGCTATTCCTGTTCTACAAGTGGAATTTGGGGGACGTGCCCACTCAGTGCTAGACTTTATGAGGCCCCGAGGAAAGAATTAGGACAGTCCTATTTGCAGGTTCTGCTGCTGGCTTCTAGGCTAGCTTGGAAGCCGTCGTAAGTATTTCGTGCTAGTGACAGGTAACAGCAGCCCTGGCTGGACACAAGCACATCAGCAGCTGCCCCGCACTAAGCCAGGCCTTTGGTCTGCCCAGCCCAGGAGTGTCGACATGGAGTGGCAGAGGTGGCTTGGAGGCCCTGGGAGATTTTCCAGGCCTACCTGGAGATGCTGGGGATCAAGTTGGACGTACTCAGCAAGCAAAGCGGGACTCTGACACTTAGCCATGGCCAGTGCTTTGAAAGCACTTCTCTGCCAGGGGAACCCTTCAAACGCAGGCTGGCTTCCCATGCTAGGAAGCAGCACACAGAACAATGGGCTCCTGTCTCCAGGACCCAATCTGGAGTAATTAAAACATAAACTCAACGCAAGGAATGTCCTCCAGTTGCCTATGAAGCACAGCCTCCAAGGGCTGCTCCTCTCTTCCACCATCATCCCCCCAAACACCTGCACACGCTCCCTTTGTCCTGAGCCATGTCTTGCTCGTTCCTCTCCACATTTCAGTTTTGTAACTTAAATGTGCAAATGGATCCAGTTCGCAAAGCCAAACAGAGCTGCGTGGAATACATAAGGTACTTTGAGCACAGAATTTGGCATTTCTCTGAGTAGGGCTGCAGTGATCCAGGGCAGAAAACTGTGCAGGTGGCAACCATGGGGACCTCAGAATCCAAACTAGGCAATTCTCCGCCCCTCCCTGCTCTCCACTCAGGGCTGTGACAGATTCTCAGGACCCCGGAGCCAAGCTCAGCCCAGACTCGGGACACGGCGACTCACCTCCGAACACATACAGCCATTCATCCACCACTGCAGATGCGTGGCCGGCCAGTCCGGGAGGGGGAGGGAACCACGTGATGTTGAGAGGCTCCAACTCCCACCAGCGCCCCTCCCGGGGAAGGTACATCCAGACATCGCTGGCGAGAAAGCCACTGGCCAACTCTCCCCCAAACAGGATGAGAAACCCCTCCCAGGCCACTGCTGTGTGCGAGTGACGTGCCGACTGTAAAGGGAACAAAAGGGGCAGCTGTGAGAGAGATTCACAGTGGATCAAGGATGTTTGTCCTCCTCCTGAGTATTCTAACATCTCCTGGCTGGGAGGGTCCTCAAGAGGTCATCCAGACCAACCCACAGCTCATGCTACCATTTTCCTGATTGGTGGCCATATACTCCTGTTCGGCTGAAATCTCTAATCAAGCAGACAGTGCTCCTGTCAGACAGCCATTATCATCGGGCATTTCCTCCTAAATACCTCCCAAACTATTTGAGAGACCGCGCTTACCCATTTCGGCCTGCCCACATGTAAAGATCAACAAGGGAAGCCCTTCTCATTTGCCCTGCTATGAAAGACGTTAGGTCAGAGTCGAGCTTTTCTGCAGTGGCCCCACTCATCCAGAATAAAAGTTCTTGGTGGGCCCACTGGACCCCCTCTGTGACAAAGGCCCCCAAACATATCATTTTGCTTTGACCATCCCGATAGGTTCACCGTTGTTGTTGTTTTATTGCTTTTTAGGACCAGGTTGGATCTTGCTATGTTTTTATGGCTGAATGCCACCTTGGGAGAGCTCCTGACTAAGAAGTGGGGAGAGGAAACAGTTTATGGAAATAATATAAATAAAGAGCCCTTTGTCAAAATCTCCTTTCTGGTAATTGGGGCCTGCTTATTTGAAGCTGAAGAGACACCCCTGCAAGCAGAATCCGTAGCAGAGTGCCCAGGCCCGGGATGCGGGTGCCAGGATGGGCCTGCGCCTGTGGGACACACACCTCCACATGACATTTTCAGGTAGATGCTTCCAGTCTCTGAAGGGAAGCCCCCCCAGCCCCCGCATCATCAGACGATACTGTCCAGAGTGGTCCCCAACAGCAAGGGCACTTACCGGGGAGGGGCTGAGCACTCGTCGATGCCAGACGTTGGTGGTGAAGTTATAAAAGACAAGGTCACCGAGGGCTGTGTTTAAATCCAGACCTGGGGAAGGAAGCAGAAGCAGCCTGCAGAAGCAGAAGGGGGAAGGAGCCCCTGGTCGGAGGATCCAGGCCTCTAAGCATGTTATATTATCATGCTCTACTTCTGGACATTAAGAACCACCATGTGAGATCAGAGAACAGGTCCAGCATTCTTCACACAGTGGCCTGCCAGCTGCCCATGCAAAACCCACGAGAAGGCCACAAGCCACCTGGGAGACCACCGGAATCAAAGGCACGATGCAAACCTTCTAGAGAATCAACACCATCAGCCACCAGCATGAATCAAACAGTGAGATCAAGCCAGGCTGCTTCCCGTGGGGCAGAATCCTGTCCTTTGAACCTGCTGCTCCAGGTGGCTACCAGACCCTTCCTCCACCGGCCAGCCCTGGCTGCCAGGCTTCTTGACGATGCAGTCTTTGCCTTCTGAGGCATGCCTGCAGCATCCTAAAGCAGTTGGGGCCATGGTGCTCGGCCATCGAGAGAAGCAAATGCCCGGCTGCTGAAGGGGCCCCGCAAAGCCCCAGACAACCCGCTTGCCCCTTGCCTCCCTTCCAGCTGTTCCGCCAGCCGTGGCCTCAGCTTGGCCAGCCACTTAAAATTAAACTAAAATCGGAGGCACGTGATCAGGAACTGCACGCGGTATTTTTGTTTCCCACACGGTTCAGACTGTGGGGGGGGGGCCTTGTGTGGCTGAATGCTCTCCCATTGGAAAAAAAACGGTAATACGTAGAGCAGCAGGGAGTATTCTCCCTGGCATTTGGTTTGCTTTCACGCTGGATTTTTTTTAAATATGAAGGATCAGGCAATCCTGGCGTGTGCAGCTGCTCAGCCTCGCAGGAGTGGGAGCGCATGATCCTGCCAGTTAAGCGTTTCCGCTTCAAGCCACCGTAAGGACCTGCCCAGCTGCTGCCTTCACTCTGCTGCCCAAGGAAGAAGACTCCTGACCTCCAAAGATGTACAGTGCTCCAGTGGAGGGCAGGAAAGCACCAGCAGCAGCTGTCCGGGGCCGGAAGCGGGGATCCCAGGCGCTCACATTGTACCACTTGCCAGCTCCTTGGTTCTCGCTCAGGGCTAAGTCACACGCCCGGCCCACAAATCCAGGCTCACACTGGCAGTGCCCTGACTCCTGCAGGGAGAAGCGGAGAGCAACAAAACACATCCCATCAGGCTGACGGAACCGACGCGACCATGCGATCTCTGGCAGCCCGGTTTGCAACCCACTGAGATGGAAATGCGGCCTTTTGTATCCCGAAAGCCAACGGGCTTTTTGACACTGCACAACCAGCTGGTGTTTGGGCAGCAGGCCTTACCTGGCTGCAGGAACCATGGTTCTGACAGTAGGTGGCACAGGTGGGCACGGAGCAGTCGTCCCCACCCCAATCCTGGAAGCAGGCACAGCGCCCGTCGTTGCCACAGATGCCGTGTCCCGAGCAGCCCATTGGGCAGAGCGAGATGGTGTAAGTGGCATTGAAGCCCAGCAGGTTGTAGTTGGCATCGCTGAACAGGTGCAACAGCATCTGCAAAGTGTGGGGGAAGAAGCGATGAGCACTCCCAGGATGCCGGAGTCCAGGTGCCAGGGTGGTGCTTCCGGCATCTGCTAGGGGACCAGGCCGAATGCTGCCCAAGGCTGGGTCCTGTTCCACAAAGCATTTATACAAAGTGATGCTTGAGGAAGCAACCGTTTAGCATCGATATATACTGACCCCAGGGCCAAGCACAATTAGAGACACAAATTATGACAATCTGCTGCGCATTTACCTTGGAGTAAGCCCTGTCCAATCATATAATTCATTCTTTCCCAGTTTACTCCAGAGTTAATAAACTTGTCTGCTATTTCACAACAGAAAGTAGGATTGTGTTTAAGTCTGGCATAAACACAGCTCCTCTCTAACACTGGCTTAAGATCTCAGCCAGACCACTGCCAAGAAGTTGTCATGCCAAGATGCAAGAGCTGAACAACTCCTTCTGGATCAAGCTTGGGGACACTGAATTCAGCCAGAATGCTTTTCTCCTAGCTTAGATGTTGAGGAGTTTCCATCAGGAAATTTCAATTGAGGAAGAAGGCATGCTTTGCATAAAGCGTATTCAGTCTGGAGGGGTAGGATGGCGTCCCCATCACAGAGAAATGCCCCATAATAGAAACTCTGCTTCCCTCTGCCTCCTACCACCTCTGGCCTGGGATCAGAGCCCAAATGTGGGGGACGAGTCCCTTTCTCTTCTGACCGCCCCATTTTCCTCTCTCTCTCTCTGACACTCCTTTATGACACCCTCGTCTCTCCCGCTCTCACTCCCCCACCATCACACATACCCCTCCAGATGGCAGCCAGGAAAGATTAACAGTGCTAGCCCAGAGTGTGAAACCGATGGCTCGCAGAGGGATTTTAAAATTCAGTGAGGGCTGTATGCAGCCCTAACTGGCTGGCTGCTTGCCTGCCCCTGCTTGAAGGGAGCAGGGTGCATTGCACATCTAGGTCTCCAGCTCTGTGGGAGCAGTTCCCTGCCCCACGGGTCAGTACCTTGCCCGAGGTTGCTTCAATGGTGGGGGGCAGCGTGCTGCCACTGAGGCTGGCCAGCAAAGGGCTGCTGGGGGAATCGCCATCGTAAACGAAGAGGTAGTCATAGGTGCATTCTGTATCCATGAACATGAAGGTCAGGAGGATGCGGTAGCTGCTGCTGGGGGCTGAGAGGGTACAAAAGGGGAGGTGGGTTAGAGGACCAGTCCCAGGACCAATGGGGCAGTTGTTTACTGGTCCCCAAGAGTCCAAAATCCTATAAAGATGCTTCTGATAAGAGGCACAGAACCTCTTTCCATTAAAAGAAAAAAATGCACAGCTATCCCAGAATGCCCGCTTACACGACCATTTGTGTTGTTTTGCAATTATATTGCGGCCGATACTTGACAAGGTTTCTCAAGTTTATAATTGATTGACTGACTGAGGAAAGAGGCAATAAATTAAGAAATAAAGCCAAGGTACATCGAGGTTCCCTAACCTGGTATGTGGAGCTACAGCTCCCATAATTCCCAGCCGGCATGGCATGAACAACACACAAAGAGAACCCATGATTGGTTATTGAGTTGTAAACTATAGATTATTTATGGGTTACAAAGCACAGCTAGGTCGAGGCAATAATCTACATTTCAACAATTGCTGGCGGTTCAGTGACAAGCCACACTCAACTTCTGAGGGCAGGTTCTTATGTTCTGTTAGCCCTGGCTCCTGACTGGGTTCACACGAACATAGAGTAAATACGCCATGGCTTGGCAAGATTCGCCCATGATGGCTGGCTCGCCCTGCTGTGAGTGACAGCTACATTCTGCAGGGAATTTGCACCATTATTCTTGCCATGCAGAACCCATGGGCTGATTTAGGATTCTGGAGAGCTTCTTTACTGTAGCAACATACACTTTCTCATATGATATGGCTGGCAAGACCAAATATGTGGATCCTTCGGGCATGTGTGAAGGGAGACGAGGCAGGGAATCCTAGTCTCCCTCCATGATGGTGTGAACTAGCCGACTGTCTCTGCTATCGGAGGGTTAAAGCAGCCAGCATAAGCTAAGGGCTTCTGAGGGGACACAGAGAAAGAAACATTATTCGGAGCCCAGCAAGTGGGCAGGCCTGTGCTTTTGAGGGTGCCATGACTTGGGAAAACGTCAACCGCCATCGCCAGCCCCCAAAAGAAAGAGAATGCCCCTCGTCGTATTCTCACCTTCCACGAGCCACTCGCAGTCTCCATTGACAGAATAGTTGCCTGGCCCATCCGTCACATAGCCAGATACACTGCGAAGCACCTGGCGGTGCCCCTTACAGTCACCGCCATGGGACTGCTGGATACAGCAGAGGGCAAGGAGCAGTGCAGTCAGCAGCCCTGGGCAGCGGGCCTGTGAGGGATCCATGATCGTTTTCGGATCTCCCCTCCAGGCAGGAGAGGCTTAGTCAGCACAGTCCAAAAGGTGGAGGAAATGCCATAGCTGAGCCTAAAAGAACCAGGTGAGAACTTTAGAACTTGGAGGTGTAGTAAACTGCCTGGAGGGGCCATAAGGAAAGTATTCGAGACGGTACATCCTTACTAAGCACATGCACACTTTGATATACATCTCATTCCCATATATTGATCTCAGGCATAGTTTGCTCCAGGACTTATTATAAAATAGGAAGTACAAATGTGTGTCCTTGGTTTCTTTTTCTCAAGATGCCTCCCAGCTACCTCCACCCAGTCAGACACACACTTCCACACTTGCTTGCGCTCTGAAAATGGGGCAAGGGGCCACCAGGCAGGCCGCTGAAGCCAAAGTGGCATGGGGATTAAGGGTGCTCGAATGGGGACTGGGGGATATGGATTCTGGCCCCTAGTCGCCAGCCCTCCCTAGAACTGATGCTATTCTGGGCATCAAAACAAGCCTGAAGAGGAAGCGCAGTTCCACTGCAAAGAGGAAAAGCATCGCTGCTTTGGAATCAACGGCCCTTTAGAAGGAAACTTTAAAGTGGACGCGGGGAAACAGATCCCTATTAGAACCGGGTGTGGATGTGGGGTGGCACCCCACAGATGCCCAATTAAACTGCAGCACGGCATCTTCATGCATGCAAATGCCACTGTGCAAGGAACCTGCAGATGGAAAGGCCAGAGCTGAGGGGGAGCTGAGTGCGAGTGCCGGGCGGGGGTACCTATATGGAGAAACCCCATAAATTGCTGACTTCCAAGCCGGAGGAAAGCGGGGGGAGGGGGGAGGGGCACCTCCACACGGGACGCTCCGGGCGCGGCTGTCAAAGGTGGGGGACCCGCGGGGAAACACGAGATCCCCTGCCGAGGCTGGAGGGGAGACCCCGCCGCCGCCCCAGTAACCCACCTCCGCGACTGCCGGCGGCTCCTCGGCCCATACGGAGGCACAGCCCAGGACGGCGGAGGGCAAAGAGACGAGAGGGACGGAAAGGCCGCGGGAGGAATGGCGCATAGAGAGCGGAGAACAGAGCGGGCCGAGGACGGGGAGATCCGCTTTTCCTTCGATTCCGCGGGAAGGAAATCGGCGAGACACACCATAGAGGCTAGTGGGAATTGGAGGCTAGAGCGACGCTCTAGAGGCGGGAAGGTTGTCCTGGCAACGGGAGCGACCATATGTGCATTTATATGGGTTTCTGTTTAGAGGAAAGAAAAGCTTTCCCCGCCTCACAAGGGAGCATGAAGCTAATGATCAAATAAATATATAAATAAATAAGGATGCTCCAACTGTCACCATTTACTAGGAACAACGCCTGTTTTCTTTTCCTAATTTGCCGCCCATATTTGCTTTTTAGAACGCTTGCCGGTGATGCTACAACTGTGACTTGTCAGGTTCAGCCACCTTCCCTGATGAGTCGAGTGTGCATGCAAATGAAGGTGCCATGTAGCAGCTTGGCCTGTCATTTCATACATTGCATTACTGAAATATATTTTAAAATATTAATGCCATCTTGTAAGATAATCATGTTTTTCTACTATTTCTTTAACTGTACACCACCTTGGCTTTTAAATGACGGGAGGAGCGACTATTGCAGTGTCAAGGAATATGAACTGAGTAGCTTGCTTTGCATTGGTGCTCTCCTTTATGAAAATAAAGGCAATAGAAGCAGGCCGTTACTTCCATGAAATACGGGATGGGATGAAGCACTAATGTTCCTTTCTACACTGGACTTCACACATGCAACTTTTAATGTCTTGTGTGTATTTGTTTGTCTGGATCCTCTGAAAGCAGTATCGTCCCCACCTTGCAAGCAGCAGGAAGCTGAGAAGGTGGCAAGAGTTCCCTTCATCTGAGACTGGCAGATTGTGTATTAGTGGGGTGGGGGGGAGTTTGGATAGGTACATCAAAAGTCTGAATGGCTGGGCACCCCCATTGGCAGCAATCCCCTTGGAGTGACTCCTTCCCTACTGCAGTCACCTTGGGACTCCCCGTCTCCCTTCAGCCCAGGTGAGAGCAGCTCTGCCCAAGTCAACTTGCCAAGGGAAGTAAACAAGGGAATCCCTCTTCACCCCATGGGTGCTTGTCTCGCGCAGCATCCACATTAGTCACAGTTCAATAACGAACCACACTCAACCCATTACGTTTGAACCCAGTCTGTATGTGTTAGCTGAAGGCGCCTGGCGTCATCAAGATGCATGAAACTTACCACTCATGTACAGGTGAGTGTCAACTGACCCTCCACCCCCATTTTTGCAGGCCTAAACAAAAAACCAAAAGAAATTCACAGAAAGAACTTCTGGCAAGGTCCCATATCTAGCTGCTCAGATGTATTTTCCTTGTGGAGTGCTTAAGGTTTACTTGTGAATACTGCACAGGTATTCCTTGTGGAGTCCTTGCCTAACCTAGGAAGCTAAGCGGGGTTGGGCCAGGTTGAAATGTGGATGGGTGACTTAATGTTGTGAACCAACCAGAGAGCTTTGGCTATGGGCGGTATAGAGATGATGATGATAAATTTTGCTCATAGTGAAGTGATTGTGTGATTGTTTCATCATGGGATTTATAGAATGGCTGAGGCATTTTCTTAAGGTTACTGCAGTATGTGAAGGAAAAATGGCAAAATCAGCACGCGTACAGCAGCCCCCACAAACGGATCATTATTGGAGAGCTTTTCCAGGCAGAATTTTGAGGGAACCATGAGAAGAAAAGTGGATGGTATCTCCCCCACCCCACCCCATCTCCACTGGTTATGGATGCTGACTAAGCAGTGTAGGTTCTCACATTTAGCCACAACTTGGTGTGTAGAAATCAATGGGCATTCACAACCGAGAGACCAGAAGCGCTGCTGATAAAGTCGTGGTTAATGGCACAGCTGCAAGAGTTGGTTGCCATATTGGCAACCCTGCAGCAATGCAAGAAGCAGTCCTATTGTGAATTAATCAGGGCACATCTAGACTACCAATTTCAACCTATTTTTAAGGCAATGTGACCATAGTGATGCTGAGATCTGGAGCGTTTCCCTAGTCCTTTCTCAGAGGTTAATTTGTCTCTTCAAAACCAGGTGTGGAATTCACAGTCACGCACAAGCACCCGGGGGGGGGGGGGCAAGTGACAGACCCACCTGGGCCATCCTCTTTTGTGATTAACAGCCTCTTTAAGTGGATCCATGAGGACAATTACAGTCACCACGTGGAAATAGCTCTCCCCCTTTTCACATCGGCCTGATTCCCCCAAAACAGTCACATGCTTTCCCAATGAGATAGAAACACAAGAATTCTCTTTATTTTGGCAAAAAACCCACTCTGGTGGATTTTAGAAATTCACCGTCATCAGGGGGCAGAACCCACGGCATCATCCCCGGGAGGGCAACACCATCACCCCCAGGCGGTCAGGGCAAAGGGATGGAGGAGAGTCCTTTTGCCATTGTAGGCGAGCGGGCAAGGGAAGGGCAGCGTAAGACGGAAGGGACACAAAAAGGGCGCGGACGCATGATTACAAGGCCCATCTGGGCCGGCCTGTCTGTAGCCTCTCCTGCCTGCATCCAACGGGAAAATCGGTTGATCAAACAGGTGGTTGGGAAAGACTTGCTCAGTCTCCAGGAAAAGGCCTGTCACTCTAAATGAACTACAGCTAGGAGAGAATCACTGCCCATGTTCACCTGGTTTCTGGCTTCTCCCAAGGGAAAACTTCCCAGAGGTGGACAGCTGAAGTCCCTCTCACGGGGGAGCACAGCAAATGTATCATACCGTGAGGACTCGCTCCTTCTGTCCTACTAAGTGGGCAAGCGACGGGAAGAGGAATCGCAGTCCATACGCCTGGCTTCTCTGTACTCTCACTAAAAGAGCCGTTCGGCGGGATTCAGGGAGATACGGGATAGATCAACCCTCTGATATGATTGGGCACCCAAGGAAAGAAAAGGTGGCAGAGGGAACTAGGAAGAAGGGGGCAGAAGAGAAACCAGGGAGGGATGGGAGGCAGGACGCCCCAGAAAATGTGGAATGAGGAGGCAGGGAAGCCACAAAGGACCGGGAGAGTGAAGAGGACCCTACACAGGCCGAGCACCGGTGGTGTGCATGCTAAAATACTCGGTGTAGCCATTGTGTTGGTGAAGCTGGGGTGCATGGAGCTGATAGGGCGGTGGCTGGCTCTCACTTCCCAGGGCGGGTTTTAACAGCACAGGGGCACCGCTCAGCTCTGAGGTGGTGACCACGCAGCTGGGGGTCAGGTTACGATCGGCAGACGAGGTTTCCTCCAGCTGTTTCCGGGGCTGGATGGGGAAAAGCAGAAGAACAGCTGAGTGAGCATTGGCAGGGGTGAAAAAACGCCCCCCGGAAAACCACCACTGCTTCCCTCCACAAACCAGATTGCAATTGTACTGAGGGAACAAAGCAGTTCTTTGGGCTTATAAGGCTTAGTACAGGCCTGCCTAGTTCATATAATAAATGAATAAATAAATAATCCAGATGGGCTCTAGCCCCTTTCTCATTCCAGTTGACTTGAGAAAGATTCATGGTGCTGTCAACTGCTTTATCTGGGGCCAATATTTTAATGTGATTCATATGTGCTGCTGATATTTTTATCTGATTTGTTTGATTTATGTGTTGCTGTTGCTTTAATATTTTAATATTACTTTGGTATAATCTTATCATGTGATTTTACTGACTACTATAAACTACCTTGGAAGGATCACTTATCCTGAATACATTAAAATAAGTATGCACATACATGCGTAAATACATGCATTTACATACACGTCAGTACATACATTCATTAAAATGTATGTACCAGACTAGAAACAATGTGTTCTTATAGAATCATAGAATAGCCGAATTGGAAGGGATCAGAAGGCCATTGGGTCCAACCCACAGCCATTGCAGGACACTAAGTCCCTAACTTTATTTATTCATTTCTTTATTTAGTTTGTTTAGACAACAATTGTGACCCTCTAGTTTCATTTCTGTGTCTAAAGACCGCTTTTGGCAAGTTGCCGGCGCTGTTTTACAGCAGGGGAAATGTAGTATTTTCTGGAAAAGGCAAGAAAGAAATGCTTTTTCCCCTTCACTTTTGCACCTGCATTGTTCCGCTATCCCACAGTGCCACCTAGAGGTTATGCGCAGCAAAGCAGCAAAGGAGATGCTTTCCAGGCACTGCTCTGATTTCAAGTCTCCAACAAGACCAAGAGTCGATACAGCAGACTGATGGCCTTGTGCAGGAAAACTCTGAGGCTACAGTAATAAAACATGGTTTCCCAAGCACCTGGCAAGCCATGATGCGCAGCTGCTTGACTGCGATGCAGCTTGGTAATTCGTTATTCTCACCCCCGGCTCCAGCCGACTCCGCTCAGGACATGCCTACAATGCGCATGTCCAGCTTATGACGACCTGCACCTGGCGAGCCACCATGGCTCTGCAAACCCACCTAGCCCAAGCACATCCATCCCAGGCCAAGCCAGGTGCAGCCCCCCCCCCCCCGGGATGTCAGAGACCCCGTGGAGAAACCTATCCGTAACAGTGGCAGAACACAAACTCAGGACGCAGAGTGGGAGGGGGGACCCCAAGGACTCCCCGGTTCTCACGTTGCTGGTGCTGCTCCCTGTGCTCTGCGGGATGGAGAAGAGTTCGGTGAAGTTCGGCACCGAGTCGCTGATGAAAGTGACATTGCCGTACACGTGGTGGGGGAACTTGGACCCCGCCACCACCTCTTCCACAATCCCGATCTGTGACGTCCGCACGTGGTAAGGGAAGTTCTTGTTGGCTGCCGAGGGCCGCGTCATAATCTGAAGAAGAAGCCAGCTGGGTGAGCAGGTGGAAGCTCGGCTGTGCACGCTTCCTCCGGAGGAGACCGCCCCTTCTTCTTTCACCTCCTGTGCCCAGTCAGGGTGTGTGCAAGCAATCTGGGGCACAATCCTCTGGAGGCTGAGACAGAAGAAAGCTCCCCAGTTCCCAGCATTCCTCAGCCACCGAGTCTAAGCTCGCATAGGATTGCATTTTCCCATGAAGATCACTGCCTCTGCTATTCTTTTTTAGACAAACAAGACACTCGTAAAGGCATGCTGGAACTCAGAAATTACCATTGGTAAAGGACTCTAGAGCTCAGGGGAAGAAGCTTTTGTACTCATCAGGAATATTTACCCATAGCTCAGTTGCAATGTATGGCTGTGAAAGCTGAACCATAAGGAAGGCTGAACGCCGAAGGATTGAGGCCTTCGAATTGTGGTGCTGGCGGAGACTCCTGCGAGTCCCTTGGACCATAAGGTGATCAGACCAGTCAGTTCTAGAGGAGATCAACCCCGACTGCTCTTTAGAAGGCCAGATCCTGAAGATGAAGCTCAAATACTTTGGCCACCTAACGAGAAGGAAGGACTCCCTGGAGAAGACCCTGATGCTGGGAAAGATTGACAGCAAAAGAAGAAGGGGACGGCAGAAGATGAGGTGGCTGGATGGAGTCACTGGGGCAGTCAGTGTGGGCTTGGGTGGGGGATGGTGGAGGACAGGAAGGCCTGGAGGAATGTCGTCCATGGGGTCGCGATGGGACAGACACAACTTCGCGACTAACAACAACCACTCTCTCCAACTTCAAATTAGGACTTCCCTCCACTAAATAGAAGTCAATTACAAAAACTGGCCAATGGAAAGGAAGCCTTCAAGGGCAGATCATCAAACAGAGGCATTCTCTCAAATGATCAAGATGCCATCTTGGTTGCATGGGGAACCCATGGTCTTCTGGATGTGGTTGAACCCTAGCTCCCATCAATTCCAGATATGACTAATGATCAGGGATAATGGAACCTGTAATCCAACAATACCTGGAAGGCCACAGAGTCTGCACTCAAAATGCCAATCTAGAGGCCATGGAGAGGTTCAACACTAAATAAATGTTTAGCCCCCAGCTTAGTAAATGGTATATAAAAGGTTTTTTCCTTTTTTAAAAAAGAAATAGTAAACCAGTTTTTGGTAGGGCCTTTCATCAGTAGACAGAGTTAAACTGCACCTTATACAGAAGGGGCTCTTAACTCTTTAAAATCAGTGCTGGGATGAAGCCCATAGGGGTCTCCAGATCCAATCTTTCCTTGAAGGCCTTTTTGCAATCAAGATGGCCTCCCATAAGTACTTTCCCAGCCATGGGGCAAAAACGTGGAAACCTTGGATTTTCCCTCTGCAGTAAGATTCTGAGGAGTAGCCCTGACGACCAAAATCGCTCTCAGGAGGCAGGTCCAGGGTGCCTCTCCCAGGACTGCAGCTGTAATAAGATTTGCAGGGTGTCCCCCCTCCCCCCGCTTTTTAAAGACAAGGCTCCCATGCAGTGGGAGCTAGGTGTACACCAAGGTCATGGGGAACTGCTGGCAGTCTCACCAGAAAGACTGCATGGGCATAAAGGTGAATGCCCAGCTGGATGCCATTGACTATTTTCTCTCGGGCCCACTTGGGGATGCCGAAGTTCGCGATCAGCGCAGTCACCGGGACAGCGAAGAACCTGCAAGAGAGCAAGAGGCTGTCGAGTGCTTGGAAATGGGCCACACTGTCCATTATTGGGTGGGGGTAGATGCCCCTCCCCCTGCCCCCTTGCCCTAATCTGCTTCGTGAAGAATTCTGCCCCCACCCCCATAGTTTCTAGCATCTCTTTCTTGCCCCTTGGAGATGCAGCCTGCATCATGCTGGACCCTGAATCGTCAGGCACGGTCCCTTGTTCTCCTTCCTCGCTTCTCCTTCGATTTATCCAGCATGGCAGCCCTTCTGCCAGTCTAGTGGCAAACTTTGATCTAGCCTCCTAGGAGCGAAAGGAGAAGAAGCCTTTGGGGCATGAAGCCACGTCCTTCTAACCTTTGCCTAAGGCACCCAAAGCCAGTTTTCCTGCCCCTTCCTCCCTCTGAAATTCACTCACCAGAGGGTGTAAGCGGCAAAGAAGGGCACGTAGAAAGGTTGCTTCTCTGGGAACTGTTTGAGCGTGATCAGGATGGCATAGCAGAACCAGACGTAAGCCACGAACTGCAGGGCGATCAGCCCGTATCCAGCTGGTGATTCGTACGTGTACAGCACCTGTGCCTGATCGAAAAACTGAGCCCCAGAGGGAAGGAAGTGGGTGAGGGATGTGGAAGGAGGCCGGAGGGCTGCAGCCGACACCAGATGTAGCGCCGGCCTTTTGGGACTGGGGAGCTGAGCCAAAGTGCCCTTTGAGTGTGGGGGGTACAGTTCTCCGCCTTTGCCTTTACAAGAAGTCACCACATTCTATCAAATCCGTTGCCCATGTAGCCCAGTGTGTCTGCTCTGACTGGCTGCAGCTTTCCGGTCTACCCAGTCCTTTCCCGGCAAATGGCAGAGACTGAACTGGGACCATTCTGGACCCTAAGGATGTGCTTTGCTGGGGAGCGTGGCTCCTTCTCCATTCCCGTCCCCGAAAGAGAAGGCTCAGCTTTCCTTTTTGATAGCTGAGCTATGATGGTTCTGTAGGGGAGGAAGATCCTGAGCACATGGTCAGAAATAGATTTGGGAAAGCAGGAGCAGGACTTGAGGGAATTTAAATTTCTCAAGCTCATTGGGCAAGCGATTTAGAAACAAATGAGCTTCCGTTAGCCCTCCCTGGTGTGATGAGCAGGGTGGGAAGCAAGCATCCTTGACCCCACAGCCGATGTAGCCAAAGAGCCGGCTTCAGCCCTCTTATGTGGAATCTGGTGGGAGGATGGATGATTCAGGTTATGCAGCGGAAGGTCTCAAAGCAGCAGGGCTGGGCAGGAGACTCACCTCGGCCTCATAGATGAAGAGCACAACGTGTGTGATGGTGTACAGCGTCATGTACACGGAAAGCTTGATAGAGCCAGTGTGGCTGATCCGGCCCCTGAAAAACAGGGAGCCCATGAGCTCGGGTTGGAGGGAAAGGAAGCACAAAGCTCTCAGGAAGTTCCCTCTCCGCATGGCGGCTGCAGCCTCCACACTTCTTCCCCTTCCACTGCAGCCCCTCTGAACGGCCCGTCCCCAGTGAATTCTGAGTGGTCGTCCCAGAAGATCTGGGGAGCAGCCGGTGGGGCAGCGAGCTTAGTCTGAGCACTTGATCTTCCAGATCCTCCTTCCTTTTTAATTCTCTTTTCAAAGCCACAGCACAAGAAAAAGTTTGCATCTGCACGTGCTGGTTTGGATATGGCCAAAGTCAGCGGTGTGTCTTTTGTCTCCTGATTGTAAAAAGGGATTTATGGACAGGAGGGAGTTTGATTTCAGGGGGGAAAATACCCAGGCAGAAAGGTTAAAAGTTGGAGACAGCAGGAGGTGAAGTACAGGTGAGCAAAAAGCCAGCTAATGGAGGGGAGGGTCAGATGCAAGAGACAGAGAGTTGGGGCTCCAGATGAAAGAATCGGGGCTCCAGCCCTGGGTGGTCTTCTTCGCACACTGCCTTTGTGCTTGGGACCCCCCCCCCCAGGCCCCCCCACTGCACCATGGCCCCTGCCCCGAGATGCTTGGCTGCCAGGCAAGGGAAGGGTGGCATGACATGAAAGAGGAGGGACGGAGCAGTGAGAAGAACGCCCCTGCAGGGGGCTTTGTCCGGGGCCCTCCAACACCAGGCGCTGGCCATGCCTTTCAGCATCCTCCAGAAGCCTTGCCACTTTCCTTGCAATGCAGCGGATTCGCCTGCAGGGGGAAGGGGCAGCCTTGCGACGGAGAGATAAATACTGCACGGTCTGCAGACCGGCGATTTGGAGGCTGCTTTCACTCCACAGATCATACACTGTTCAGCTTTTAAAGCCTTTCTGTTAGCAGTTTCCCCTAGAGATAAGTAAGGAGGGGAAACTTACAGAAAAGGCCTCTTCTCCTGCCTTCAGTCTCCATTTCCGCACCTGCTGCTTTGTCTTCATGCCGCTAAAGGGTGTCCCTGCAGCCCCCTCTCTTCGGAAGCCCCACATTCCCAACATCCCCAGCACTACAAAGCAGCTGTTTCCAGATGAGGACTTCATGTGCAATCGCCCTGCCTTTTCCCCAGATATTCATGGAGCTGGTGGGTCCAGATAAAAACTCTTCAACATGTGACCCTTCTCACATTTCCATGCCACTTCTGCAGTTTTTCTTAGAAGAGTTTTTTCTTTGATTTTGAGTTTGATTTCTTAAGCAATCAAAGACAAGATGCAGTAGCTGCACAGCTTCCTGACTGGCCATACTAAGAGGCCCAGGAAATCAAGTCCTTGTACATCTTAAAGGAGTCTAATTATACATTACATACAAACGAGCCCGAATGCCATTAGAAAACAGCATTTTGGAATTCAGCAGAGTGGGAGAAGAGCTTCCCCACTTCCTCCTTTTGTCTTTTATTTTTTTTTGTTCCAAATTGTCCATCAGCCTTCCAGGGCAGGACTGACAAAAACCTAAGCCACACGTGGCAGAATAAGCCGTACCATCTAAGTTGAGCTGGAACGCTCATCACATTCAGAGGTGAGACACCCAAGCCGCTAAGGTCCAGAGTCCGAAATTAGCTAAACGAAGAGTGCCTAAGTTGGAAGAACACTTTTGCCCAAGTAAAGACACCTCTAGTCCACCACACCGACCCAAGCCATTTGGGGTGCCTTGGGCCAAAGAACTGGTAGGCAGAGAAAGAGTGCAGCCTTTCCTTCCTCCTTAACCCCAAATCTCCCTCCGTCTTCAGCATCCTCGCCCAGACATCTCATGCAGGAAGAGCCCTCGGCACACAGAAATAGGCATCCTCCTTCAGCCACACGGGTACCTTGTGACTGTGAATCCTTTTCCCAGCAGGATGAGCATCAAGAGGAAGATCAGGAAGCTGATGGAGAAGAGGAGCTTGGCTGGAGGGTCGATGGAGGGGGAGAGAAGGAGAAGATCAGTCCGGGGCATTAGAAAGGTCGTTCTGGGCTAAGGGATTCAGAAGGGTCCGAGCATTACAGGCACTTGCCCTAGATTAGGTGATGGCAGTGAAGTGTGCAGAGGTTTCCAGATGTTTCCTAGACTCCCCTGAAGGGCCAACAATTTAGTTTGGGAGATTTGTGATTCTTTTTGACTCAGCAGCATCTGGTGGAGCTCAGGCAGTGGCCAGGAGTGCCTTTTGTCAGCTTAAGCTGGTGTCCCAGCAGCCGCCCTATCTCAAAAGGACAGACCTGACTGCAATTATCTATGCTCTAGTGACATTCAGGTTGGATTATTGCAAGCATCTCTATTTGGGGCTACCTTTAAACATGGCTCAGAAGCTGTAATTGGTACAGAAGAGGGTCACTTGAGTGCCGGGCGATGCCGGGCAGCCGGCCTGTGCAACACCTGTATCATACTGGTTGGCAGAGCAGTTTAAAGGGCTGGTATCAGCCAGTTTGACTGCATCCCGAGATGTACATCAAAGGCCCTGCTGCTGTCGAAGCAATTGTATAGAAACAAGGACAGGGCCTTCTCGTAGAAGTGGCCTCCCTCTTGTACAGTCCTGTTCCAGTTCATATCCTCCCAAAGTACAGGTGTTTGGCTGAGCCATAAAGATTTACCTGTTTGTGTTGGCTTATACTTGAGTTAGGACTTTATTGGGTGTCATGGTGTAGCTGCTGCTACTTGGCTTCAATTATTAATTTCATTTTTTAGTTTTGGTTGTGTCATTGCTTAATTGGAACTTGCCTTTTTAAAAATTTGCTGAATGTGGCCTTAAGATGTTTTTCCCCTAAAAAGCAGCACAAGCCTTTAATTAATTAATTAGTGTCAAGTTAACGCTACAGAATTTCAGGCAGGCTTACCATGACTTGCCCATGGGAGGCCTGTCATGAGTGGAACTGACTGGAGCTGGGGGTCAGACTAGATGGCCCGGGAGACCCCTTCTGACTCGCTCTGTTTCTATGTTTCTATTTTCTAGCTGCACCTGGAAATGCTGAGGGCTGTATAATATGGGATTTCCTGCATTTTGGAGAGTAAGGAATAGATCTATTAGGTGGAGGAGGACATGTTAAAGTAACAATACCAACACTCCTTGATTTCTTCTGAAGGACCGTAGGAATACAATCAATAAGCGCCAGTCAAGATGTGAACTGGGCTGTATGTGGGAACATTCACTGCATGCATTCCTTCATTCTGCGGTACCTACCCAAGATCTTGAGACTGCCTTTCCCAATACCATCACTTGCATACTGGCCCCAATATATGCAGAAGAACATCAGACTGAGAACTGAGGAGAGAAGAAATTATAAGTGAAAAGTGTGTAACTGAGCTAGAAAAAGGACAGGGTGACTGTTTGTCACACTGCTCTCTCCTGCTGGAATTTGTTCACCAACTATAAAAAGGTTAAAGTAAAGGTTTCCCCTTGACATTAAGTCCAGTCATGCCTGACTCTAGGGGGCGCTGCTCATCTCCGTTTCCCGGCCGAGGGAGCCGGCGTTTGTCCGCAGACAGTCTCCGTGGACACGTGGCCAGCATGACTAAACACCGAGGTGCACGGGACGCTGCTACCTGTCCACTGAGTGGTTCCTTTTTCTCTACCTGCATTTGCAGGCTTTCGAACTGCAAGGTTGGCTATTTGAGCATTCGAATTCCTATCTCTCTCAGGCCCCCCCTCTTGTCCCCCTCTGTCACCCACCCTCACCTGCCAAAGGAATTGACAATAATTGAAGCTTGAATCAAAGTGCTAAAATTCATCATCGTTCAGTGTTTACTAATATGAAAATGTGAGCACCTTCTAACAGCATTCTGCAACCTGAATTGGTTATTCAGTGTGGAATGCAAAATTTTGAAGAAGGCTTCCCATTTATTTATTTATTTATTTATTTAATTTAGGAGATTTATATGCCGCCCCATTCGCCGAAGCCTCAGGGTGGCTCACAACCATCATAAACTCAATAAATAATATAAATTAAATTAAATTTAGCCCTTCGATATGTGAAGGAAGCTTGAACACATGTGGGAAAAGCCTGGGAGCTCCCTCAACAAATTCACATGAGAGATAAAAAGGTCTTAATCGACATTTCTTCTCCCTCAACAGGTCCCTGAGAATTAGAGGAGGGGCAGGTCTTGAGGAGAAGTCTGTCAACAGCTACAGCTCCAAAGGATTCTTTGACGTCTGTATAGGTTTTCCATCAATTTACGGTGGTATTGTAGATATACCATCAGAAGACATGGGGCAGAGCCAGAGAACTCCCAATGGTCAGAAAAGATGCAGATCACTTTTTGCTTTCCCTCAAAAGTAGCAGCAGCACAATAAATGATGCAAAATAAGCAGATTTACAGAAACCCTGCTGATCCTTCCACTGAATACAAGCCCCCGCAATACATATTTCCTTGGTGCAGAGTAAGCAATACGACGGATGATTTCTGTGGTATTTTTCAGGTTCTTGAAAACTGACTGACTGTCCTTCCAGTCCAGGCTCACCCTCAACTCCAGCTGCTGTCATGAACATCTTATATGTCGTGTGGAGAAGTTGCCGTCCCTTCAACAGATCTGAGGGGGAACAAAAAGAAGTGAAGAGTAGGGAAAGATTGTCAGAAAGTGTAATCATTCCTGACTTTCTCCAGCACTGGCACACGACAAGGGCGCCTCCCTTCTTCACCTCCCAACAGCCTGGAGTTAGGGAAGTGACATTTCTCAGTGAACCCCAACTTATCTCCTCCCCTTGCAAGTTCAGGAAACACGAATCATCTTATTCTTGGCCCCAGAGCCTGCATTCCATGTTGGAGGGGTGGTGGCGGGAAGAAAAGTAGCTTTTATTTGGAGGGCAGGATAATTATTTATTGTGTTTTCAAACTACTTAATAACAAATCAATTCAACCAATTAATATCTCATTCAAGTCTCTTCAAATTGAAAAACCTTCAGCTGTCTGACACCAATGGAAGGTTTTTTTCTAGGCTTAATTGCCGCGTGGAGGAAGCGCTGGAAGGAGCAGCAACTCACGGGGTGGGGAAGGGTTTGGGCAGGGCTGCTTCAGTAGGTGGGGAAGGTAGGAATGGCCCTTCCCTCTCCAGCCGCATCCTCGATGGCATGGCAATTAGCCAAGGAGGACAAAAAAAAATGGTGCCCTCATCCCTGAGGCTCACTAGGGCTCCCAGGACCAGCTGCAGTGGTGCGTGCCTAGCAGTGCCCTGCCAAAGACCTGTGCCGCGTGGCCTGGACAGCATGCAAATTGAAAGCCCACAACAAAAAGTGGTCCTAGAGCGATATAAAGCAATGGAGCGGTCCTATGGCCCCTTAGAATGCATTCAGGGGGCCACAGGATTTTTCAGGTGCCCAGATCCAAGGGGAGAGATACAGCCCTGACACTGGACCGGGAGATCCGCACCTGGACCCCCATCCTCTCCCTCCTGCAGCCAGAATGTAAGAACCACACCAGCCGCATTTCCCTGGTCGGAAAACACCTTTGTAAAAGGGGGCATTCCAGAGGGGCAGGGACGGGAAGAGAATGGGGTCGTTGTTCCAACTCCCTGTCCGAAAGGCTGCAGTTAAATGACTGAAATCAGACACCTACCAGCTTTGCAGAGCTGGGGGAGCAGGCAGACAGAAATCCACCCGGCATAGGATGCCTGTAATTCTCCTAATTTGGAGACTTACAAGCATCCCGCTTGGGTTGTGCCCTAGTCAGATAAAACTACCAGCAGCGCAGAATAAAACCAGCAGGTGAGGATGAAGGTGCTAAAAATCTATTTAAAGATGCTGCAAGCTATTCTTAAAATGCCCAAGAGAACAAGAGGATCTTTGCTTTGTGCAGAAAAATGCACAATGTAGGCACCGGATGAGCTGCTGTGGGCAGGCATTCTACAGGTAGAGCATCACCATAGAAAAGGCCCTCCTGCGTGGCCATCTGCTGGGTTCATTTGGCAGGGGCACCTGGGGAAGGGTCTTGGGGTCTGGCTGTGTGAAGAAGGCCCAGACGGGAAATCATGGGTGCTTCCAGAAGGGGACTGCCAGAGGCACTAGTCGGAATTCTGCCCTTTCCCCCCTGCAGTTTTCTGCAGCAAGGAAAAAGGTAGTAAGCAGTGACAGAACACAGACTGGTCACTCTGCCCTGTAGCTCTTTAGAAGAAGGGCATTTGTGTTCCTGGGACTGGAAACACCAACGTGATCCCATTCAATGGGATGCAAGCAGGACTGATCAAGCTGCATCGAAACTGGGCTCGCTTTGTACTCACAGCCAAAGTAGCAAGAAATGACGAGGATCAGGATGAAGATAAGCAGGAAAGTGATGTCCGTCTCCAGAATGCCTGAGAAGAGAAGAGCAGGGACACACTGGAAGCACCCTCGCCCCGGGGGTGGAGTGTCCCCCTTTTCCCATTTGGAGGTTCAAGGATACTGCTGATGTTGGGGTGCTGGTGTTGCTGGGTGATTCTAACTACCTGCCCAATTATTCCTTCCATGCTACCCCTACAAGCAACCCAAGAAGTGAACGCATAGTTTGTGGCTGGGTGCTGAATTCGGGGTTGTTTACCATGGTTTGTTTTCTTGGCTGGGTTCACATTACATGACAACCCGTGATTCTACAACTACCCGCACTCAGCCCATACTCCATCCTGCTCCCATGTGCTTGGACTTCATCTCCTATCATCCCCAGCCAGAATGCTCAATGATTAAGAATAGGTCGCTCAAGGAATCTCCCCCAACCTTTGCTGGAGCCCTCTCATTTCTGCACCATTCACGGAGAACGCTGGGCAGTTGAAAAAGATTAAAATCCTTAAAATACAATATAATGTAAAATCATGTCCCTAGAAAAGTATAAATCCATTGTAAATGATCAATTTTTTTCTCTCACTCTCTCTTTCTGCCAGCTTGTTACCCCCTACCAGTTTCGAAACCTGACATTCACACAGGTCAACCTGGTGGGAGAGAACCAAGCCAAGCAGGAAAATACTTACCAAACTCATCCGCCGAGAAGTGACGTGTCCAGAATGATTTGCCATTGGTCAGAATCATCTCATATTCCAGCTCCAGCCCATCACCCTGGGGAGAAAGCAGCCAACCGTCGCTGGGGGTCTCAGGCAAGGGGCTCCAGGCAGAGCTGCAGGGGAAACGGGCGCACTCACCCCACACTTGCTGAGCGCCACGTACCACCAGCGCTCGCGGACCGAGCGGAAGCTCCTGCCACTGGCACAGCTCAAGTACCGCACCGAATTCTCAGTCACCAGCTAGGCAAGATAAAGCAGAAAGGAGATCAGCGACGTGGCAGCAAAGGAGAAATGAGAAGAGTGCTCCCGAATGACTTCTCTTTTCCAGTTCAAAGGGGCCATTCGGGTGTGACTTGCTGCATTCTGAAGCAAGTAGAAATTAAGCACAGGATCAGATCAAGAGACTGCCACACCCAGCCCATTGTGCCCTCCAAAAGTCCAGAAACTGAAATTATCCACCTGCACCACTGTTACATTTACCTCTGCCCCCAGGTAAGTGTGCTATCATCAGCAGGTCCTGCCTGCTACACAGCTGGAATGCTACAGGAGTAGAAAAGTTGACGATACATAGGGAAGAAATGCAGGCAGCCATTTGCACACCTATTTGTTCTGGATAATCCCCTAACTTAGTTCCATAAGTTCTTTAATAAGTTATGCATTCTTGTCTGATGATGTTGACCCACAAGCAGGGCCTTTGAGATAGGTCTCAACGTGAATAAATTAAATAGGAGTGCCTTTTCATTTACGGGGAAGAAAGCAAAAACATTGTCTGGAATGGAGTAAAAAGCTGGAGAGTGTTTGTAGCTCTCTTGGAACTGGTAGAGGGACCCACCTTGCATCCGGACCAAGCGTACTGAGTTGTCAGGTTAATCACCTGATTATTCTCTGGGCGGATCACCGACTCTTTCATCAAGCAGTCCTAGGAGGGGGGAAAAAAGAGAAATGGGATTAAAAACCCCAGCCCAAACTGGGCACAGCTTCTGTATTTTTAATGGTCGCACAGTTTTCATTCTCTGAACTAAAATTGGAGACACAGTTCATTTGTACACCCCAAAAGGTTTAGTGCATGAAAGAATAAATTTTTCCCACTGCAGTTGAGCTCGCCTTTTCTGTCCCTGCATGCATCACTGGTCTGTGAATATCCCTGGAATGAAGAGCGCCCAGAACAGAGGGCATGCAGGGATGTGGTGGAAGCGTCCTTTGAGATAATAAAAGCTCCAATCATACCCCATGCAAAAGCTGGGCAGAATTATCCTCTCTCAGTGGAAGCTGCACCAGTGCACCGAACATGCAGAGATTCAGGAGAAAGACTGTGTTGTGGGTGGGGTTTTGATCTCAAATGAGGCTTCAGTGGTTTAGATGATGTATTTCTTGCGACACAATGCAGCAGGATCCCACCACTTTATACAACGCTGTCTCTTGGGATGCACCACCAGGGCGACAGATTGGAAGGTCCCCACTGGGCAGAGGAAACATCTCAGCTCAGTTGGCCACGGACTCCAGGGGTCACTTCTGGGTTCAAGAGGGTCACAGGCAAAGTGCAGGCTTACGGGCAGCGGTCAGTGCAGGCCAACACCAGCAGCAAGAAGCTGTGGCACTGTATTGGAAATTGCAATCACAGCTGGACTTCACCAGCTGATGCTGTTCAAACTACTGGTCAATAGACTGCGACAGAGTGGGCTTCCCATACAGGTGTCCTTGGCAGACCCTACCAAGAAGATGGGGCTCCAGAAGTTAGTTTGTTTATTTATTTACTTTCCGATTTCTATCCTGCCTTTTTCCTACAAAGGGCTCAAGGCAGCTTACATCTCCTCCTCCATCTTATCCCCACAACAACAACAACCCTGTGAGGTAGGTTGGACTGAGAGTCTGTGACTGGCCCAAAGGCACCCCGTTGGCTCCATGGCTGAGCGGGGACTCGAACCCAGGTCGTCTGAGTCCCAGTCCCGTGCTCTTAACCACTGCACCACACTGGCTCTCAGTGTGCCAAGGATTCCAGGAGTTTATGCAGGCCTCGACCGGCTCTCTTCAAGAGGAAGGACTGCAGAAGACTCTCTGGCTCAGGACGGGATTTAGTGCAGACACCAGTAGTTTTTCCTGGTTCTCATTTGTTCTAACGCCCGGCCTTCATTGTTGGCTCCGGTTCCTGATTCCTGGCTCCGGTTCCTGATTCCTGGCTCTGACTCAACAGTTGCCTATGACTCAGCCAAATGCCTGGGCAGTCCACTTATGCTACACTGCCATGTCTCAGGATGCGGGTTGGGAATTACTGCTAAAAACTAGTCTCCCCTCTTATACCCAGTGCAACTTTGCTATTCCAGCCAAATTGTGCAAGAAGCTCCTGGCCATAAGGCATATGTGGCAATGGTTTGCTGACAGAAGGCAGGCACGGAGGAATCCATGGTTTCCCCTAGCAACTGCCCACAACCCCTTATGGCAGCTTTCTTCACACATTGAGAAACAGACCTTAAATTAACTTCTCTGGCAATAGGAACATTTGTGAGCAAACACTTTTCATCGCTGAGCCTTAACGAGCCGATGCTGATAGCTGATGCTCATATCTCCGGAACTGCCACATCTAATCTCACACCAGAAAGCACACAAATTACATCACACAAGAAAGGGATCCAGCTGCTCCCTGACAGGGACTATCATCATGGAAATTATGTCAATTATGTGCAGCTGAAATATGCAAATTTGTTGCAGCTTTGTAGCTCCTACGAATGTTTTCCCCGTGCATCCCTCTAAGCAGAAGAAACTGCAAAAGCTCAACCTGACACGCTCTGATTTAAACCGACTTGGAGAGAAATTTCAACATCTCAGCCCTTTCAAATTTAAAAGCAGTTTTGCTATTAGGAAATTGCTGACTGGAAAAAGCCACAGCCTGTAATAAGAAACCCATCATCATCACCATGATCACTATTAGGATTGCTATTACTATTATTCTATCAGTTTACCTGCATGCATGTAAGAATAAACATAAACACAGTGTTTTTTAGTGTTCATATTGCTATGCATAGATTCTCTCAGAAATCCATGCAACACCCCTGCATATTATCATCCCTATACTGCATAGGACTGTGGAAAGTCCTAAAGCTGAGATAGCAGCTCGCCCTATGCCTACATGCAGTATAATCCTAGCTAAGTCACACTCACTCAGCCACGGAGCTTACTCCCAAGTAAGTATGAAGAGGAATGAAGCTTTATGTTGAGATAGGATTTGAACTGGGCATTTCTGCACTACAGGTTCAATCTGGTTTAATGGTCATCATAGCCATCTGCCCCCCCCCCTCACAAATACCATTGGATCCTTTCAATTTCAAGCCACCTTGAGAGCCATTTTTAGGTAGAAAGGTGGGACATTATTCTGTTGTTGTTATTATTGTTGGTACATAGCCCTGGGATCCCTCGCGATGATGGGCAGCATATACATTTTTAAAATAAAAACTAGTATCAGTCTATCATGTAGGTTCCACTTCAGCTTACGTGTACAATGACAGTCATGTGAATGCCTAGCATAATATGAGGAATGCTCGGAACAGCAGGAACGGCTCCCCTGAAAGAAATTCAGCACTTCAAAGAGAGAGAGGGTCCATTTGAAACTGAACGGCCAATCGAACTGACCTTATTGCCCTTTTTGTAGACCGAGGGCCATTGCGAAGGATCGTCAAAGTAGAGGAGGATGTTCTGGCAGCATTTGGCCTTCGAAGAGAAAGGGGCCGTTAGAATAGCAGCGCTATTGACTCTGGGACTGCAAACATGTTTCATAGGAGATAAAAGGTTAGGATTCTGCAGGCTGTAAAACAGGTGGCTAGGGCAGGAATATAACTGAAAGTGGAATATGATTAAAATGTAGAACTATACCTCTGGGTAGCGGAACTGGAAGTCCAGACGCCCATAGTCAGAAAGGAAGCAGAATCTAGTCAAGAACACCCAGTCCTAGAAAATAGTGCAGTTCATTTCAGTTGTGATTTTGCTCTGGGTACGGAATCCACAGCACCAAAAATGCAGGGAGAACCGAGACAGGAGAAAGGAATGCTTTGCAGACCTGGGGTTATATCTGACTCCGAAAGGCAGCAAGAAGGGCATTGACGGGGCCTGGCACTTGACCTGCACTGCCCTTTTCTGAGTGCCTGAAACACCTAAGAAGAGTTGACTCCCCACCTCAGGGATGAAGGCACTCAGAGTAGCTGCAGAGACCATGTCCAGATTCAGCCGCAGGTGCATCTCCAGAGTGGACCAGCAGGGATCCGTGCCTGAAACCAGGGATGTTCCGGTGGACGATACAGGGCTGGAGGAGCCAATGGTCTCACTCAAGCTTCTCTGTTCCTTCTGAAAGTTCAGGGGGCACTAAGAACTCCCCCAATCCTGGAGACAGCACTGTGCAGGCAGTTCCTTGATACCGCAAGCCCAGCGCACTAGAATTTCAGCACATGAGGGGAAATTACCCCAGACAATTTGAACGTTGTATTTTAGGAAAGCTTAGCCAATGCCCAGCCCAGCCTGACAATTAAGCAAGTATCAGTGGCACAAGTTTGACTCCAACCAGTAACCATAAAATTTTACTACTTGGCTTTGGAAATAATAAATAACACCCCAAAAAATTCCCATAAAAAAAATCTATTCGGCAGTTAACGCCAGGCTCATTAATTTAATAAAGCGCAGTGCACCAACCAAAGAGCCCTGGAGGATGACCAGTTGTTTTGCAACTGCATCTTGTCAGGACTGTCCTGGTGGCTCCGACTCCCAGGTGAGGACAGGCGGTTGGCCAACCGTGGCCACTCTACTGGGTGAGGTGAAGGATACATTAAGCCTGAAAGTGATGGGTAGGATTACAGCACAACCTTTTAACGCATTAGGACTAGACTCTCACTTCAGGTTCACTGATGGGCTTCCTGGAGCCAGCTGAGCAAGTTTCCTAAGTATGTTCAAACCTTCAACTCCCAGCATTCCCTAGCTAACCGTTCTGGCTGGGGAAAGCTGGGAAATGTAAGAATTTTTGCTGTCCGAAGATGCACTGGCCTGCACCTTAGAACATCCACATTCTTATATGGATGTTCTACACAGAAACAGAGCGAGTCAGAAGGGATCTTCCAGGCCATCTAGTCTGACCCCCAGCTCCAGCCGGCTCCACTCATACATCACACATTTAAATTCATTTAAGTCATTTCCTGTAGCCAAGGAATTCTGGGAATTGCAGTGCTGTGAATGAGAATGGGGTCAGCTCAGGATTTCTAACAGAATCTTCAGTACTTTCACTGATTCCCTGAATTCTTTGGCAGAAGCCATAACAGTTAATCTGGTGTAAAACTGATACATGTTTGTAGGGTCAGAGTTACAGTTTGTCACTGAGTTTCACAACCTAGTTTTCCCTTTTTCTGTCATACAATAGCTCTATTCTGGCATTCAACATCACTGTCCACTAAATACATGAGGAGAGGCAGCTCCCTCCCTTCCCTCATGCATTTACTGGGCTGAGATGCAGAATAGCAATAGTTGCCCCCCCAGAAGCAGGATAAGTGTAGATTTCTAGATTCTATTCCTCTTCCCAATCTGGGAGCACACCTAAAAGCACCAGCCACCTGAGTCTCGGGAAGGTTGCAACTAAAATGCAAATTATGCCACTTTCCCCAGACTTCAATATGTGTTTACAGTCTTAGTAAGAAATAATAAAGTGTACAAGGCTGCAGTCTAATACCCACCTTACTGAACTCAGTGGGACTTACTTCTGAATACAAAAGCAGATGATTGCACCATAAAAGGTGATAACCCAGCCCAGTTTTATTCTGGCTTTATTAACATAGATATGATTTAGTGTATGTAACCATATTTTAACCACTGGATTCTGTTTTTCTTCTAGGAATTTCCACTGCATCACCAAATGGTCCATGGAGATAAAGAGACCCTGTCAATTCTCAGTCACTTGACACCTGAATAAGATATCAGTTCACCTGGCACAGTTTCCTGGGTCAATGCTTATCCCCACAGCAACGGGCCAACAGCCCAAACTACCCTGAGTGGAAAGTCAGACCAAGGTCCACAAAGGGAGTGAAATAAATGGGGCGAGGGAAGAACGAGGGAAGGCTTGACTGAAAGTCTCAGAGGAGTCTTGGAAAGGGTGGGAAGGAAAATGGGTGAAGGATAGCCGGGACGATGCTGATACATGCAGAGATATGTTTGATCTAGAAATATCTTTCTGTATTTGAGGAGTTCCGCATCTCCTTGTGAAATGGATATTTGAGGGAGGGAGGAAGCTTCTTTTCACCTCCCTCCTTCTCTTCTGTCCAACTCCCAGGCCTATCTCCTTCCCCTTAAAATCCCTTCGTGTTCCCATGGCAACAGCCTATGCTCAAGGTTTCCACGGAAACCGTACCCGAGGCTGAAGAAGGCAGGGGAAACAAGCAGAATCTGAGAATTGGGGCAAATGCAGCAGGAAGAATTTAAGGGGAAGACCTATCCATACTCTGCTTGACTAGGGTACCCACCCCCCAGAAAGCTTGGGGGATGTGGCTTAAAAAAATGAATTAGCAAGGCCTGCTGGCTGTCATGTGTCCTGCAGAAAGGCATCAGTTTAGAGCAGCAATAATAAGCCCTGTGGAAAAGTTGCAAGAATGTCACAGAAACAGACACCTTATTTCGGAGGGTCTGCATTCTCAGGGGCTGCCACTTATAATTCCCAAACCTCATTACTGTGGGACTGGGCTGCCAGGTCCCTTTTACTGGCCCAGCTATCTGTCTTTCCAATTGCTTGGCAGAAATTAATCCAAAAGGAGGTCTCTTTGCTTGAGGTGGAGATCAGGTTCTGGGGGGAACCTGGGGAATCCTCACGACAGGAAGTAGTTAAGCCCGAACCACAAGCAGTGTTTGGGAACACACACCCCTGTCACATCGGGAGTTGTCCATGTCTACGATTCTTCCACATGGCGCTTAGACTCCATCAGGGGCAGTAAAGCGTGGGAAGGTGATGACCTTTCAGACACTGTGGGTCTTCGGCTTCCATTAGCCCTAGTCAGCACTGCCAATCGTTGACGGGTAATGGGAACTGTAGTCCTACATTTGGAGGACCACATATTGCTTACCCCAATAGATGCTGGATTTTACAATCCCAGCAGCCCATGGGCAATTGCCCCCAAACCTGCCCCCCCACTGCCTACCCCATCACTCCTGATTTGTCCAAACCATGCAGAATCAGCCCTTTATCCTTTGGGGCAGGTAAATTCCAAGCGGTACCTAATCCTTCTCCTCAAATTGGGTGCATACACAAGACTGACAAATGCAAATCAGGATGCATCTATTAACATATGCTGACCACCCCTTTGTATGTGGAGCATCAGAGTACCAAAGATAGTAAATTTGGGATGGGGGAAATACAACCTTTTGAAGGATATTGTATTTATGGAGCAGCTGTGGCATTTTGTGATAGTGATTATGAATAAGAAGCTGCTTCTCTCTCTCTCTCTCCCACACACACACACACACACAGCATGCATGCTTTTACTTCAGATTAATGAACCTGGAATAAAAGCCACCCTGGCTCTCTGTTCTCCATGGCAATTGTAAGCCGAAATTCTCATTTTACTGTAGATATCCAGTGTTAGATTTGAACTGTCCTTTAACCAGCCTCGTGAATTCAGCAGGCAGCTTACCCACATTTAAACAGTTTGATTGCACCCCAAATCTCTCTTTTGTTCCTTTTGCGCCCCCCCCCCGAGCCCAATACTCCCCCAGTCACACCTAGCAGACACTATGCTTCCCATGTTAAACACCCTCACCCCACCCACCCTTCCTAAGGCCTGAAAACAGAAGCGTCTTGTCACACCTTCAGAGCAAAAGGTTTATGCAGAATAAGCTTTCCTGGGCTACATACAGTCCACATCATCCAGTGCACAAGCTGTCACCTATATACCCATGAGAATGAAGAAAAAAGAAAAAAATAGGCCAAATTGCAACCAAGTCCAAAAAGTGCAGTATGTGATCGTATTGTGTAAAGCTAACAGCAGCAGGAAGACTGCATTGCCATTTGTCAACACCAAAAAAGACCTTAATGTGTCTTGTGGTTTATTTAACCTGGGATAAAAGGCTAAGAATTTGGCTTCCTTGTACAATAATCTTGCAGACCATGCTCTGCCTCCATCCTCCCCCTTCCCAGAGCATGACCAGAAACCTGCCAGCTTAGCATCGCTGTGCACTGACAAAGTGGACTTTAGACGGTACAATCATCTGCCACCACCAATGTATTAGTCTTGCTGGTACCACAGGACTGTTTCGTGCTGCCGCTGAGCAACATGTGCAAGCTGGCCTAGCCACACAGGATAATGCACTTCACCGCCTTCGTGCTCATCCATCGTCTCCTCATTCCGCATATAAACATACATTCCAGTTCACTACCTGGCTGATCACAGTGTCGTATGGGGCAAGGGGTCACGGCCTTGAAGCTGCACCCTAAAAGGGGGGGTGGGTGGATAAAGCCCGAGAGGAGCAAAGTTACAGCGCCGTGAAATCAACCTCAAGCTGCCCCGCATCCTCAGGCACTGGGAAAGGGGGTGGGTTGTTTGCGGGGGGGTGGTCACAGTGTCAGCTGTCATCCCTGGCTCTGAGTGGCATGCTCCATCTTCATAGCCAAGGAGGGGCCTTCCCCCGACTTGGGGCAGGAAGGGGGATATCCAGGTAGCCTCTTCATTGCCCTCGCGGAGGGCGAATAACGAAGCCCTGGATGCCGGGGGGACGGGGGGACGGGCGGGCGGGGGAGGAAGCCCCGAAGCCCCGTCGCCAGCCCGGATTCTGGCTGCATCCCGGGCACCCGGGAAAGAATGCGCTGCCTTGGCAACCCACCTCCTGTGCCCAAATCCCCTTCACGGGGGCGGGGGAGAGGACAGTCCCAAAACGGCGGATCGGTGCGGTCGAAAGCAG